GCGTACTGTGGGCTCGCTGTATGAGCGAAGAGTAGTGAGAGACGAGGGTGCGCAAAGTGTGTGTGATGCGTAAGGCTGAGGTGATGGCTGCTGAACCCGGGTATGACTCGGTTGTGGGGCTGAGTACTGGGATGCTGCAGGTTGAGAGGCGGCGTAGTGTTGCGGGCTGTGATGGCTCGCACCATACTGAGAAACTTGGGGCCCGTGCCAGTAATCTGGGACGGTCAAGTGGAGGGGAGCATGGGTTTGCATTATACCCTGTGGTCCCACTGCTTGAGTGACGGCACCAATGACATGGTGCTGTACATGGCTCGGCTGGATGTGGTGCGGGTATCCCGCTACGAGCGGCATGTCCTTGCTCTCTTCATCTTCGAGGCTAACCTTCCAGCCATTGAGAAGCTCCGGCCTGGGCTGTATGTCGGCAAGCTTGGGATCTTGGAACGGTCGCTTGAGCTTGCCACTGACAACGTCTTCGAGACTGTAATAGGAGATGACGTGGTGATGGGTGCCCTGATACTTGACAGAGATGGTCTTCTTCATCAGACCGCCCTCCTTGAACTCATAGCTGTCGATGAGGGAGCCGCAGAAGCGTCTTTGTTGATCGGGCGTGAGGCTCTGGGCGAAGTTGGCATAGACCTTGTTCATCGAGTCGGCATCGGCGGACGGGTCGAACGAGGGGTTCTCGTATTCGTCCTCAGAGTTCTCGAGAACTTCACCAGTCTTGGACCTGGCCGGGCCATTGCTCTCCTTTCGCTTGCGCTTGGTACCACATGATGGGTTTAGAGCGGACTTCTTCTCCTCAGGCTTCAATGCTCGTACGAGTTGTCGGTAGATGAGGCAGTTGTTCATGACGCGGCTAGGCGACCAGTGAACGGCATCAGTCCAGCGCTTGATGCCAGAAGCGTTCTCTTCGTAGACCAAGACAGTTCCAGAAGTGAGCATCTCCGCACGCTCCTTGTCGTGAGGCCGGCGGCTGATATGGCTGAGACGTCCTTGGAGTGCAGCCTCCACTACGGTCATGGCGTCTTTGGTAGTGTCGAGGAAACCCTGCCATGTGGGCTTGAATGCGGGTTGCGCCTTGACCATGGCGCCTGCGACCTGCGGTCTTGAAGGGGGAGGGGTGTTTGTCGCGGTTGAGATAACACGTGAGGTGGCGATTGAGTGATGGCGGGCGGGTTGGCGGATCTGTTGTTGTTGCATCGAAGGAGTGAAGTTCGCGTATAATGACGAGTCGAACATGGTGGGATATGAGGCTTGATGTGCGGTCGGTTGTTGCGGCCAGTTCCATGAATCCGCGTCGCTGTAACCTTCCACCTTTTGCACGCCAGCCAAGGACATGTCATGTCCGAAAGAAGGCATCGTCAACGTCGATGCCCTGATACCTTGCAACATGGGGAAAGTTTGTCGTTTGCAAATCGAATTGCGTGTGGGTTTTAGGCGTTGTGAATGAGATGGAGTAAACAGGGTTTGGTTCAAAGGACCGGAGGAGTCGTCACCATGTGAGACTTTTGTCGATTGCACAGCAGCCGAAATCCAGTATGTTGATGGGTCGGAAGAGAAAGGCGCAAGAGTAACGCAAGTAAGACGGGATTGGGCGTCGCTAAAGGGTTGAAATGGCAGTAGCGAGACAGTCAAACTGAAGAGGAAATTAGCGCTGGCAGCAAGATTGAATGGTCAGAGAGCAACTCACAAAAGTCAATTCGAGAGAAAAGGAGTGTTATGGGGGTTGTATGCGGAAAGCAGAGAGCGGTGAGCGGACTGTGTGGCTCCAAATGTTGAGGTTGGAGATGGGCGGGACGAAAGGCGGGGCAGGTGCGTTGGAAGGTGCAGATAGCTATAATCCCGATTCCAGTCTTTGAAGTTCGCTTAGGCACACGAGGATTATGCGCTGGCCGTGGTGGTGGAAGATGCAAACAATGGGTGAGCTGTATGAAGAATTAGGGACTGGGTGAATATAGGCGGTGATGGAAGGACATGAGAAGGCACGTACTGAAGCAAGTGCGTGCAAACAACAATATGGAGTATGTAGGAGGTACCAGAGAGTGGTCCAGGGAACGGGTAGGAATATGTATATTTGGGGGTTAATATCGATGCGTCGGCGAATTGCGAAGGAACCAGGATGTCAGGGTTAGCAGGGCCCAGGGACGATAATAGGGTGAAGAGGGAATAGTAGCAACGGCGGCATCAGCCAGCAGGCATGGACCTGCGGTCTAACGACTTCACGCTGGCTGGCCTATGGCAGGTGACGGAGGGGATTGGCGACTCCTGGCAATGACTCTCCATGGATGAGGCAGGTCAAGCGTGAGAGGATATGCACGCCTGCGACAGAGCACGAAGGCAATACGTCGTGATGCGTTGCCTGGGAGGGAATGGCATGTACCCGGCAGCCATGACACACTACCACAGTGGCCGCTTGGAAGGCTTTGCCAGCTTGGGCTGGCAGACAGTTGATAGCCACAGTAGCGCAGCGATCGCCCCTGGTTGAGCTGGGTGCTAGGCTCTGGCCGTCGACTCTGGACATGAGGCAGCCCTGCTGGGCGTGTTCGCCCTTCAGCCATCCGCCAGTTCGCGGACTCTGGCCCATGAGACGATCAACGCGCACAAGCAGCGCTCCCTGGACCTGGTCGCTTTCTCCACCGCCGCCGACCGCACCATTTGCTAGCTAGACTAGTGCCGCCATGACTCCGCAGCTGCCAGGGCCGGGCTTTGGACGGCGCAAGCTTCATGTTCCTGGACGGCGGCCGCTGGTGAAGCAGGACGCGAAACTCTCTTGCTCCCGCAACGTGCTGGGCCCAGGAACGGCGGCCGCAACGCATTGAAGGGCAGTTTTCTGGACCCAGAGCGGACGCGGCGGACCATGGCAGGCGGCTTACCTACAGCACAGCAGGCCCGACGTCGGATCCTGAGGGAGCAAAAGACGGAGCAGCAGACGGGGGGTGGGTGGGACAGGCAGGGCCAAGAGAGCATCATGCCGCCGGAACAGGGCAGCATGCAGACGACGAGCATGGCGACTGGGATGTGCATCCGCGTAGAGGCAAGCGTCATGGCTGCTGAGTGAAGAGAAGGGCCAGGACTTCCAGGAGCAGGCTGCGTGCGTGCTGCGTGGGCCACTGCTCGCGGATCCGGGACGAGGCGCTATGTTTCACACGGTCGCGTCTGCTCCATCCATCCCCCCTCCCCCCTCCCCCCGGCCCTGTCGACAGCTAAGTACATACGTACGGTAGGCGGTGGCTTGGTCTACGTCCGGGTGCCTCCATGTTCGACGGCTGCATGGTACTCTCGTACTCTCCGCAACATGTGCGTAGGCGCAAACGCCGCGCCACAGCTGGCGGCGGAGAAAGCCCCGAACACGCTGTTGCTGCGCAGGTCGCCGTGGGCCGCCTGGCCGTCGTGTGGTGCGCGGGTCGGTCGGTGGGTGTCGTCGACGACGGTGCCGGTCGCAGGTCAAGTGACGTCCATACATAGCCTAGCGTGCACGGGCGCTGAGGGCCTCCGACCGAGAAGCTCCCCTCTCATCATCCTGGCCCTCAATCCTGGAAGAGCATCATGCACGCCCGTCACGCCCGTCGCTCCGTAGGTGAGAAAAAATTGCACCGCGCGCAGCTGCGTACCTCAGTAGCTGCAAACTCGTCAGTCAACTGTCTGTGCAAGGCGTCGTCTGTGCCCGTGATTTGCAGCTATCGCGCAACCAGCATGTCATGGCGCTGTGGGGTAGCGGTGCCCAAAGCCACCCATTCACACGCGGCCGTAGTGAGCAGGGCCTGAGCTCGCCTGGGCGCTGATGCTCCGCCATGTTGCTTGCTGCTTTGCCCAAAACTGCACCAGGTCTCGTCCTCCTCGCTCAAGTGTCCGCGAACGACGAGATAACGCGGGGCTGGTCATGACGACAATACCGAAAGCTGATACGTGAAGGCCAGCGGGTCCTGGTGCAGGTGCAGGTGCAGCAACAGGAGTGCATGACTACAGTACTGACTACTGCACACGCCAGCTCGCTCACTGACGCGACATCCTGGCTCACGGCCACAGTCCACAGTCCATCATCATCAGCGGTATGCAATGCATTGATGAATGATGAGTCGCGTCTGCTACCCTGCTCTACAGTACTGTACGTACGTACGTAGGTAGGTAGGTAGGTAGAGTCTTACTTGCGGTCTACCGTACCCTACCGTACCCTGCCCCAGACGTGCGCTCCGGCCGTGATCGTCCCTTGCGCTCAGCGTTGATCGTCCCTTGCGCGTGCGCAGTGCGCGAAGCCTGATCGTCCGACTTGGACGCTGCCAATGATGCTTCCACTCTAGTCAGGAACGTCATCCACAGCCGATGATGTGCTTTGTGCCGACTAACCCGACAGTACCTAGGTAGCTACTTACAGTCCAGACGGCGCTATCAAGTCCGGTCCGTACCAGGTCTGGCCTTGAGACGATTGACTGAGTCATGCATATCCTGCAAGTCACGCACTTCGCCCGTTTCGGCCGCAAGCAATCGTCGACATGAATCCTCCTTGGGCTGCCTGCTGTCTTACACGGCGCCTGACAGCTACCAGGTTTAACGGCTATCGCTAGCTGCTCGGAGGTTTCAGCGAGATGCAACCTTTTTTTTCCCACCCCACGACTGCACTGAATTAGGCCGCCGCCCTCTCACGATTCGGCGCCTGTTTGCACACTACCTCTCGTCTCGCCAGACACACGCGCGCCAATGTTGCGGCTGGTCCTGGGAACATCGTTGCTTGACAAGCTCTTAAGGGAAGCAATTATAGGCCCCTGGCATATATACAACTACCATCAGCTCAGACCACACACTCGATTGTTGACTCTGTCCTTGTTCAGTAAGTCTACACTCTACATGGATTGATCAATTCAGGTCGTGGCTGATCAACACTAACCTAGTCGTCTGGCCCTGTTCGCGTTTCGATTCCACTAGCGCTTCACAAGTGAACGCATTCCCACCGACTTTCACTGCCCGACTCAGTTTACCAAGTTTATTCGAGCAAACGGACTCGTCCACAGCCAAAAGTCCACTATTCTTGCTGCTATGACCAGATGTTCCGCTGCGCCCACGAATCACCCCCGCGAGCAGAGCATCTTGTTCATCGGACAGCTGTTGCAGCCTAGCGGCTCGCTCGCCCCGGATTATTACCGACAAGCATGTGGCGAGAGTGACTTTGAGCTTGGAGAAACTGGCTAGATCTGCACAACTTCAATCATGATGCGATGCGTCTGCACCTAAACGCGCGACACGCTAACATGAGAGCAGCGCCTTGTTACGCACCATCACAGTCGCTTCGCATACAGCGTGACTATAACTGCAATGTCGCTATACGACCTCCTGCGGACCTTGGTCGACTATCACGCCGACGCGCACTGCACACGACATTGCAATGTTGCTCTCTCATGTAACGCCATTGCCCTCTCTCGCTTCACCATGCTCCCCAGTCAAACGAGGCAGACGTTGCAACAGTCAAGCAGGATTACATCACCACCATTCCCATCACTAGAGTCGATCCCCGGGATATCTCCGCTTCTGTCTCGGCCCATGTTCAGCAAGCCAAGCTACAGTCTGCTCAACGCGGAAGTGGTCATGTACCATCGTGATGAAGCTCTGGCTCTGTCCATGTTGAACACTTCTGGGATACCCCCAACAACTTCTATTGACTGCTCGTGCGCTCTGGCTCCCTACGCGGCTCCATCCGCCGTAGCATGCATTGCTCCTATCCTGACACCAGTCTCGTAATTCGGGAAACTCCTTTGAGTCCCAGCAAAATTGCCACCAAGCGCGCAACTGCGTGCACTTAACAGGGATGATCGACACCGGATTAAGAGGTCCCTGGACGATCATGAAGATCCGGATCGTGCGGATATTTTATGCTAGACGTGCGCTAGACGACCATCCTCCGTGGAGCCAGACGAAAGCGCGCAATTCACACCGTGAACTCCTCACCAGGGACCAAAGCGAAAGCTTGGGTCGGCCACACTTCGGCCAGCCTTGGGCGCCCATTTGCTAGGCACCCTCGAGGGTCCGGCCCGCGCAGCTGTAGCTAAAAGTGTGCGCTCGGACGCCGTGTGAACGCCATCGCACCCAGCCTGCATTTTTATTCTCCTGAGATTAACTTCACTGCACGAGTTTTCCCTCCCAGATGTAGTAGCAGTCGGAGAATTATGCTTTCTTCACCGCAAAAGCTTTCTGAGAAACTCCAAAAAGATGCGGTGTGCTCAGTCGGTTGGCACTCGTAGGGGACCATCGACTCGCTGCCGTCGTATCCAAACAAATCATTGCATAGTTTCATGGCACATGACAGTTCCGTAACCTCCCGTCGGCAGCCTCTACATCAAATCTTTGCCAGTTTGAACCTCGGCTCAGTGTGCAAAGGTTCAGCACTCCTATCTTCCTCGACCGGCGGCCAGCCGTGTACTCTCTGCTCGCCGCTTCGGGCAACCCGGCTAGCCGTCTAGAATCTCCTTTACGTATACATCAGGCAATACGATGGGAATGCTAGTGACTAGTGCTTCGATAGATCATCTATCATCGCCGTAGATCCAAGAGCACGACACCCCGTGAATCTTGGGATACCTTGTCGATCCGGGCCGACATCTATGTCTTGCAGCATCTTCAACGATGCTGTGTCGCAACCTCAACGGAGATATCGCTTTCGTAAACCTACTGACTCATGAGATTGGACCCTTTCGAAAGTCTGCAACTCCACCATTTACCCCAAACTACTAGCAATCTGGTCGACCTGCAGGATGCACCTAGTTTACTGTCACGTTCAACAGTTTCACCAATCGGCTCTATCCCTAAACGTCGCACTCATCCAGCGCCCTATAGGGTCCCAACGTATGAGCGCCATCGGCATCCTCTCCGGAAATATCGAATCGCTTCTAATTCCCTAAAAAGATTACATACCTGTCACGATATGTCCCATAATATGGTACGACATCACACCAGAGGCGTTTCAAACCATTGAAAGTTGACCTTCCATACATTCAACAGTTCAACGTCTGGCCCGAAATGCTGTCTCCCAAGCGCAGTGCTTTGGGTAATGACGTGCATTAGACACGTCTCGGTGCAAACCTTCATGTCATAGCAGGATTGACGACTCCAGTAGTCCGCGCCGGGCATCTCTGCGACGATGGCGACATCTCTAAAAAGAGCTACAGTTCCACGAGCGTACCCACAACCGCATTCAGATTGCGCACTCGGAGCTGTCACAACCCCCGCTACTATACGAGCAACGCTACTTCACTACTGCACTGCCCGTTGGAGATGCACAGCGAAGGTAGGTGGCTCAGGAACGTACCCACATCACACAAAGTTAGTTCAGCCACGAGCTTTCAGCCACGCTGATGAGCGATCTCATCACGGACGCCCTGATGCTGTTTCATCACCAAGTCTATCTTGCACTGCACATCGCTTCATGCATCTAGATTCGGATCCACTACATCACACCTGCCCTCTTCAACTCAGGCTTGGGTGGCCCTGCGCGCAGATCAAGCGAGGCCCGTACGCGGACCTTTCCTTGCTGCATCTCCATCACGGTCTCACCACGAACATCCGTGTATCTACTGGTTTTCGTTTGATTTGCGGTGGGACTTGTCGTTTCATTCGTCTTCGCCAAATGAATTACAAACGGAATTGCGGGTCGACCCAGACCGAAACCTCTTTCGAGGGTGATGGGCAGGGCTCGACCTGAGCGAAACCACGGGCTATGACCAGAGTACTGTGGGACCCGGTATGCTGTGGCGAGACATGGACGGTTGTGTATGTGAAGCTGCATAGTCGTGGCCAACCAGATAACCATGTTCACGCATCACGTGAGTTCATGGGAAACTAATCACACTGCTCAATGGCACACCGACGTCATAATCACACAACACTAACACATCATCCTCGTCGACATGCGCTCATTGTAACCGCTTCCTGATACATCAAGGGGTTCGACTAGAGTGTGTGCATCACAATTCAAAGTTTACCCACAGACGTACCGCAAGTCGAACAGAGGGTCGGTGCGGACCGTTTCCCTTGGACAAGTCCATCCGACTGCGCGCCAACTTTATTCTTCGCCTGGCAGCGATCCTGTCGGCAATCCAGATCAACGTTCAGAATGATGACATGTTTCGCATTGCACACCGTCTGTTAGCCTCACGGCTGGCCTGACGGCCCGGGTCTGTCTTCCATCCAGTCTTCGTTGCCGGAAGCCTCAACATTTGCGCAATACCCTTCTTGACACCTGACTAGTGCATAGTGTAACAACTCAATCAACTTCAACATTGGTGCGCCTGGATGTTGTCGGCTCTGCCGATAGCACAAGCGGTGGGTAAACACAAAACCACCATCAAACAAGACAATCAATACAACGATGACGCGCAAGGTCCAATACGGCACTCTCGTATGCCCAACACCGATAGCCGGCCCAACTTCTTTGTTGCACAGAAATAGAGATCGGGATGGAGAATTGCCGTTCCATTGTCGTTGCCTCTTAGGGCTGACTGTACTTTGTTCTCGATCAGCTGCGGATCAACGACTAGACGCTGATCTTCCGAGAGAAAGACCGACAACTGCCGTTGATCCCGAAAGGAGCCTTATTCTAGCCCTCCTGGCTTATCGCTGTGAGACACGGCCGGGTGGGTGATAGGTTGCTAAGTAATCGCTCGGCGTAGGAGCCAGGATCTCGAGCACGAGGTCGGAAAGATGGGTAAGATGGGTAAGCACTTAGGAGAGAGAGAGGGGGAGTGGAGATGGAGATGCGTGGGTTGGCCCGGTAGGGCGTGTATGTGGGTGGATTGGCAGTCGGAGTATTTTTCGCCCAGGGCGGGGAAATGGGGAAGGGGTGGTGGTGTGGGACGCCTTTTTTTTCTCCTTTTGATGAGATGAGAGATGGGTTGAGGCTCGGAGATTGGCGAGGCTGATGTAAGACCACGCTGCGGTCGTGTGCGAAGGATGGCCTGCAACCGGGTCGTACGTATATCGGCAGATACGGGATGGAAATGACAGGGTTGGAGATTTGCAAATGAGATGTCTGCTTCGGTCTCGTGTTTAGTATTGCTTGATGATTTTGTTGAATGTTGGGTTGTTGTGGTCACGTGTTGATGTAACCATGGTATGGGAACTTCCGAAGTCGCGTTTCCTTTGCGACATCTGCCCCCTTTTTTATGGTTCAATATGGAAATGACGCACGTGATTATCACAAGGCGGGGTGGCTGGGGAGGGGGATCAAGACAAGGCTTGTAGACTTGAATTCGACAGATGGCGTGCCTGAAGTATCAAAGGCAAATACAGAGGTCACATATCGAGATAGATAGAAACCATGTATCGACGCTGGACATGTATGAAACCAGACTAGAGTATGTAATAGTAGGATGCATAAACGCACCTTTGAACAGGAATATAGTAGTGCAAGAGTATAACACCGAATATACCACGACATCAATCCTGCAAGAATAAAATCTAAACGTTGAAAGACAGTACCAAGACCATACTTACTAACCTGATTCCCTTTCAAAGGAATGCCACTATAACATCCTGCAGGGGTAGAAAGAAGTATATATACATCTTAAGCGTAAAAGAGTTACATAGAGAGTGAAGCAACTCACGTTTCCCATTAATACTCATATTTAATACAAGAGAAAGACTAAATCCTGTTATTGCCCTCCAAGTTCTTTTTTTAGACTGGCGAAGGTCGTCGTGTGGTACGTGGTTTCTCGCTTTGGTGTCGAGGCTATAGACTGTTGGGCAATTATAGGGCAAGAGGATATGTAGACGGACACGGCATACAACAATCAACTAGAGACGATACAAGGCTAACGTGCGCTGATAGTGTGAGAGAGATAGAACGTGTTTTTTTGGATGGACTGGTATCTGTTATTGGTATGATAAGACGTATAGTCACTGTAGACTGAACATGGCAGCATATTACTCAACTGCTTATCCAAAAACAAAAAAAACCATCATCCGCCCGATTCAGCCATGCTTTCCTACTTGAACTTCTCCTGATCCTCACCCTTCCTCCCCCCCCTCCCTTTCCACAACTTAAACTCCTCACTAACAATCCCCCCCGTCCCATCCCTCACCCTCCTCACCTCCACAACCCCGCTCTTCTTCTTCAACACCACGCTCCAAACCCCCTCATCCACCACCACGCTCTTTAACCACCCTAAAAACTCCGCCGCAAAGTTAATACAAACATTACCATCCCAGCAATTCGTCCCGCGACGCACCATACCAGGAATCTCATGCGTGTTGAAAGTCTGCAAGCCCCTCAATATGCCCGCTTTACTGCGGAACCCCACTGTGATCTTGGGGACACCGAGTAGAAAAGACTGGGCCCAGAACTTCAGTAGCTTGCGTTCGAACTTGAGGACGTCACGGTGTTGTTGGTGAGATGGGGGTGGTAGTTCTTCGCTGGTTTTGAGTTCTACCCATTGGATAGGTTCGTCGGGGTTGGTGGGCTTGGGAGCGAGCAAGCCGTCGACTTCGCCGCCAAGGATGAGGCTGTGGGGGCCAAAGGATGTGTGGACTATGGAGCAGTGTTGGGCAGCGTTGGATACGATGCCACGTTGGTGTTTTTCGATTTCTTGTGGCGACGTCCGGTCCGGTCGTGTGGGTATCAGCGCGAGCTGTTCGAACTTGTAGCCCCAGTATGTCATCATCTCGCGCGACTGCTGGTCTGGATGTTGTTGGTAACGGGGTGGGGGCCGATTGGCTTCTGTGGCGCGGTCGGCTGCTCGCGAAGGAAAATCTTCTTCGATGTATATTGTGCCATTGTGGACGGTTGCGAACATACTGAATTCCGCAAAGTTATCGAAGGGGGCTGTCATGATCTGGGTTCGTTAGCAACTGGCTCTGGGTTGGTTTCCTTTTCGACAAGCAGCAAGGTAGGGAAGCTGGGATTTGCTTACCTTGCTGTTTTGTATATCGTCTACTTCAACTTACCTTGGTCATCATGCCCCTCCACGTCATAAAATCCGCTTTGATCTCAGACTCGGTTGCCTGCTCTTCCATGAGGGTTCGAAGCAAGCTGTCCAGGTGTGGGTCTTCCTTGTCTTCGTAATGCTTGAACGTCTCAAATCCGTCCTTGAGATCTGCGCCCATGGGCGGTGGCACATAGTAGCTAATTCCTGACTCATCTGCCCGGTATTCGTGGTTGTCGTCGTAAGAAAAGTGGGCGACCTGACGAGGTCGTTTTATCGTGGCTGACGCGCCGCGGAAGCGATTGACAGGTTGTATGGAGAATCGGTGGACTTCTGAGCTCAATTTTGATGGCGCAATCTGCGGAGGCGATACTTCTGGTTTCGCCGTCGCCGTCGTCGTCGTCGTGGATGAGGCTGAAGCTGCTGCTTGCGGAGGCGCTCGTGTTCTGGGGCGTTTGCGGGGCGGCGACCTGTCTTCTTTCTCTGCTTCGACGTGCGGACTGGGTGACCTTGGAGGAAGTCCGGTAGAAGCAGTATCTGGTGTCTCTTGCGTCATTGTATGGTTTTGCGCCGGAGAAGTCGCAATTTGCGTCTTCTGCTTCGCCGCGGAGGTGTCGCGATGCTAGCTGCTTTCACCCCCGCTGCCCCCATTCGCGTACCTGACTAACTACGGCACGCCATCCGCACCACCATCACCAACATCAACGTCACCTCCACATCCCGCTGCCAGCGCCCCCCTGCATTCACCTTCCAACATCTACTATACCTGGATACACCACAAAATGGATAATCGTGCCATCCGCCTCCCACCCACAGCCCGTCGCAATCTCTTCGCCACCGCCCAACAGCAACAACAACAAACCTCCCGTCGCCAAAATGGAACCGCGCCCTCTATCCGTCCTGACAGCCGGGAAGTTGAGCCGGATATCTTCCAGCAACCCGCCGAAGATGAACTTGTTGAGCGCGATGACCAGGGCGAGTACGTGATCCATGCGCCGGACCCGGTCTACGGGAACAACAAGGATGCTGAACCCGAGGATAACGATGAGGCCGGTACGTTTCATGTTACATGGGATGGAGGACGCCACTGATTGATCATGTGTAGAGCAAGAGAATGAGCTCATAGAGATGTATGTAAATGGCAAGCCAGATGCTCACTGGGATACGGATGCAGTCGAAGAGGAAGTCAGGGCTGCCCTGAAGAACAGCCTACGGAAAAAGGTGGCTAGTTTAGAAGATGACAAGTGGATGTTTGAGGCCGAGACTGAGGTGAAGAAGTAAGTTAGCATTCGTGGTTATTGGGAATGATGGGGGCGCTTAGCATTGTGATACCCTTCGTATGCCATTGTAGGCACATGTAATTCTCGATGATCACAACCTGATACGTGTGAACAGGTGTGGTTGTGAGTTTTAAGCTCGAACAGCACATCCTTGCGATTCCAGATACTAATGAGAATAGTATGGTGTACATAGCTGTCAACAAACATCAGTCATGTTATTATTCATGTTCCACTTATCGGGACTTTGTATACAGTCTAGTCGACCAAACTTGCCAGATGGATAAATACCACATCCCCAGAACCCTAGGCATCAGAAGTTGGGGTTCCTGTGCCTGATGCAGCTTACACATCATTCTCGTGACAAGGCCAACCATGCCACACGCCGTCTTTCTTGGTATTCTCTCAGCTCGTATCAAACTGACTCATTCGACCCAAGCTCCACAAGAAAGTGAGTTGTGTGCAATTTTTGAAAGTGGGTGGACCCCGGGTCTGCACGAGTAGACGTATACCGGAGTTCCGTTTGACGCGTTTCGTGGACAAACTTGTTGTATGAGGCGTTGAGCTGAAGGACATATTGGAAGCTCATGCACATAACGAGTGCGGGTAGGCGATAGCGGGGAAGGCGCAAGCACATAAAGTGAGCGACCAGAGTGCGAGGAAAAATGAAGATATAATGACCGGGCTCTATAGTGGCTTCATGAGCTTCATTCAATGTAACAGTGGGAACTGGGAACTAGACTCGATAGGAGAGTAGAGTGAAAGGGCGTGTCCTCTGCTGCTAATGGTCTCTATGAGGCCGCAAGTTGTACTTTTGCTGCGCGATAGCCTATCGGAAAGCAGCAAATTGTTTGGTCTATCGAGAATTGGTTGTTATGGGGTACTGTGGGGATTGAAGCTGCAGAAGATGGCCGTGGCAACTGAGTCAAGTGGGAGTAGGGCGTGTAGTATTTCATCAAAGAATGAAAATCCTCGAGTCGTTTTCAAAGATATTGGATTGAGAAAATGAATGGTCAAGGGTAAGTGCTAGTAAAGACATCTCCCTAGCCGTCTTCCTTGTCGCCGTTTTCGGGGACGCTCAATGACGAAGCCTCCGGTCCGCGCTTCAGATGTCTCAGGAAAAGAAAAGGACCAAGAGATGCCAGGCACATGTGTCGAAGATTTCAGCTTGTCTGGAAATTGTTCCATTTGCCAAAACAAGCTTGGGTGTCGCTCCTTCCCCAAGCTGCGCACGCCAAGCTTAGTCTCAAAGCGAACGCAAACCATGAATCCTGGAAACATGCTGCCCACACCTTCGAACAACAGAAATACCTAGAGCGTATAGCTCGCTATCAATATCCACAAAACACTTTTTTAATGATCAATTGCACACTCTACTACGGTAACGATCACTATCTTCGACAACGATAGGCGCAGAATCGGATAGCAACGGACACCGAGCGCAGCAGGACACCGAGAAACTAGACAAGTATCTTCAGACAAGGATGTTACTATCACCTGCCCATGTACTGATGTTGTCATATGATACACACTTGCGCCTTGTCTGAGCCAGCCACGAAACTCCTGCGTGCACCTGAATGCCACCGACATACCGAAACGATCGTATACGAACCTCTTTTACGCAATTGTCGCCGTCAATCTTGGATACGTGAACCTTCCTACAGTACCTACCTTTCTGCATACCCGAAGCCGCTGCCGTAAGCGCACCCGAACGCACGAGAAGAAAGCCATGGACTAGCACAAGCGAAAGACGGGAACAAACACAACGGAGAAGGTAGATACTGTGACGACGAGAGACGATACTAGGAGAGATATAAGAAGACGCAATGGAAATGCTGATTGCTTTGTAGAGCTGGTGCTTCACAAGTAGCTGAGGCGGCTTAGGATGATATTCTGGCTCTCGCCGTGCCACACTCTGTCAGCCCCTGAAGCTTACGTATTGAAGCAAGAGGTATTACCAGATATAGACGAGAACCAAGGAAATGGAAACAAAAGGGATTATAGAGAAACAAATTGTAGATGACAAAGGGGATAGTGGACAGGAACTAGATAAGGAGAGAATGAACAGCGGACAAAAGGACTAGAGACTTGCCTACCTGGAAAGAAGCAATCAAGTCACAGCAATCAGACCCAAGCCTTATCTATGCGTTCTTGCTGATATGCTCGCTCTCGATGCTGGAGTTTGGATTTTGTCGCTGTTTCTCGCATATTGAGTCTATACCACGGTGATATGACAAGGCGCTAGAGTTTCTGCAGGGAGATTACAAGTCCGTAGACGTCATTGTTGAGGCGTTGAAGCTGGCTAGCCATGGTCTTCGTAGATACAGCGGTAGATCTCTTGATGGTGTTCTGTACACATGTCCACGGTGCACCTCACTATGGACTCTATGATGTTACTCGTGGTCCTGCTGTACCTGGTGTTGATCCTACTGTAACAACAATTGCTTCAGCTGCCGTGAAGTCTTCATTCTCAGCTTCCAATCATGCTCAAAGTCGCTCTTGCCACTCGAGCTGGCTCTGCAACAATCTCGGGGCCACGGCCCACGAAGCCTCGCCCTTATGTCTCTGTGTACTCATAGGCTTCTCGGTATTCAGAATTCATGTTTTCGAGCCTGTATGGTTTCCTAGGAAACTTCCTGCGGGCTTCTTCAGCCTCTGAGATGCCTTTGAGGCTTGGCCTCGTGAGGTTCCCCGCTCTGACCGAACTGTGCCTTCCCAATGTGACTGTGTTGCCCTCGAACCTGCCACAAAACGCTGCAGTTGCCTGCAGGGTATCATCATGACACACAAAAGCTTATGGACCTGCTCATCAGGCTTCCACGAGGGGCTTCATACGCTTCCAGTTCGTGATGCACATGTGTCAGCCCCATAATCTTCCCACATGCACTGTAGGCTCCCGCATATATCGTAGGCTTGACTTTACACGCCTCGGGCTGTCCGAGTGCCTTCCGTAGCCATTGCAATGTGAAGCCTGGCAATCGTCATGGATTCAGGAGAGTTTCAAGGCATGCTTCTGGCAGTCATGTAGGTTTTGAACCAGCTGACAGCATCTCCTTTTCGCCCTCTTTCTCGCCCCGGGCATCCTCTAGGACTATCTTCACGCATCACCACGGCCCTCTTGCTGCTTCCCTTGCCCCTTGCCGCGGCCGAGCACCGGCTTCTCCTGCCATCCCGAACATCATCCGTAGGCGGTAAGGAGGCTCGCATGACGCTAAGAAGTGGCGAGTGGGGCGGTCATGATAGCTGAACTGGTGGTTGAAGCATGGAACTTCAACGCTGTGGATGATCTGACAGCTGTGATGCATCACCAACCCCATAGATACACCGTAGGCGTGAATAACTGAAGTTGTAGAGCTCGATGAGCGCTATCTCCTCGTACCGGGCATGGCCTCATCCCGGTTGTGGTTGCTCGGTTTCTTCAAGATACCGCTTGAGAGTCCGCTTCGCTCAGCCATGCAATTCTCGCTCAACACAACGAGATAAGGGGCCCTTCCACCTCCAACTCGTATGTACACCATGATGGACGAGTCCCTTCGCTTGTAATACTGCCGCCGCCTGCAGTAGTGCCGTCACCTGATTGCTGAAGCTCGGGCGCTTTTCGAAAAGTATATAAACAGCCCACCTCCGTCGCCGCTTCCCTCTCTTCTTGCTTTTTTCTCACCCCACGCCGACATCCCAGTCTTCTCTTGCTTGAGTTTTTCAACACCAAACTCTTGTAATCTCTCTTCTCTCTTGTACATCTGTACATACCGTCACCTGTCGACCTTGATTCATCATGTCTCATCGTCAATCACCCCAGTCGTCTTCGGGACATGGCCCATCGTCAAGCCCCTTTGGCGGTACAGACCCCACCCAGTACTCGCCTGACATGGACCGCAAGGGACATCGTCGCCAGGTGACTGCTATCGCCATGGGCAAGCGTCCTGTTGAGCATGTCGAGGAGCCGGCCCCTACTCTCCCCGCCATCCTCCTACCGGCCCCTGCCTACGTCGAGGGCGCGTTCATCAATGAGATGTCTGAGGAAGACCGGTCCTTCATGTCTCGCTATCAGTTCGTCACTCAGCTGCCTGATGGTACCAACGCCGGCCTCGACCCAGAGCATGAATTGTTTCAGGTCCAACACCAGATGAAGCTCGTAAGTACCTTCACCTTCTATCGCCATGTACCTTACTGACAACGACCCAGTACCAATGCTTTGACGCTGCTGTTCCCTACTATGCCCGTGGAGTCTTCATCCGTTACGATGATCTTCGTGAAGCTGCCGAGGGCAAGATCATCCTTGAGCAACACGACTTCTCCGTTGCGTATGCGACTTCCTATGACTATGCTCGTGGCAAGTCTCAGGACACGGCCCACATCAAGGAGTTCGAAGGTCAAATGAAGCTTTCGATCCTGATTGAGCCCAACCCGGAGTTTGCCGTCTTCGACTTCACCGCTCAAGACCTGGCCAACGTCACCAATGCTGTCGAGATCACTGCTAGGTCCATCGGTGATATTCGCAACCTCGTCCATGTCGACACCATTGACGAGAAGATGCTCCTCGTGTACCGCATCGAGTACCATTCGGTCGATGCCGCCATTCGTGCCGTTCAGTCTCTGATTCATGATCCTGTCTGGGGCGCTTCACTCGATGTAAGAATTCCTCCTCTTTCTTCTTGATCATCCTGCTAACATTCACAAAGAACACGTTCCACTGGTGCACCTTCGATCCTACTCCCTGGACTGGTGAGCGCGCCTTGGCATCGCCTCATCGCTTCAAGCCTCGTGTCGATGCCCTTGGTAGGTTCTACGGATACCGCCCGGCTACTGTCCACGTTCAACTCCCTGATCGTTGGTCGGACCGTCGTTCAAACCAGTCCGCGCACCCTCATGACCAGCACAACCGTGTCCGTCGCCAGCGCATTCTCGACGGAAGCGATGTGCGCACCACCGTCATGCTTCGTAACATTCCGAACAAGCTGGACTGGATGGCCCTCAAGAACATCCTCGACGATGTCTGCTTTGGTACTTACGACTTCCTGTACCTCCGTATCGATTTCAAGTCTGGATGCAATGTCGGCTATGCCTTCATCAACTTCACAGATGCGAATGGCATGCTGGCTATCATTGACCGCATGGAGCGTCGTTCCTGGCCTGGATTCACCTCTGACAAGACGGCCGAGATCTCGTACGCGACTATCCAGGGTCGTGAGGCTTTAGTCCAGAAGTTTCGCAACTCGTCTGTCATGCAGGAGACTCCATTCTGTCGTCCCCGTCTCGTCGTCACCATTGCAGACGCTAGGAACGTGGGTCGTCTTCGTGTTGCCGGTACCGAGCAGGAGTTTCCTCGTCCTGACAACCTTTCCAAGCTTCAGCGTTCGATGGATAGCGCTCGTAGCATCGGCCTTTATCCCCCTCACGGATACTCCTCAGTCATCGAGCACCGCAACCGTACTAGTGCCTATGACCGCGGCGGCCCTCGCGACATGATGCAAGCTGCTATGCACTTCGCTCATCAGCGCGCTGCACCCATCCAGTTTGCCGGCCTGACCGATGCCCAGAAGCGCGACATTGAGATGTGGTACTTGAATACGTACGGTGGTGGACACTGTGGTCGCATCCCCTTCGACTGTATCCCCATGACGCATGTTACTCAGTACTTCAATGAGAACATGCCTGCGCCTGGTGTCATCGGTGGCCCAGTTGGAACTCCGACTCGCCCTTCTCGCGCCGGCCCATCCTCTTCTCGCGCTGGTCCTTCATCTTCTCGCCGCGGTGCTGATGAGATCCACCGCACTCCCAACCCCTTCTTGTAAACATCGGCATCAACTGGCACTTGCTGGTATCTGTCCTACTGGCTGCGCAACGAGTACATGGTTTGTTTGTACGTTCTCAATCTGTTTCTAGATGTTTGCCAGACCAGGGTTTTACGACACGGATACTGAGTTGCACTATCTGGTGTACGACTTCTGGAGGATTATGGTAGGATTCGGTATCATGATGTGGATGGTTTGAGAATTGAGATGATCTCTGACCAAGTGATGGAGTCCACTGACGGACTTGTTGAGGTCTATGACTGTACTGCACACGTCTGTAGTTGAAAAGGATGAGCATTGCTCACACACTGCCTGCTTCCTCTTGTCGTGACTTGATGTGATGACTCTGTCAGCCTTTGGCTTGTTGAACTGATTTCCCTAGTGGCTGGATTTATGTCCTTGTTTTTAGTAGTATTGCCATGAGGAGTCGCTAGCCGTGGATACGAAGGGGTTTCCGAATAGCTTCAAATACCGTGAATGGGTATCGCTAGGTTGTAACTAGGGTTGTGTAGGCTCACTGCCTTGTTATTAGCGAGTTGGTTACCGTGAATGCAATGGTAGGATATGACTGGCGTCTTCGAGCACTGGTGGTCGTGGGAGCTGACGTATCTTCTCCACTCAGCCTTTCCTTATTATTATGATCGGCACTGCCGTGGCTATGCTTCTAAGGCAAGCTCGAAGTATCTTCACTAGCCACGATGCTGTGCTGCAGGTGTGACGGATCTCGTGTGGAAGGAAGGCCCGCTGAGTCGCAACTGCAGAGAGCTGGACAGACACTCAACTCGACACGTATGATCTGACGAAGATTATGATAAAGCTCCTGGGACTTCGCGCGTCTGCTGGTCTGATGTGGTCTGGTCTGTGTGGTATGCTGGCTGACGGCACTTGGCTGAGAAGCTGCCAAAGATCGTATGGGTTAAGAAAGGGAGGATAAGCTAATTGGTAAGGGTGAGATGATGCAATAGAAGCGGCTTTTAGAAATTCAACTACCCATAGAGCGGGTTGGTGGTATGGTGGATAGGAGGGGTAGCCAGCTGTATGGTGGAAAATTGCAAGAGTGACTGACGATTTCCTGTTCGGCCTGCAAGAACCATAATCACCGTGGCAGCTTTTTCGAAGAAACAACTGCTTTCTTCCCAGGTGCCGCCCCCCCAACTCTTTTCCTTTGCTAGTCTCTTGCAAACATGCTGGTGTGCCAGGTCGTCTGAACAAGAGGGAGACTCACCATCCGCTCGTCTTGACTTGTGACAGCATGTCTCATGAACCCAGCATCATTGAAGAGGAGAGCAACATGGGCTTTTCAATGAACAACACCAAGCGGAACGGCAGTCAGATAGCCAAGGTAAAGTGGCAGGGAATAAGACATATTGCAGTGGACAAAGGAGACAGGAGCAAACATCTCGCGGTAAACAACCGAGAGAACTTTATCTCCACGCATGAGTGACCACCTAATCCATCTTTCGCGGCCCTTAAGTTGCGCAGTCGAGGAAAGAGCTGTCGGTCATGCTGACCCCTATGAGGGGTAGCCTTAGGAGGGCTGCGAAAGTGTTGCACACGGGGATGCCGATATAGACTACATCTCCCAGAACACGACCAAGGAGTAGCTTACGCAAAGACAAGAGCCCAAGAGCGTCTAGCCCTCACGAAACTACAAGAGGCGCCCCTCTTGGGCCCTCTTGGGCTCGCACAATGTAGGTACACAGCAGGAGAACAGGATAAATCGACAAATGAAAGAATGATCATCGACTTTGATACCACATCCCCTGATCAAAAAGTCTAGATATTACAGTATGAATTGACTCCTGTCTCTAGGAGATACCATAAATTGCCTGTGGCTGTGGGGAGCTTGTTGGCCTTCCCCGCAGCCAGGTCTGCATGCTCGGCACACGCTGAGCTACGCAGCTGGATTTCTGCACCCCAGGAGTCTGCAGCGTTTCTGCCTTGTAGGAGTTGCTTGCTTGTACATGAACCGTGCCTTCCTGACTCTGCGCAGGACTCCCAGTCCCTTTGCTGGCGCTGAGGAGCGAGCAAAGTCGTCATGCTCAACTATAATGACTTGCAACACCACTGTCTTTCCTGAGCCACTTGCCCATACACAGGTGATGCTTTTATGACCCTCTACAGAGATCCCGGTACCTTGACTGGTGCGTACTGTAAAGGTGGACATGGTGGGCCATGGTGCAGAGCTACGCAGCTGTATGTCTTGTTTGTAACAGCCTGTATGGCCGCATGTCTCTTCTGAGCTGCTTGTCTATGCATCAAACATGCTTTTCCCACTTCTTGCAGCCTCATCAGATCTTTCGCTAGCACTCAGGGCGATGGAGGACATGCTGCTGTGGGGCGCACGGGCCGCGGATAGGTGCTATCGTGAATCTGGCTGTGGTGTTTGAGCTGGCTTTCGCAACGACCCCACCACAGTCACCACACCCATCTTCTACAGGCTGCCGGCTAGGGCTTTTAGCACGCGGTGGCACTCATGAAGATAATCAAGACTTCGACAGCATTCCATCCTCTCCTAGGTAGTGCTGGTAGCGTCGGCTCCTACTACGACCCCACCACATTCACCCCATCCACCCTCTACACTCTGTTGCCTTCGTTGGTGTACGTCAGCGGTCATGGCGAAGATTAAGATTTCCTTAGCGGCATCTACTGTCTCCTTTACGCTGTTGGTAGCGGTGGCGGTCACATCTCCGTGATCGAGATGGCCTCTCGAGAGCTTTACAGCAGCAAGATCAGCGAAGGTATGTTTGGAGCTCCCTCCCAATATGCTTCTTGCTAACAAGTGACAGCTGAGAATAACCAGACTTTCCAGCTCGAAGCTCGCCGCAGGATTACTTCGCGGAGAGATGCTGGAACCTGCAGTCTAGCGCCGCCGCAACACCGCACTCGAAGGTATACACGAACCCTACCCTACAACTACTGCGTCCCCTGCTGACAAGTGGTGTCAGAAGACACCAGCTACAATGGCAAGAGTACTCTTGTTTTCGGCCAGAGCACTGGGGGACCTTGTGGACGTCGAAAGTTACTACACGAAGCGCCTGTACGAATCGTCAACCGTGGAAGTTTCAAGCGACGAAATGAATCGCACGCCAACTACAACTTGCGACAACATTGGAGCTGGCTCGACCCGTCTTTGCGCAGGGTCATAAGCACCTCATCGAGAAGTGGCAGAAGGAGGGCAACCCCCACTGCTCCGAGGAGTGCGGTGATCCGAAGAATCATCGACTACGTTGTTTGTCGGGAGCTCTACGAGCCTTTCTTATTCGGCACCTGCATTAGCGACCGGGAAAGCTCCATGACCTGAACCTTGCTCCAGCCATTTACAAGGAGACAAACGTATCTCAAAAGGTTGTCGCAGCACTCGCAGAACTTGGCCACTATGATATCTTGCAACTTTCGAAGCGTAATTGTCGAAGGACTCGTGGCATGAAGAATGCTAGGATGCACTGTATCAAGAATCGGCCATCAAGATACTCGATGTTGGATAGACATCGTTCTTGGCAACGGGTCCCACAACTGGATGGAGAGGCTGTAGCCGTGACCGTAGAGATTTCTACAGTGGGTATGGTAAAGTTTTGCGAGCCTGTGCGGGCGCCAGATGGTCCGGTAGGAACATACCATCACAGCCGGGCGCTTTTCTTCGTATTTCCTGCAGGATGTGCGGAGACCGTAAGTTATGTTGCAACAAGGACAGCATGGGTACCAAGATCGAGCATGCTGACGATTCGATAGCCTCGAAAACTCCCAAAGCGGATGTGTGCGACTCTCCGGTCCATTTTACGAGCACGAACGGGCGCAGGACAACTTAATAACCCGAATATCCTCACGAGAGTAGATGAGTGATGATACAGAATAACTGGCCAGATAGACATGTCCGCCAGTCATTACAATACAATCATATCCTTGGGTACCAGTTCTTCTTGTGATCCAACTATCGGCATCGTTTTTGGAGACAAGTGCTGGCATTCCGAGAGAGAATGGACCGGTACGGCTTGGAAAGAGAGATACCATAGCTGAAGCTCCTGTAGGCCATATACACGTACCGCACGGAAGCTCAAACGCATAGTGTAAGCGCAACGTTTGTAGCGACCCGTGTACTCATCCCCAGATACCTGGTCAGGGGTTTCGCCAGCTACGGTGCAGTGCGATACATGCGACGGCGCTGTGCCACTGGAATCCGGTCTGTCAGCCAAGGTGCCATGGTGCGCTCTATGACCACATGGCTTGCCGCGTACTTCAAACTGGGATGGTGTTATTTTCGAAGCAGATGCTGATGAGGAGGCGTCTTGCGGTGTTGACAAATCTGTCTGATGTTGCGACGAACGAGCCTGGAGTGCATTAGCGTCCCCTGAGTCGCTCAGAAACGCCACCGAACTCCAGCCCCACGCCTCACACGGCCCTAGATAGAAACGATGGCGTAGCTGATGTGAAGCGACCAGGTTATTATGGCTGCACATGTCAATGGCGCCATTCTTCCGGAGATGTTTCCGAGACGAGAGCCGTATGCAGCATATGTCACAGAGTCAGACCGTTTCGACGCTATCCAGAGCCGCATACGTCGTCTGGACTAACACCGGGGTCCGCAAACTTCTTGGGTGTGTTGCTAGGCTGATCATGGATCAATACCTCGCTTCGCTCTAAAGATGGGGCCGAGGAGATGTAGCGAGGAGGGGCTGAACATGCACCCACTCCACCAAGACCCGCAGAACACGGCTTGGGCCAGTGGATTTTGCTGAGGTCTTGGGGCCTTATCTACAACTGCCGTACTTGTGCCTTGATCCACTCATGCAAGTTGTCGAACATCCTCTGATCCTCTCAGGCTTTCGGCAGATGAGCATGAGATGCACATTAGAAGAATGTGTCATTATTAGGCAGCGGTCCTGGGGTACTGATATCGATCTTATCTCAAATGAGCTTATCCCTCAACGGACGAGATGTCTATTGGAAATGTCGAAAGTCAGAACCACCTTGACTGGAAGGCATTCGTAAGAGACTATCCGTGGGAAGGGCTGTTCGTAAACATGCCGCTTTGTGTGGGTGGGCAGAGGTCCCTGTCACTTCGATTTCGACAGTGATATTGGCCATGGAGGTTGCTCATGTGCACCGAAGCCTTGGTACACGTCCTTTGCACTATCGGATCGAACTTCCGACAGTCCATGCCCGACCACCCGGATAAATCAAACCGTAGGTTCGTGGACAACGACAGTGAAAGTTATATGCAAGTGCCAGAGTACAGCACTAGAGTGCAACACACTATTCTTCGAGATGACCGGAGAAACACCGTAGCATCTTCGAACAGTCATGTCGGTGTCCAGGTATGCACTCCAGCAGGATATAGACTCTAAAGACTCATGTGGACCTTGTCCATCGCGAGCCAGCCCGTGCGGTCGCAAAGCCTTTTGTATCTCCAGGTCAACTTGATCTATCATTGGCGTAGGGCTTGCCTCTACCACCCATGATAAGAGATTTACAAGCCGGGCTGTTGATTTGATGCTGATATTATGGATGCAGAGCCATGATGCATGCTCACAAGTCTCACTATTGTACGTGTTGAGGAAAACTTTATGACAGATACTGTCACATGGTCCCAGACTTGCCAAAGCTGTTGAGGATGGCTGTTGCGTGGATGGCCCGTCCTTGCCTTCTCACATTAGCAAACGATTGGAGCAGCCCTTCACACGTTGAATGGACTGGTGGCCGCTTTTGTGTCTTTTCCCGGAAATATGGTGCTGTACATTTACAGAACGCTGCGACACATAGTTTGTTGCTGTCCCTTCGGGGCTGTCAAGCCGAACAAGGGCCACGGAATGCATCTCTGGGATGCCGGTATATTTCCGTCGAATAGGGTTGGCCTGTGCTTGTACTCCACGCTCATACAAGGAACCCTCGAAGTATTGTTATGGTACTCTGTATACTGGTATATACCTGTTGCGGTACCACGTGGCTGCATGTGCATGGAACAAGGGCTTTGTGCTCCCCCTGACCGAGGGAAAACTCCAATATGTTCTCAGAATTTGTTTGATCACCTTGTCGTATTGAGTTACGATGACAGGTCTCATGCATGATGTTGACATGTGTCGGCTGGGGTCCGCTACTGGCAGCATGGGGAGGCAGCCGAAGCGAAGATCCATTCGTATTCGAACCCTGAATGTGTGCAATATGCTTTTCGTGTTCCGAATTGATAGCATGTTTCCCAGGTTGATGTTATATTACACAGCTCGAGGCATAGAGTGCGGGGTCTGGTGTTTGCTTTGCGGTCGGGTACGGGCTGTTCCCCAGTGGAGACTGTGCGACCGACGGCGACGAGGCTCCCTGCTTGTGGCAAAGCTACAAATCGCTGCGTTCGGTATCCTCCGAAGGTACAAGGGGTATTGGAAGCCTCCAGTTCCTTTATCATCTTGCTTAGTGTACTTCTACTTCCCATGTCGGGACCTATCTTCACTCCTGGATACCAGCGAAATATCGAATTTGCGTCTTAGACAGGGGTTTAACGCGTCTGCAGCTTCCCGCTTGGATGTTATGCAATATTGATTGTATTCTTGGGGAGGAGTTGTGTGTCGGAAGTCCACTTCGTGGCGTCGGTAACGCTGCCTACGGGTGTGGCCAAGACAGGAGTGTGAAGCTGGTGTAGCTTCCCGTGGTGTCCTGGTTATCTTAAGAGATCTGTCACTGCTTCCCGTTGAGGAGTGTTGGTAGTGGTTGAGTGGATGGAGGGTGGATTCCTCAGCTATCTGCCAGCGCGACGGCAAAGCTGCAGGGAGGCGAGAGGCTTTCAGTACTCCTCCGCATGGCCTTTTGCTGTCGTCGCCATTATATCGGAAGAGGTAGGAGCTGGGCAGGAGGTCCGCTTGCCTCGGCGCTGAGGTGAAGCTGCATCCGTTCTCGACCCAGGCTCGCGAGGAGACACTGAGTGCAGTAATCTGACGCTCTCACTCAAGAACGCAAAGCGTTTCGTCGACCTATGCATGGCTTTTGTTGTGGGAATTGTCTTCTTTAGGAGCGAGGAAGCGCATCGGAGCTCTGCTACTTGCGAAGCTAGCATGAATGAGTACAGTAGAAGATTACACATAATGTTCTCTGCAAGATCACGATAGGGCGCGATAGTCCGGCTTATCGTTTCTTTTGCCGATGGTGACTAGCGTGAGACAGAAAGGGTATAGTTGGTTGGGGGAATGAAGCTCAAGCGCGCGGAGCGTGAATCGCATCAGCGATCGAGGAACTCATGTGAGCACTTTATCCTGTGGGTCTTCGACAAGAATCCTGGAGAAGCGCAAGTCACAGTCAAGCATGTCATGGTACGCGATGGTGGTGTGGCCAGGGTGAGGGTGTCAAGGGAGATATTACCCCACGTACAGTAGAATCCTCAAGCTTGGGGGGCAGGACAGGGGCCCGGACGGCTATCAACTTCCCCGCATCACAGACGCAAGCTGCAGCAAGCTCAACAGGGCCGTGGAGGTCATATCAGATTCCTACAGATACTCGAGACTCGGAAATTTTGATATTACTCCATCGGCATTCTAAGACTTCGAGCACGATTACAACGATGAGTACTTGGCAAAAGCAGCTCCACAGTTCTCCCAACTGTCTACAAGGCTGTCATTAATGAGCTACATCCCATACTACCTATGGCGATTGCGGCATCCGACAGGCCTCCAAACCAAGAATATACTCAAGTAAGCGCCGGAAAAGGATATTGCATCCTCATTTCTCCCGTAAGATAGGCTATAGCTGAAAAGCAGTGCTACTCCAAAGACGATCATCCGCCCCTCCTCTGCGTTGCCGCATCCCCAGAAGGGCTCTTCCCGTAGGTCCACAACTTCCGGCGTCGTCACACAATCCCCCGTATAGGTCTCGGTCCTACCGTAGTCACAGCTCTAAGCAGTTGTTGATAGCAAGTACCCGCATACCTTGTGAGGAGAAATGGGTAGCACTATTGTCCTCGTGTGAGGAGCGGCTCACACCGCTCTACGAGTATACAGGTTTGATTGTGAATTTACGAGGTTCATAAAGGTAGAAAGGTGATCTTTACGTATATCTGTCAAAGTCATATCTTGAGTCCTTACCGATTCATCACTTGTTGCGCACGTGGGTAACACCTAGATCAAACTAAGAGCCATCACGTTTCCGTCATTTGATGCCAACTTCTTAGGAACATTGCGCCACTCCCGAAAAATCGCAGCACAGATCTCTACAGACATCTTGCGAACCGGCTGTTGCTAGATGCCCATCTTTCATCATCGTCACGTCTGATTTTCATTTCCTCACATTCTCTCTCGCTGCCTAGTCGTTTCGTGGACCAAAAAAATTCTTCGACTCGCATCCTAGCCAAAATATGCGCATAGCTCCCACCTCTACAACCACACACGCCATCGCACCACCGGATCACGCATCAGCGGACGCACGACTACATTAACCAGACGCCGCGGTTACTCAGTGCATCTAACAATTATCCCAAACCCCGCGGGCCGACTACTTGTTAGCCTCGCAAACGCACGTTTCCCCAGCTTCGCGGCTGTAAGCATACATCCACGGCCACCTACATCCGGCATAACCGCACCGCCAACACAAAACCCGCCAGCAAGAATCCAAATCCCTTATCGCCAATATTCTTCATTGTCTGGTTCACTCCAGCTCTCATACTTAGTCCCACCTCATCTACCTCATCACCCGCCAGTCTCAACATGGCTATCACAGCATCAGCCACTCTTGCCCACCACTCCAGCAACGCCAAAATGCCTTCTGCATCCCCCATCATCACTGCCACGCACCTCTTGAACGCGAGTAAACATGACATCGCAATGCTGCACGACATCCACACTCTCCTCAACAAAATCTTCATCCGCAACCGGAATCAGCACCAGCGCAGCACGTGGTGGAAAGCGCTACATGCGTTCCGCAAGCAGATTGCTCTCTTGCTAAGTGAGCTTGAGACAAGCAAGATGAATGAACGGGAGGCAAAGCTTGAAGCGAGGTTGAGGTATTGGGATGACAGGGTTATGCATGCTTGGTACTAGTATGTTGATCCCTCTCCGTCTTTGACCTCCTAGGGACTTTAGACTAACAGTATCAAAGCCAGTTCAGCCAGCTTGTTGCTGTGGGTCCGTTTGCCATGCTAGGCCTTGTTATGATGGCGTCGGTTGCGCGCGTGTGCAGGATCGTGGGCATTACGGCAGTGTATGAAGAGATTGCTTCCGGGGATGTGCAAGGTGTGTTGAGCGCGAGCGATGAGTTGGCTTTGGCGGATGAGTTTAGCACCGTGTTGGATAAGGATGAGGAGTGGGATGAGGGGGTTGTGGTGGCGAGGGTGTGTGATGACGACGATGATGATGATGATGATGATGAGGATGAGGATGAGTAGATAATGTTTCGCGATGTTCTTTTGTACGTTATCACGATGAGAGGGAAAGATACCAAGATAGCCAGGCCTGGCTATCCTCACGGCGTTTTCATACTACAATTTCTTCCCATACCATATATTGTCTCCTCGTACATGCATCGTCTTGCCTATCATATCGTCTCCGTCTTGCGACGTAATACATTCTATCTAATACCAAACCTCGACCCCAACGTACCAAACCTGTCCTTTCCCTCCACCTTCGGGCTCTGCGCCACAACCTGCGCACCTTCTTGCACCTTCTCCAGCAAAATCGCGCCCTTCATCTGATCAACCTTGCTATACTTCTTGTTCCTTTGCGCGATATCGAAAAACTCCTCGCTATTGTCTGTGCCCATGAGCGCCACCGTCTGCGTCAACTCATCCAAGTTCTCCATCAGAATCGGGTTATTCAGACTCGACACGAACTGCGACAGGAATGCCGTGTCGGCCGCCAAAGTAGCCACAGCGGCGGGCGATATGCGCTTGATGTGCGAGGCAAGCGGCAAGTCGAGGATAGCAGTGGAAGCATGACTCAGCGCATCGAAGTAGATGAATTCTTTGATATCCATAGGCAGGGCGAGAAGAACAGAAGACATGATGTTTGAGAGGTATCTCGTCAGTTCGAGCATGTAAGTTGAAGGTTCATTCTCCGGTTTCGCCGCCATCCAGTCGTACTCTGCAGTTTCGATGAGGTCGTCGATTTTGCTGTTTACGAGCTCGAAGACGCGGTTGGAGGCTGTGTTCTTCGCTTTTGCGAAACGGTCGGTTGCGGCAAGAACAATGGGGCCGGTTGCGGATGGGGAGGAGCGTGCTTGGAAGAGTAGGTCTTGCAGTTCGATGCATGCGTTTTCGAAATGTTCGAGGTTGGTTAGAATTTGTACGATTTGGCCGGGGTATTGGCTGCTTAGGCGCTCGACAAGACTGCCACAGACTTTTTCGCAGAGGAGTTCGTCGAGACTTGTTCGCAGGGTTTCGTCGATTACGCTGCTCTTTTGGAAGTAGTCGTCGCTGAAGAGGTAGATTTGGTTTAGGAAATTTCGAATGTCGATGCAGCAGAGAGGATACATTTGACTGAATGGCAACACACAGGGGAATGTGATTTGCTCGTTGTTGTTCGGCGGGTTGTACCACGATACAGAGACGACCTTGTCGTATTCTTCGGCCGAGTTGATAGGCATGGGCATGTAGTCGTCGGTGTGGACAATTTCCAGAAAGTCTTCGCTGAAACGGTGTTTGAGGAGAGCAGAATACTTGGAGAAGAGCGTTAGGAGGAGGTCGTTCATTGCCGAGACGGAGTAGCCCCATTTCTACGATGCGGTCAGCGGATGGAGATACAGGTGATTAGCCATGTGCGACGAACCTCCATGGTCAACATGAAGAGTGCAATGCGGCCCTTGATCTTAAGTAGCAATTCATCGTTGTCTACTGTATGTAGTTGACTGGTAATGAGATTTATCGCGCTTTGACACATGGAATCCCATAGTTCATCGACCTAGGTTATCATTAGCCATATCTCATATATCTTGGAAGAATCCGCTTACATCAGCCTGCGATCGAAGATTCAGCGTTTTCGACATGGTGGCTTTCTCAATGATTGCGTAACCCGCGATACTCTCAAGCAAGCTGCTCAAATCGCTACACTCCTCATCTAGCAGATCAAGCTTGTTCGGTATGATTAGGTCCTTCTGTGTCCGTCGATCCGATGCATACTCTGCTCGAAATTGGTCGCTCTTGCCAAGAGTTTCGTTGATATGCATGGCCTCGAACAACGGCGAGAAGTCGGTCTCGTTTCCGGCCTCCTCGTTGTTGAGGACATCAAATTCATCCGTCTCATCAGCGACAAGCTCAATCGCTGAATTCAACTTGAATTTTTGAAATCGCGGATCTGTCTCGGCCCGCTCTTGGTTGCGCGTTCTCCGTACGTCAGTATAGTAGAAAGAAACTTCGCCCAGGAATTGCGCAGACTCGCGAATTCGGTAGAGCCACGTGCTCAAGTCGTTCTTGACTGCTTCTCTAATCTGTTCCTGGGTTTGCGGGATCGACTTTTCAATCAAGTTTGCAATCTTGAACCGGCTAATCTCCTTCAAATGAATCGTCTGAAGCTCATCAAGTGCTCGTAAAGCGGCGTAGTAGTTCTTTTCCCTCAGCATATCCTGGACCTGGTTGGCGATTCGCAACACATTCAGACAGGCGGTCAACGCCTGAGTCGCTTCATTAATGTTCTGTCTCACACCCCGCGAGTCCACCAGTGCTTTTTTCTGCTCGGCCAGCTTCTCAATACTCTCTTGTATCGATTCATTCAGCTGCAAAATCTCCCCACTCATCTGGACGGTCTGGTCACGAATTCTAAGAAGCGAATCCACCGAGCTGACAAAATCCTGGTGATTTGCATTACATATCCGCTCAATCTCACTTTCGCGATCATTGGCATATCGGTCAAATGTGATTTGCAGTTGGTTCGAGTAACGGGCATCCTTCATTATGGGAATCAACTGGTCGATATAGTCCGACCCCACGGAAGACTGGGATATCTGATTCTATCAGCATGCTGTATGTGGCTATCTTGTGTATGGCCAGCTTTTACTTGTTTGATAGCTATCCATAAGTCATCCTCTTGGTCTATGGCGGAGGGCATGATGACGGCTGCCTAATACGACTTGATTAATTGTCGCAGAATTTTCGAACGATCGGGAAATCAGGTACAGTATCACGACAACGACGACGGTTATCTTTCGTTATGGTATGGAGTTGTTGCTCGCTGCCGGTCGTCTCGGTGCTTGAAACGCGTACCTGGCAAGTCCGCGTATTGCGCTAGTGCAAATATGGCTTAGCTGCCTCGGCGCTCTGTTCGATCCACTTTCCCTTTGGGGCGCATTCGGTGTTCGACTTTCATCTTAATGAAGGTACTTGTTGCATAATCAGATGCCTCTGGGGCAAGTTCTCACGACACTTGCCTCTTTTACGGAATGGCGATTCACAGATTCTAGCCTTTCATGAATGTGATCTCAGAATCTCGCAAAGATACATGTCAAAGCGGCATCCGATGATTGCATGGAAGGCTCACAGAGACAAGAGGCCAAGGAAGTCAGAATTCATTCTTCACAACTCATAGGTTCCCAAAATCTTTCTTAGTGCCGGACCTTTCGTCGGCACGCAAAGAAATCAATGCACAGGGCGACGCGTTGCGCGTGCCCCACTCTGGAGCGATGACGGAGTACCCCGCCGATTTGATAGAATTCCGATCCGGAGTCAACGCCAAACATATAATCTTCCCCAAACTTTTCTCAAAACTTAGTAATTACACTCAAATCACACAATATGGAAGCCATCACAAGTAAGAAACGTCCTGATGTCCGCCATTGAGTGTCTTTACTCACAATCCATCGCAGACAAACTACAGAACGTCATGAGCAACGTCAGCGGGGCGGCCACTGGAGCGTACAGCGGAAAGTATGTTGACTGAGAAATACGCGCTGTTTTCAATGATTGCTAATCTTGTCCCAGGTCGGCTCTTCTGCTCGGTGCTGGATTTGTGTAAGGCATCTCATAGCCCAACATCAATTGCAGGGACTAACAATCACAGCACTCGCCCAACCGTAGACGTCCTCGCAAAGTCAGGCGTCAAGGTCACAGTAGCGTGCCGTACTCTCGAGAAGGCACAGAGCCTGGCCAAGGGCATCCCAAACACCAACGCCATTAGCGTATGAATGCTGAATTCAATCTCTAGCCTAATACTAACAGCAGCAGCTCGATGTCAACGATGCCGACGCCCTCGATGCCGAAGTCGCCAAAGTCGACGTAGTTATCTCCCTCATTCCCTACACCTACCACGCCACCGTCATCAAATCTGCGATCCGCAAGAAGAAGAATGTCGTCACAACATCTTACGTCTCGCCCGCGATGATGGAGCTCGATGCTGAGGCAAAGGAGGCCGGAATCACCGTTATGAACGAGATTGGTGTAGACCCAGGTGTCGACCATCTCTCGGCCGTCCTCACTATCGACGAAGTCCATAAAGCCGGTGGCAAGATCCTGTCCTTCAAGTCATACTGCGGTGGCCTACCCGCGCCCGAGAACTCAGACAACCCGCTCGGCTACAAGTTCAGCTGGAGTTCCCGTGGAGTTTTGCTTGCGCTAAGGAACCAGGCCAAGTACTACCAAGATGGTCAGATCAAAGAAGTCGAGGGCCCGGAACTGATGGCTGAAGCTAAGCCATACTTCATCTATCCTGGTTACGCTTTCGTCGCGTACCCGAACCGTGACTCAACTCCGTACAAGGAGCGCTACAACATCCCTGAGGCACAGACCATTATCCGTGGTACTCTGCGGTACGGAGGTTTCCCAGAGTACATCAAGTGCCTTGTCGATATTGGTTTCTTGTCTGAAGAACCCAAGGACTTCCTCAAGGAGGGCGAGAAGCGCACATGGCGCGACGCTACGGCCAAGATCATCGGCGCATCAAGCGACAAGGATGAGGATCTCATCTGGGCCATCTCCTCCCGGACAAAGTTCGCCAGCACTGAAGAGAAGGACCGCATTATCACAGGCCTCCGCTGGATCGGTCTCCTCTCTGACGAGGAAATCACTCCTCGTGGCAACCCTCTTGACACGCTCTGCGCTACTCTCGAGAAGAAAATGCAGTACGAGGAGGGCGAGCGTGATTTCGTCATGCTACAGCACAGGTTCGAAATCGAGAACAAGGACGGCAGCAAGTCAGTTCGCACATGCACACTGGCTGAATACGGCGACCCAAAGGGTTACTCAGCCATGGCCAAGTTGGTCGGTGTACCCTGCGCGGTTGCCGTACAGCAGGTGCTTGACGGAACTCTGAGCGAGAAGGGTATCATAGCACCTATGAGCCCAGAGATCTGCGCGCCATTGATGAAGACGCTCGAGGACAAGTATGGCGTTGTTTTCAAGGAGAAGACTGTCCCCTTGTAAAGCGGTGGGCCTAGGTTGACAAATGAAGAGCCATGTCAGATGATCATCAAAAGTATGGAAAAAAAAGCCCCCCCAGAATCTAGGGGTACCTGAATGAATGTATCAACCGCTTCTATACACATAACAGCGCTCTCTTGTATAGTGGTATCTCTTCTCGTGTGGTATTGATTCAAAGGTTGCCTCTCTCACGTGATGTATCCAACCCTACATTGAGCAGGATCGAATACGTTCCCTTCAACGGACTCATACGAACAGCTGTACTCCAATACTTGGATACTGCTTCCTCAGTCCAGCCCTGCCGACGGCGGAGCTCTTCCACCAACGGCTTTCTTCGCCGGAGCATTTCCCCCCATACCTCCTCCAAACATGCTGCCCAGCATATCGAACATGGGATTACCCTGTCGCGGTATCTTAATCCCAAAGTACATCTCCCCAATCTGATCCAGCGCCTCATTCCAATTCACATCCTTGAGATCACCCCCATAATGGCTCTTCAACTGGCGCCACAAACTAGGATCACCCCTCTCCACGCTCAACAACAATAAGCCCAAGAAATTTAACAGCGGCAACGAGGGGTATACGCGGAGATCAGAGGATTTTGTGGAAACGGGTTGCGTGGGTGGGTTCGGCGCTTTCTCTAACGACGAGGTGAAGAGGAGGAAGAACTTGTTGGCTGCACGGAGGTTGCCCGTAAGCAGGTATGGCAGGACGCCGCGGGCGCAGTATAGAGGTGCTGTGTGCGGGGCGTCGGATGTGTACCAATCGTAGTGGAGGGAAGCGAGGGTTGACGCGCTGTCTTGGGTGCCGAGGAGTAGGTGGCGTTCTGCTTCGTAGGGTTCCAGATCTGTATTTACGTGTCAGTCTCCCCTTTTCATGTAGCTTGTCGTTGTTGAAGTACCTTCAGCGTATAGCCCTCCTGCGACGTGATGGATCTCCGGGTCTCCAGCCGGGAACTCGCCGAACCGGCTACTCCATGCAATCATCTCGCCCACAAACTTCTTCTTCGTTGGTTCCTCCTTGGGAAACGCCCGTAAGAGGCCGAGTAACCGTCCTTTGCTCTCTGCGTCCACCTTGACCTCCCCTTTGTTGTATACGTCGATGAGGAATATGCATAGATCACCACCGGAGCCGCCTTGGCCCGCTTGGAGTAGTGAAAGCGCACCAGAGTAGAGGAGTGAGGTTGCGTTGGTCCAGTCCGAGGCTTTGGTGTAGCGTGAGGCGATTACGCGGAGTTGTTGGTGGGCTTCGTAGTACTGGCCTTCGGCGATTCTAATTAGGGGTTAGAGATGCATCAACATGAGGCGGGGTGAGGCGGCAATGAGTTACTTTTCGCGTTGCCGCTGGAGCGTCTTTTCAATCTTGGAGGACATGATGGGTGGTTGAGGGGTTGCGTGGTGGGGTTGATTGTTTTGGGCGGCGAGCAGAGCTTCTGGGTTGTGACATGTTCAAGGGCGATGACGCAGCGCTAGGGCGGTCGCAAGACCCCACTTCAGCCTCCTTCTCGTCCCAGGACACTCTCGACTGCATCGTACCTTTTTAGTTGAGTATTTTACAATATTTGCGATCATTAGCATATTCTCCTTAGGTGAGTTCTATGCTCGTAAGACGAATCGCAAAAAAATGCAAAAATCCACAGCTCGTTATCCAGCAAACATGAGGTTTTCATGTCAAAGACATACAGACTTTCTCTTCACAGACAAAAAGCAAAATATCATCATGTGCGGAAACCGAGACTCGAACTCGGAGCCCAAGCAGACAACGTAGAGACGTGGGAAGCTTGGATTTTACCCTTAAACCATTCCCGCGATGTTGTGATATGGTATGTTTCCTAATTTTCCAAACTATATTCTAATTGTATTTGTACATTTGTGGAAATCTGGTGCTTCGAAGGAAGCACTACCACGGCATAACCTTGGAAGTGGGACAACCCTATGAGCCTTTTAGCCTAGCTGGAATGCTGACGGTGGGGTCACTAGATGTGACGCTGAAGTGGGGTTCTAGCATTCTTGCCTTTCGTGGACGTCGTCGACGGCACCTCAAGCGACAAGACATACGAGGAACCCTAGATCCTCCCCTGAATGCATCCTTGCGGGCTTGCGATAACCACCTGTCATTTACAGCCTGATTTCAGTGCGTAATTCAATGGCGCCAAGACTATGACTGTGTCGCCCCTACTCTCGTCTAGCAGTGCGCCTCGGGTGTGTCATAGAACACTTGACAGTGTGGGTAAGCACCTTACAGGCGTTTCTGGCGACTACAGTGGCCTTTGTACACTAGTATGTCAAGTATTACATGACATCCAGGTGCATACTTCGGTTTTCGGTCTGAGGGATGCCGCGTTGATTCTGTTTGGCTCGGACAGTCTGACAATGCTGCTGATCATACCCGGAAGCAGATCAATACGTCCACATATGGCATGTGTTGGTGATGGCTTGCATGGACGAGGCGTTGTTCAGCTGAAGTGCTCTAGCCTATTAATTCGTCCGGCTGGATACTATATTATTACTAAAGGTGCCAAGTACGGGGTTCCCACACACATTTATATGTAGGTACCAAGCTAATCACATGATACCAGCCAACGAGCATTGCGCAGGCCATCAAACCTCGTCATATCTATTAGCAATCATAGAGTCAGCCAAGACAGCCTGAACAGCGCCTTCGCGACAACCGAAACAGAGTTTGAGAGCCTTGGGGTCTTTCGTCCAAGTCCAAGTCCAAGTCCAAGTTTTAGCAGTATCGTCTGAGCTACGAAAGACATCCAGCACCCATACACGACACCCAGGCCATGGTGATGTGATACACGGTAAGGAACATTGGAGAATACATACCTTTACAGCCTACGCAAAACGAAGCCAACAATGCGCTGAAGACCTCCAGGAAGTACTGTATAATCTTATCATATTCTATACATACATACACACATAAAACATACGCATACACTCCTTGAACACCCAAGCTTTTGTATATAACACCCAGTCCCCATCCCACACCTCCCTCCAAAAATGAAAAAAATACACCCCATCACTCTCACATCATCATCCCCTCGAGAATGATCTTATACTCCTTCCTCTTCTTCTGGCCCCTCTTCCCACCAAACTTCACCTTGGCAACGCCAATCCACTTGCTCAGCCCGGGGAAAAGAATCCTCTCACAAACATACGCCGCGGCAAAGTTACCCAGACCCAAGGCCATGATGAAGACTTTGAACGGAACGTCCATCCATGTAAGTTCCATGGCCTTCATAACCCACTGCGCGGGGTCAAACAGCATGTACAGAGTGATAGCCAGGGTGACGAAAATGGTAGTTACAAACGGTAGGTTGCGGGACATGGGTTCTCTGTAAGGTTTGCCAACGGAAAGTACAACAGCAGAGAGAATGTACTGGAAGCAACTCGTCAAAAACAACGCCGTGTTCTGCGAGTTCAAGCTGTTGCTGTGGTCGCGGTCAATGACAGGGGGTTGGTACCAGTCCTGCAATTTGACAAAGTGGAACGCAATGTACTGAACCAAGATACAGAGCACCATCTGGCCGAGCAGCGGGGTAAGTACTTTGCGAGAGACGAGATTGGCCGTGGGGCGTTTGCGGCTGAGGATGGGGTAAGCGCCAGACCAGCCCATGAAGATTGCAATGGGTAGGATGAGCAGGAGGTCGATGAAGAGGAATTGGAAGTCGCCAAGGTTGCTGGCGGAGGCGTAGAGGAAGGAGACGGAGCAGAATTGGATGGCGCTGTAGAGAGACATGTATTTGAAACAGCTGAAGCTCGTGACGAGGGCTGCGCGACCTTCCTTGATCACTTGCGGAACGCAGCTGATATCGAATTGGCGGGACGTAAAGGGTGCAGCGACTGAGGCTTCGGCTTCGGAGAGTGAGATACCGACATCGGCGGCTTTGAGAGCGCCGCAGTCATTGGCACCGTCACCACAGAAACCGACGCAGTAGTCGATGGATTGAAGCTTTTCGACGAGCTCGTGCTTCTCGTCGGGCGACATGCGCGCGAAGACTTGGCCACAGACAAGCATCTCGCGTAAGACGTTTTCAGAGGCAAAATCAACAATCCAGCGGAACACGTCGCCACTGACTGCCAGGCTGTAGTTGCGGAGGTTGGAGATGTCATAGGGGAGAGAGACATCGGCTTCTGGTGGTGGAGGGAGAGGTTTGAGCGTGTTGTCGTCTAGCTTGAAGACAGGATCGTCTACGCTTTCCCAGCAGAGTTTCGACAAGGCCGTCCGGGAGTCACCCTCTTCGAAATGAGGTACAAAGCAGTGCGCCGTCTTGTTGATGAGACTGCACTCGCGAGCCACGCTGATGGCAGTGAGGATGTTGTCACCGGTGCACATGACTTTGCGGATGTTGGCGCGTTCGAGCTCTTCGATGACAGGCGCTGTGCTGTCTTTGAGCTTGTTCTCAAAGATGATGAAGCCGACAAAATCTAGGTCGCTCTCAGCCTCCTCGCGCTTCATGCGTTGAGTCTTGAGCCAATTGAGCTTAGGGATCGTCTTTGTAGCGCAGGCAATGACACGGTAGCCACGATGCGTGTAGAATGCCAGCAGCTCTTCGTAGTCAGTAGGGAAGCTTCCGGGTCGGCATATCTCCTTCATGACTTCAGGCGCACCTTTGACGTACACCTGTCCGCTTTTTGATCCAAACTGCCGCACGATGACACTGGCTCTCCGAAGTTGAGACACGAACTCGTAGCTCTTCAGGACACCGAGCTCAACTTGCTTCCTATTGGTGTCATCGTCGACATCATCCACGTCATACTCTCGGCCTGGTGGAGGTCGGGCTACCGAAGGCGAAAGCTTCTGCTCAGGATCGTCGTCGGAGCTGCCAGACTTTTGATCGCCCTCTTCGTAGCTCCAACCAGTGAAGTCGAACATTTTAACATCTAGTGGATCACCCACCAGCTCATCGTCAATCTTGCGCAACGAGTGACAGGTAGCCATGGTGTACAGAATAGTCTTGTGTGCCAAGTATTCCACAGTCGGATCGCGGTCATGCTGGGATGCGGGGAGGATATCGTAAGCATCTGGCAGAAGCTCACTAAACCTATTTCTGGGCCGCTCGACTACGCGAACGCCCAATACATCAAGACCTTCCTCAGTGAGCGTACCAGTCTTGTCAAAGCATACGACATCAAGCTTGCCGCCAACGTTGACTCGTTGTGGGCTAATGCAAAAGATTTGCTTCTGCTTCAGACGTGAGAGAGCGAAGCTCGTACCGATGGTGAGTGTGGCGGGAAGAGCAGGAGGAACGACAATGGTGATCAGGTCGAGAGCTCGCACAACGATCAAGTGCCATGCCAGACCAAGGTGCACGAAGTTGATGAACGACGCAACAAAGCCAATCATGGCAATAAAGGCCATGACGGAGATGTATCGGAACGAGTCACGGTAGAACTTGAAGCCTGAAGGCTTAGGGAAGAGCATCGATCGGACCAACGCGCCCTTGGTCGTGTTGAAGCCAGTACGGACAACCATAGCTAGTGCGGCGGCTTCATCGTCAACATGATCTTCGTGCGGTCTACGAGCGCGGATGATCTTGGTTCCGCTGAACAGCATGTGTCGTGCGACTTCTGGATGAACAGCCGAGGCACTGAGGTCGAGCATGTCCAGCGACTGGTTTGTAACGGGAAGCTTGGAAACCGGGATAGACTCGCCCGTCAGCATACTCTCGTTGACAATGCAGTCTCCAGAGAGCAGCAGACTGTCGCAGGGGAACTGCGTAAGCGCAGGATCGGTGACCTCGTAGACATCTCCTGGCACGAGTTCGGCAGAATCGACATGCGTCCAAAATCCACTGCGCAATACTCGGACGTCGCATTCGAACTTGGACACTTCGCGGAGTCTCTTCATCGATGTCTTTGTCTCGATCAACGTCGTGACAATGCTAACAGCCGAGATGATGAAGATGGCGCAAGCGTAGTAGTAGTACTCGTCCAAGGACCAAAGGATCAGACTTGCGATTTGAAAGACGTAGAAGGGATGGAAGACCTCATCGACGAGCAGCTGGCCAATGGTCTTCTCCGCGATGTCAATCAAGTTCTTTCCGAAGACTAGTTCGCGGTAATCGCGCTCGTCGTTGTCGAGACCCTCGCGCAGGGCGGAGACTTCGGTCCAGGTGGGATCCTTCCAGGTATTCGCCAGCACAAACTTGTCTTTGATAGGGTGGTAGACGAAGCGAATGTAGCGGTAGTCCAGGCATCGCAATTCCCCGATTAGCGGGTCGTCGTCTTCGTCCCACTCTCTCGGTCGTCCCTTTTCTGGGTCACCGAATACGGTTGACAGCGACCGGCCGTAGATTTGGATGCTGACGTCCTGTACCGCAAATTCACCCCACTGGTTCTCTGTCACTATCCAGTCGCACTCTTTCAGCGGCGTGGATTTCCCGATTATCGCAACTCTCCAACGGGGCAGCCATCTGAAAAAGAGCCAGCCGAGTCCAAAGGTCGCAATGCACAGTAGCGCATACAGCGCAAACCCAAACGGCGACGTCTTGAAACCAGCAATAACAATGGTGAGATCCTCGGTCATGATGTAAATCTTCTGGTTGGACCTGCGCCCCCTCCAGTCGATGCCCGAGCCTGTGCTGCCTGTCGAAGAGTGTCTGCGCAGCAAAGGTCTCTCAGAAGACTTCCTGCCACTAGACGATTTCCTGCTGTGAGATGATTTGCCGCTACCATTCGACGGCCGGCGCGATGGCGACGGTGAAGGCGATGACTGCGACGAGACGCCAGCCTCGAGATCCTCAATCTCCGACACGGTGTATCCGTTGTATACACTCCCCTCATCTTCTAGGATGGCGCTATCCTCGTCTTCCAACTCCTCATCTGAATCCTGCTCTTCATCGTAGTAGGCGAAACTAGTCAAACTCGCGCTTGAGTCTGCTCTTGGCCGTCGGTGTCGGAAGCCGGATACACTCGTGGGGATGCTCTCACTCATGGGACCGGAGAAGACCTGGATTTTGGGCGTCAGCTGCTGGCCAGATGTTGTCCTGCCCCGAGGGTTGTAGGAAGGGCGGGATGGAGCCATGGGCGCGAGTTCGAATACCTCTTCTTGCGCCATCTCGACGTCTTCCATGAAGCTTGCCCTGAAGTCATTAGTCGCGTGTCGAGCTGACCTGGCCTGCCACACCTACTCGCTGATGTGGGAGCCACGGCGGTACATGGCGCTCATCCTGCGGGGTCGCCGCCTCTCGGGGCTTTCGTTGTCTGCCATAGTACTTTTTGCGATTGTATTACCGGGCCATGGTGTTTGTTGAAGGAGACGGTAACTTTTCCTGGCGCGTCCTCGGTTGGGCGAGATACCAGTAGGCTGTCGGCAGTCGGTATGACGGAGCTTTGCAGGCTAACTTATCGCACGGATACTTCCGCTAGTCAGGGCTGGACCTTCCCTTCCTAGTCCTTTCGTCCCAAAACACCACCGAGCTGTTTGTGAGCGTCGGCAGGGCTAAGCATGTGCATGGTACAGTCTCTTACTGACGTGTCGAAACATTTGTCAAGACGCCTCGGCCACTTTCATACATAATGCAGCCAAGAGACCCAGGGCGCCTAGTGTATTATTGGACAAGCCTCGCTCCTCAGCCTTGCCATCATCAGTCGAGCTGCGTCAATAAAGCTGCAGCCTAATCACTTCTTCCCCTCATTTTTGGCTTTTAGTTGACGCAATCAGAGTTCAGAATCTTCATTCTCATCACAAATCCTACTTCCACTAATATGGATGTCCCAGGAGCGCATCATCTCCCTGGAGAGCATCTAGCACCCGGACAACATGCATACCAACCACTGCATAGCCCAGACCACAATTATATCGACACAGCGAATTGACGATCGAAGAGAACCACTGGCCTGTGACGACCCTCAAGCCAATGACGCGTCTTAAAATTTGAAAATTTAATATAGTTGTAATGAGTACGTTGAGTGTCGGACTCATCGTTATCCCGCATACGATGATCCGAAACGATCATGTTGTGACGACCCTCCTCCGCACATCATTCCCTTCAAAGTTGTCGGAGTAACTTGTCCACGAATTACTGTGAAGACGGTTTACCCCGCAGCTACAAGAAGATCATTGAGATATCTTAACACTGGGCATGATACTTTACTTTCAGTCCTTTGCCAAAAATACACCAATCCGACCATAATTTTTAGTGATGCGAGATGGTGTAACAACTTTGGTCTTATTAAATCAATGGCTCCTAGCAGAGAACATAAGAGATCTGTGTGTAGACTGGAGGATCGCTTCTGGAGTCTGGAAGAGTTGATAAAGTCGATTGATATACTTCACCCTACCAATCCCGCACTGGTAGACATTGAAGACAACATTGTCAAGCTGGAAGAAGCTTTAGGTTATATAACCTTTTTTTCTTTCGATGCGCCTCCAGGTAACCACGGAATAATCACTGGTCTCAGCCGCACAACACCGGAAGTTGGTGATGAAATCTTTCCAATAAGTCCGGATGTTTCTGATGGAATTGATAGTGAAGATGCAGTACTGGTACTCATCCTACGGCCAGTCAGTTCGATAACGTTTCCCTTTGATCGTCGTTTGCACCAGATCTATCGGCTCATCGGTGACGGCTGGATTAGTTGTGGCACCAAGTCACTACGCCATGTTGCGGGACGAGTAGACGTGAAGAAGAATGTAACATTCTATCTAGCGTAGTCGTATGTGATACAACTGATAAAAGACCACCTTCCTGCCCTTCCTACATATGTTAGACGAATACATCACACTCTACACCCCCACCTTCGCCCGAACAAACGCCTCTGTATCATCCAACACCTCCTGTACCGCCTTGATGGTGCCCGGTGGAAACCCAATAAAACCATGAGGCGCACCGTGGTAGATCTTGACTATACTCTCGTTCCCCCACATGGCCCACTTACTGCCCATCATGACGCTATCGTCCAACAGCGGATCCTCACTTCCGCACGTAAACAGTGCCGGTGGCAACTTCTTCCCCCGCAAATCAGCCCAAAACGGACTTATCGACGGATGGCGACGCTGGGCTTCCGTGGTATTGGGGAGCAGCGCGTCGATATAGGATTTCATCACATCATAGTCGATGACAAGATGAGTCTCATGATGCAGAGCGTGCGGCAGGAAACTCGACATGTCGTAGCAGCCAAAGTGCAACAACAGACCTCTGAAAGCAAACTCGGGCATGGTTTCCAGGAGGTGGAAGGCCACTAGACAGGCGAGATGGCCACCAGCAGACTTGAGAAAATCAGTACGTGTTGCAGATACGAGAGAAAAAAAGGACACGAACCTCGCCACCGGTGAACATGAGCTCCCCACCGAAAACACTCGGCCCATTCTTAACCAGCCACGCCGCAGCATCGTAGCAGTCTTCTGCACCCGCAGGCCAGGGATCCTCAGGCGCAAGACGATACCCAATTGATACAACCGTGACTTCGAAATGGTCCGCCATGTACTTTAGATACGGGTCCTGGCTATGACACGTTAGCCAGTCCCTACTTCATCTGCATCACACCACCCAAAACGAAAAAAGGGAACTTCCACATACTAAGCCTCACTCATCAAAACCCACCCCCCACCATGGATATGCATATGAATGCCCCTACTCTTTCCCCCAGCGGGCTTAAACACACGATACGGAATCTCTCTTCCTGCATCCCGCGAGGGAAGAGCGCCGTTTGTGCCTTCAGGCAGGACTATGGGTTTGGGAAGAGGGGTTTTGCCTTCCCAGCGCATCTGTCGGTATGCTGCTGCGCCGACCTGTCGAATGTCAGCTGATGGGTTGGGTTGTAAGTTTTGGAAGAGAGAGGAGGGGGAAAGATAGAGGGAGAGAGAGACATGCCTCGTACCACCTAGGTCCATCAGCCCAAATCTTGATCAACTTCTCATTAAATTCCAATGTCTGTTTGTCAACGGTGCTGCGGTCAAATTTGGAGGCGTCGACTGTGAGATCGGATTTCAGCGGTGTTGGCGCCATTGTGTTGTGTAACTATCTCTTGTCGCAGTTTCTTCTAAATGTATAAAACTCTATCCACAGTATGATCAAGGTAGTTGTTACGGGAAAACGGTGGTTTGAAGACGACGATGGTTGATAATGGAGGGCTGATAGGTGCTAATAGTGGGGGCGGGGTTACATCGTCAACTTTATGAGAACTGGGTACATGGGCTCTTTCCTACATGTAGTCATCATACCCCCCTCCAACCACCCCATGCGATTGTTATCTCCGAATTAGCGGACGGGGGTGGGTAAGTAGGAAGTTACCTGCATTGGATTCATTGCGGGATACTAGATTGGGAATCTGAAGCCGGTGTTCGGAACTTGAAGTACTTCATGGTGACTCCGAATTCCGAGACCATTAGCGTTGTTCCGAACGTAGCTTGTAAAGTACATAGAAAAGATACATGTCAGACTTCACAATGAAAAAGTAAGCAAAGGGGGAAGAAGACGATTCCATGAATTAGAAAAAGAATTAATGGTAACCCTGACAAACGACATCACTTGGCCGATTTGCCCTGCATCCGACTCGACGACAAAGCTGTATACCCACCCCCTTGCTGCACACCCTTCCCCCGTCGTCTGCCCTGTCGCTCATCCCTCACAAACAGACTCTTAGCCACACCAAACGCCACAGCCGTCGTGCGAAAGGGATACATGACGATATCCCAACCCATCTGCAACGTATGATTAACAGTCCTCACGATCCAGCTTAGCGTCTTGGAAACCAGACCGGGTCTTTGGCCCGTCCGCGCAGCAGCGGCGGCCAGAGCAAGGGCATCTTTGAGTCTAGACTCCAGATCTTGGAAGCGAGCTTCGATCTGGAGGGATTGCACCATGTGGCGTTTCTCGTAGCGCCTAACTGCACGAGTGAGACCATCAAGTTGGATTTGCGTGGTCTGTCGGACTTCGGCGGTGATTTTTTCAAAGTCTGCTTCATGAGTGTTGTTGTTGTTGTTGTTCGAATTGGGGGTTTGGACACCTTGGAGGCGGCCTTCTAGCTCAGAGAGGCGGTGCGATAGTTGTTGTGCGTCTAGGGTACGGATAGGCTCTCGTGGAGCTTCGCGGAAGATGCGTTGGAGGTGGAGGATTCGCTGCGTGCGCATCTTGATGAGCCGGTTCATGGGGGGTATCTCGGCGCAGAGCAGGAAGATGCTGAGGTTGGCGTCGGAGACTATGCCTTCGGCGCGCATGAGTTGTCCGCGTATGGTGTGCATGAGGAGTGCACCGAGCAGTGGGCCTAGAAAGCATCCGGCGAAAGCGAAGAGCTCTGTTCGCTTCAGTGCGTCGCGAGCCTCCCTTTGCGCTGTCGATGTAGTGGAGACATCGTTGGCCGACCTTGGCTCGCTTGACACGTCTACCTGGGTCTCAGACAGATCCTCGTCGTCTTCTCCGTCCTCTTCATGTATCGTATCCTCTTCGTATGTGTCCTCCATCTGGTCGTTCACGTACAGTCTTTGCTGGGCGTCGTGGTACCAGTCCCTGTATCTGTCAGCGACTAGCCTTGACGCTGTCTAATCAAGCTCACCATGGGACTCTCACACTCCAGTGCAGGAACCAGCCTGCTAAGACCAGAATGAAGATATCTGTCGCAATGGCAGCGCCATTCTCCACCGTCAGCCCAATGATTGCAGGGACGACAGCCGCGAACACGGGCAGCGCAATCCATCGCGAAGGCTCGTCCAATAACGCATGCCTGTCCATATCATTCTTCCCCGCTCTTAATAGGTTGTCGGTCGAGGACCCCAAGGAATAGCGCGTGTCCGAGAGATTGGACACGACGGAACTGCGGCGTCGGGGCATGGCTGTAGGGGATGTAGAGGGCAGCGCACTCTCAGCGACGGTTGCTGCACGATTCAACATTCGCTGGCGTAACTGCGGGTGTAGCGGTGCATGGCCTTCGGCAGGCGCGGCCTCCATTACGGAGAAAGTCGAGGCAAAGGTGTGCGACGTGTCGCGGATGCCTAGAATCTCAATTCAAGAAGGAGCGACGTGGCAGAGATGCGGATGACTGTGTCGCAGTAATCGTAGTGGCTGGAAATGCATTGCTGTGGTTCCAATGACCCGTACTTTTTGCGAACATGACGGTCGTGTGCCGTTGTTGACGACGCCTCGGAACTATCGATTGGCAGTTACGTCACTTGCTTCCCGATTGGGACAATTGTAGAGATGCGTCCCTTCCCGAACTTCTTCATTCCCCGCAAACCGATAGTCTGCCGTTCACTTGATAATCAAGGCAGGCTGCATACCCTTATCTTCTTCGATGCACTGGAATGATCATGAGCGTGTCGTCGTCATCTCTAGTGCCGAGGCTGTGGCAACCATGCCGCATTCTTATCACTGCATGACCCTGCTGCTTGCAACAAGGAGTCGACAGAGCGCGCCCCGAAACGGGAAGTGAAAGAGGGTCAGTTGCCACCCGCTGTATGTTATACGCCCCATCGCTTTTTCGCCCGCGAATCCTCCCGTAGCAACCCATCTGCCGTTGAGTCGTCCCTGCCCCAGTGGGCGTACATTCGAAGGTCTGTATGCAGGTAGATATTCGCATGACATATCCACCAACAAGCAACCTTGGCCTTGACAGGTGTACCAGTAGAAGAAGTTGGGGGCGGGACAATCTGGATAAACGCCATGTACAACCCGACCTGCACCTACTCGCACGTGCGGAGACCCAACACGTTTTCCACGCCGTCTCCGCTGTGGTGCTCTGATATATCATCACAGTCATGTTTCTGTTCGCGTCGCATCGGATTTCTATTCAGAACTCGTTTGGCATCAACATTTTTCTATTCAGACCCAAATGCGGTTTGGCGCAAGTCTCAATACCCTCGCCACAACCAGCAGCGCCGCAACCAACTATCGCGAGCACTAGGCAGCGCCGAGTCTGGGCGACTACTCAGCTCGTTTCAGAAAGACTGTGATAGACCTCGGCGAGTACGTCTAGTTAAGATGAATGTCGAGTGGAGCCACTGGATTTCACCACTCAAGTGAATGCAAGTCAATCAGAAGCTTCTATTCAACAGTATTGAAGCTTGAGACACACGAATCTTATTGAGATTTCAATACACGGCGTTCAAATACCTTAATCATGGAGGCAGCCGTCTACACGGGTATCCGTTCCTTATGATTTCTTTTGCTTCACCTGCTCTTGCCTAATACCATCTTTCCCATATTCCCACTGCCTGACACCGCCTGACCATCTATTTGGGAGACGGCATCCCAAAAACAGACTGAACAAAGATTCAAATACCCAGTGTAACGGCTGTATCCAGTTAAGCAGTTCCAAAGAGTGTACCGCCGCAACGTCCATTTTCACTACCACAAATCTCTTCCCACTTGGTCCATCAACCTCGATACGATGGGCACCGATGTCGTCGACGTCGACGTTTATGTACAATCAGGCGTAATCAATGCCCCTCTCTACACGTCCGCCGTGGTATTTCCTGTGCTCGCCTTCATATCATGGACCATCTGCATCCCACCCATGGCCTGGCATTTCCAACAGTCCAACGTAGCCATGGGCTCCTTCATCCTCTGGATCATCCTGCTCAACTTCTTCAACTCCATCAACCCGCTCATCTGGCCCCGCGACAACCTCATCGACTGGTGGGACGGCAGCGTTTGGTGTGACATCCAAGTGCGCCTCCAAGTGAGCTGCGGTGTAGGCCTAGCCGTTTCATCCGCCCTAATTGTGCGCAAGTTGGCTAGGGTCATGGACACGAGCAATATTATTGTATCGAGCAGCCGGACCAGCAAGACTAAAGAGAGGATTTGGGAAGCAGTGTGGTGTTGGGGCGCCCCACTACTTCTGATGGTTTTGTACTATGTTATCCAGCCAACCCGATACATGATTTACGGCATCGTAGGCTGCATAGCCACCTACGATACATCCTGGCCGAGCATAGTGATAATCTTCATCTGGGCACCCATAGCCATGTGCGTCGCTGCTTACTGGGCAGGTACATACCATCTCCCTTCTTCCTCTTCAAGTTCACTTCTAAACTAACAACATCACAGCTCTCTTAGTCTACCGTCTGTACCGTTACAGACGCGACTTCCACCGCCTGGTCACAGCACGCAACACAACTGCCTCGCGCTTCGTCCGCCTCTTCATCCTCAGCATGGTCGTCATTCTCATCTATCTCGTCTATTCCTTCTACCTCCTCGTCCAAGTCTGCCTTGTAGTCAACGACCCTTACTCATGGTCCACGATCCACGATCCCGCCAGATTCAACACCATCATCCGCGTCCCCATGTACGGCAAAGTCCAAATGGACAAGTGGATTCAAATCGTCACCGGCTTTGTCATCTTTGCCTTGTTCGGCACGGGCGTCGATGCGCATAATCTCTACAAGAGGATGCTTGTTTCCGTTGGCGCGGGCAAGATATGGCCCAGTTTGTACGAAGAGAGCCAGCATGGATCACGAACGCCGAGTATTCTTATCGCAGCGAGGTCTTGGACGGAGAATGTCTCGACCAAGGCAAAGAGTATGCTTTCGTCGTCGTCAAAGATAGATGAGACAAGAGATACGTTTAGTACTTCTACGCGCAACGGCTCTATTGCTCTAGACGCCATCTCGCACTTGCAAAACACAACTACCGAAGACACGCTGGTGCGCCTCAAGCAGAAAGACCCTGCTTCATCGACTGGGCGTCGTTCGTTTTTTAAACGCTGGTTCGCTACTCCGTATCTGAACAGCCCTATCCTACCCCTCTTCTCCCACCGCCACTTCACAACCATCACGGGTCCCGATGCTAGTAGATCGCCAGCTGCAGCAGCATCCTCGTCTTCACCAGGCGTACACACTCAAGCTTGGGCTGCGCAGGGAACCTCGTCTGGTGGACGAGCCAGCGTCGGTAGCGGTGTTCATGTCTTCCAGGAGGTGCATCAGGCGCGTCATGAAAGGTGGGAGAGAGAAAAAGATGGGAGTTCTATCGCTGCGTTAGTGTAAAGGGTGGCATAGTTACGTGGGAGTTCAGTCTCTGGGGGCATAACGAGATGTATAGTGGGCAGGTTCACGGCAGCTACTTCACCCACCAAAATGCTGTGGTTCACACTCGGGTATTTACATATTTTCGGTCTTATTGCCTTGTGTGGGGTTCTTTTTTAATGCAACTGTTTCGTCAAAATCGTATGCTAGTCCTGTCTCTTGATCTCTCTCATGATATGGCACGCTTGATAAGCAGGGGCTTGTGGATGTCTCCTGATGTCCGGAAAGACTGGACATCGGGTATAGAGGTGCCGGAAGGGTTTGCCGGGCGTATTGCGTGACGCATTGGTGACACACGAGGGGTACAGGCCGCGAATACGCAGAACGCGAAACGAAGGTTTACTCACGACCCACGCATACCGTCTAGTTAACATCCTGTCTTGTCGTAAGAGGTGTGAGGCGTTCCATCGGTTAAGACACTAGCGTGAACCACATTGCGTCATCGCACACAAGCACAAGGACTGACATCAGTTACAATATCACATCACACAGCAAATACGCAATTGTCGTGAAGCATTTTTGATTCCGTTATCGCATGTCCACATGGCGACGTATCAGTCAAAGGCAAGCCTCCACAAGAGGTAGCGAGCCGGTGTTAGAGTGACCGTCAGATCGCATGTTCAAAGAAACTCCCGAAGAACCCCAATGTGCTTGTTCAGCAATTGACCAGCATCCATCGCGTTCCGCAACCCAGCACAGTCGTCACCCTCGGAAATGGTAGTTGAAGCTCGCGTGTCGCAATCCGCCATTGATGTAACTTGAGGTCGGAATGCGTGTTGGACAAGTTTGGTGCGAGCCGGCCAGAGGGTCGTGCGTAGAAAACGTCGTTCAATGATCGTTATCGTTCAGAGTTGAGGTGGTGGGTACTGAGATTGAGGGGCGAGTAGTTTATTTGCTGAACACATGTTAGAGTCGGTTTCAAGAAATCAACTAGACAGGATAACTTACGAGCGAGCCCTAGTCTTTCTTCTCTTGCGCTTGAGACGTCGAACGCGCTTCTTCCTCCATTTGGCTCTCATCTTGTCGGCGGCTGTCAGGTGCGGTCAGCGGCTGCAATTGCAATCGACGGAGTTGGCAGGAAGCGCAGAGAACCTCAATAAGCACAACCAGTACTTATCAAAGTGTTGCAAGGCACATTGGGCGCCGTGCAGAATAACTTACATTGCTGAAGAGATGAGTGTCGTGGGTGAGGAAGCAAGAGTTCCAGGAGAGCTCACGAAATAACTAGGTGGGTGCGGGGCTCGCTTAACGAAAGTGGCTTGGCGCCTCAGCCTTGGAACGACGCCAAACTCGATACGCGTCGCGTCACCTTCCCTACGTCAACTCTCACTCGCTCATTCTACAACAGTGGTCTTACCGACGACGTCGTGTCGCAGGATGGAAGGGCAGGTCACGGCATATTTACATATTCGAGTCGCTGGCCAAGACGCATATGGTAGACTGAAGATCGTCGAGTCATGATCTCAGACTAACATGTGCAGGCATGCACGGCAGCAGCATTGAAGTGTGCGGGAATGAGCAGTTCTACCTGGGGAGAGATACAGCGCTCTGGTGAGAGCAGTGTACTCCTCGCTGTGATATGAGCTTGTTCTGACCTCGGCACCAGTCGTTATGCCTGGTACGAGGACCTGACTATTTCACGAGTGCATCTACGCATACACTGCATTCTTTACGATCAAGACCCGGATTCCACTATCGCCCCGTTTGTTTATGCGACCGACCTTTCAGCCAATGGTACCTATCTGAAAAGGAGTAATTTGGAATGTACCGCGTCACAAGGTCCCGGTATTCTGATGGGTCGCAATAGCACTTTCCTATTAGATGACAGAGACGAAATCAGTATCTCAGAGACCGTCACATTGATCTACCGATCCAAAAGTCCTTTGCAGCTGATGAGTCTCACGGCCTTGCAAGAAAAAGAGAGGCAGACGTTTGCATCGCGCTTTCTTGTCACTGGCCGTCTCCTCGGCGAGGGCGGGTATGGAAAGGTGCTTGTTGGCATCAACCAGAACACCCAGCGACAACTCGCATGCAAGATCATTCGAATAGACAAACTTTACAACACACTAGCTGTGCAGAACCTGCGCCTGCCCAGTGGCGGACGGCAGGAGCGTGAGCCTCAGACCAAGAAACGATGGCCCACAAGAGTCGCCAGTTGTTTCCGCGAATTTGACATACTCAAAGATCTCACTCATCCGAACACCATTGCTCTGGAAAAAGTTTTCTGGAGCCCAAGCACTATCTATATTTTCCTGGAGCTTGCTACAGGCGGTGACTTGTTCTCTTTCATCAACTTCAAGGGCGGCAAGCTTGATGACACACAGGCGGCGACTGTTGTGCATCAAATCCTCAAAGGTGTTGAGTATCTTCACGGCCAAGGTATCGCACACCGCGACCTTAAGCCTGACAACATTCTAATGACCTCGTTTGAAGAAGATGCTCGTGTCGTCATCAGTGACTTTGGCGCAGCTAGATTTCTACCTGGTGCCAAAACGCCAAGCTCATCGCAGTCCAACAAATACCAGCGAATGTTCTCTGTAGTTGGGACTTTCGAATACACCGCGCCTGAGATCTTCCGGCTGAACCGTGCCATTCCAGCTGACGGTGGTTACTCAAAGAGCGTAGACATGTGGTCTATCGGCTCTATCACGGCTATCCTGTTAACGGGTGATGCTCTCTTTATTGACCGTTCCCATCCCGAGTACCATACGAACCCTAAAGACGTAATTGTTGGTCTCGCAGCCGTCTGTGATCTGAGTGTGCTGGACGAGGACCACCATCCATGTTGGATGACAGTTGGTGGCCTCCCCAAGCATTTCATCAAGAACCTGTTAGTCTTGAAAGAGGAAGACCGGATGACTGCATCAATGGCTCTTGCACATTCCTGGTTCTCCGAGAACACCAAAAAGACGTATGCACGGACAATTGCCGCCTGGAAACCCCCCAAAAAGAACATTCAACTGGTCGAACGCATTACCAGTCCCTTGCCCGCTTCTGGTATATCCAACAAAACATCAAGCCATGTTACAACCTCGCGCCATCTTGGTGACATAGGTTCGCAGATTCGACCCCCCAACACCTCACTGCCGTCTATTATAGAGGATCATGAGCCAGCCCAGTGTGCAAGCCAAGTGAAACTTTCATCAAGCAAAGGCAAAGCTACTACACCGCATCTTCGATCAGGGGGTCAGCTCACCCATCGCGAACTGCAGCTACCTCAAACAGGCGTCATATTCGGAAGCCCTGGGCACCAAATTTCACTTTTGAAGTCAGCCACACCAGGTATGGATGTTGACGATATGGATGACGGCGAAGACTCGGACTGCTCTGGGGAGAGCTTAAATCGGGTTACGAACAATTACTCACAGCGAAGAGAGTACATACGACACTTGCAGCACCAGGAGTATCAGTCGGGGCACGGCTCAATTCAAGTACACCAAACGCCTTTTGATGAATACGTGAATTATGAGGGGCGCAGAGATGAGCACACAGTTGACGAAGTTTACTACCAGGAGGCTCAAGACCCCGAAAACGATTCAGTTTGTGTACAAGAGACGCCCCCGGAGTTGATGCGGAAGCGGGGACGCGCCTATGATCAAGCGCTGCCAGCTTACAAGCGGCGTTTCGCTATTGGTAGTTCGGGATGAATCTCGTTGAACATGCTCACGCAAAGGAAATTAATCTCTCTCACTAGGGGCTTCGATCTAGGATCATGAGCCCCGGCTAACATCCAGGGTCATTGGTATTACATCTAGCAGGTATGGCGCTAGAACGATGCAGATTTGTACATCGTAGTTTTTTACTGGGAAATGACACGTTCACAAAAATAGTGTTCATCCCATTCCGGTGGCTCTACCAGAACTCCTATTCCAAAAAAGACCGCTTTGTCGCATGCGGCATGCCATTAATGTAAGATGTGCAAGAGCAGAATCGCAAGATGGTTCCACACTAAGTGTGCAACCTGGAGTGTGAGTGTGCAGTATGCGTGCAGGAGGCAATGGCGTCAAATACACCGCATACATTTACGTAAACCCAATAGATACAGAATTCGGCATTGCACACATCTCCGTCCACCCCTTTGCATGTTTCAAATACGCCTCCCCCCGATTCGCAAACTCATTCGCCAAGACAATTTCTGCCACACTCTCCAACTACGGATGGTCCAACAACGTGCTCAAACTCAGAAGTACCTTTTCTATCGTATGATTGTGGTGCCAGTCACTCCCCAGCATCTTCCAGCTCACAGCGCCCGTTCTCCCATTCACATTTGGGCGGTAGATTTTGCTTGTGAAGTTTAGTTTTGGTGGCCCTGCGGGATAACTAATCATCGGTGAATTGGACGTGGAAGGCAAAGGTACCGCCTTCGTAGGGCGAGTTTTGCAGGCCTTGGAGAAAACCATGCCAGGTGAAGAGGTCACTGTTGAGGAGGGAGACGGTGTAGTTTGTGTGTGGGGCTTGGCGGAGACTGTGGTAGTTATTCTTTTCCAAGGCGCTTTTTCGTGGGTGTCATTGTTGGCCTGGATCAATAGTCTTCGCAAATGCCTTGTAGAGGATGCATCAAAGCTGTATCCTCTGTGCGTTTGAAGTCGCGACTTTGAGATCGGGAAATCTCCAGGCTGGTCGTGCCGAGTTGCGCTCTGGCATACGTCATGGCGATATCGCGCCTGCTTCCGGAGTTCCTCTATCTTCAGCGCTCTCTCTTCCACTAGAACCATTCATCGTCATCCATCACAAAGAGGCATACATTTTGCAGTCTTCAATTTCTTGTTGCCAAGCCAGAATAGTGTCTATCAGCTCGATTCCCTCTACGTCCCTTCACTCCCAGGGCGCACCTATCCCCACATTACACTTACAGCCAAGAGCTCTGAAGTCGCAATTTAATCTCCCGCTGTCGCAGTTATTGCAAGCCATCACGCGCACCGTCCCAGATCCCTTGCTACTTCAGTTGCTCTCTGCAGGAGGCAGCAAGTTAATCTTACATCTTAATCCCTACCAGGTTGAAAGCGCAGTCCATGCGCCTTTCTATCTTGAGTTTTGTAGTCAGCTTTTGGACTGACCCAGAATCATTCGAGCTTCACAACCGCCGCTTCATCCCGGCCGTCATCCCGGCCGCATGTCGTCCTTTCCTTTTCTGGATTCGGCACATGCACGTCCCACTATCTCTTCCATTACCCTGGGAACTGGGGCTCAGCCCCCTCTACATACATATGCGCCAATGACATGTTTCCTCTTTCCCTCTGGAATATTTGGTTCTTTCTATGTCTACAAAAAAGTGACTCAGCTTTGGGAAAGGTGGCCATGAGTGATCATTAGGGGGATTGGGATCAAACCGAATTACCAACTCGTGAAGCGATCGAGTCGGCGAAGTCGGTGACTGCGACATTCAAATGCATAGTGATTGGGCACACCTTTGGGGTCTTTGATAGGATTGAACTGCTGTGTCCGATACATAACATGTATGTTAAGCGGCCTAATCACATACGGGAATTGCTACAGGCGAGCCAAGCCCCTTTTGAATGTCAGCTTGCGCTTACTTTCTCCCGCATGGAAATCCTCATCAACGCCAGCTTTAAGAAAAATCACGTTGAATACGCTCGATCAACCTTTCATTCAGTAGATCAGGTGAGCGATGGTTTTTCGCATCGGCTGGTACTAGTTCACGAACAGCCTGAACAAACTTTCGGATGGATGGCGATCTTCTGATGTTGTGAGCATTATTGTACAACACGGTATGTGCTGCTATATAGAGATAAAATACAACCACCAAATGACCGTATGTCCCTGATTGATACTTGCGCTTGTGTTTCACTAACCTTTCAGAAAAAGCGGCAAGCTCCACAAGCTGTTCAAAGAGTAAGGATATATCTGGCCTGGCTATCATCGTGTGCATTCCAGCGACAAGAACGTCAATTATCTCTAACTACTTCCAGAAATCACACGCAGTCGGGTCATCGTTACCGCCCTTTGTAGGAATACGATGCCTTCGCGCATACGAGAATGTCGTGTTGGTACAGGGTCGTATTATCCTGGCCATATATTAATCTCGTTACAGCCCTGCTATACGACTCCGACTCCGACGAAAGCTCGTACGTACGGCATATGCCGGGATTTCCGTCAAGGGCAAAACCTCTATGGCCATTGCACAGTGCCTGGTATATCAAGTGCCCATGATACCGCCCTAGCTAGAGAACAAGGCAAGCTTTGGGATCGCCGTTGGTCTCATAAAGCCTATCCACTCGTTACGAACTCTTACAGTCTTTACCTTAATATTGTGTCATTACAATAATACTGCATTACAAAAATGGCTCGCCTCCTCCACGCCGTGGCGTGTCTCTCTTTGGCATCTGGTGCCCTTTCTGCGAGTCTGTCACTGTCAAACTATGCACAACTTCGAGATCGAGCCTCTGGGGCAAGCCCTTGCGCCCAGGTTCGCGATTTGTCTGCGGCTTTCATAGCCGACCCGGCCAATGGTAACTTTTCTCCAACAGTACCGGCAGAATTGGCTTATGGTGAGAGCTTCCTACATTAGCTGCATACAAGACGTCAACTGACTTTCCTTTCCAGAATGTCTCACTTCAGTACCGTTTCGAAAGGACGTTGCCCTCACTTTGGTGGATCAGGTGGTGCTATACTCGAAGTTCGCGAGCACCGTATCCATGGCCAAGAACCCACCCCCTGAGTACCGTCAGAATGTGCAACCACCCTACGATCTTATGGCAGCTCTTGCCAACGTTCGAGGGAAAGTACTATCATCAAGTTATAAGAGTGAGTTCGAGGTAAGCTTTGTCTCCACATTACACCTGTGGTAGATATAAACTAACTTTTCAGTTTTCTATGGGCCTTGTGAACGCCATTCGAGGCATGCATGATGAGTTTTTCTCGTATGTCATGGATATCCACACAGCGTTTCTCTTTTTGCGCACAACTATGATCGTCTCGGTTTCCGTTGATGGCAAGCTCCCGGAAATCTACTCCTGGCATGATTTGGCCGACGAGAAAAACAAGACGGCCAAATACAAGCCTTCTGCTATTACACACATCAATGGTCAACCCGCCACTGCCTTTCTAGAGAAAGAGTCGAAGACTTTGTTTGCCAAGGATCCAGATGCGGCGTACAACAAAATGATGAGCAGTCTGTCTGGTACTCACACAAGTTCATTTGCGATGGCCAAGGGCGCATTTGCTGCGGGTGGAGACCTTGGAACTGACTACCCTGGTCCTACTACTACATACCGATTTGCAAACGGTACGACAACTGTTAAACAAAATCAAGCTATCGTTCTCATCCCCTTCGATGGAGTTAATGATGGAAAAAGCTTGGCCGACCTCTGGTTCCCTCCTCCTCCTCCTCCACAGGATTCAACTCCGCAGAATTCAAGTGAGCAGACTCCAAGTAGGCAGAATTTTCTTCCGTCGGATGACGGACCAGTGAACCGTACCGCAATTGCAGTACCTCCAATTGGCTACCCACCGCCAGAATTCTACCTTGATACTAACGATGCCGGCGGTTACCTTCTCGGTGGTCAATACTCAGATGTTGCTGTACTTGCTATTGGTAGTATTGGTGGCAGAGGTGCGAAGGTGTTTCAAGATGCTATTTTTGATTTCATCACCAAGGTCAAGGCACAGGGAAAGAAGAAGCTCATCATCGACCTCTCTTCCAACACTGGCGGCAACGTCCCATTGGCATACGATCTATACAAGATGCTGTTTCCATCCGGAGACACCTCTGCGTTGGCAGATCGCTTCCGCGCCTTCAACATCACCGAGTTGATGGTGGAGTACTTTTCTGAACTTTCCAACGATTATCCACGTTCTGCAAACAGCGCAAACGACACTGTCGCTTATGTGAACCAGTACTTCTTATCAGATACCTTCAATAAGGATACAGATATGGATATCAACGGAAAGCCATTCAAGACTTGGCAACAGAAGTTTGGCCCAGATCTGCATCAAAATGACGACGCCTTCAGCAGCCTCTTCCGGTGGAATTTCAGCGATCCGGATGTAGCATACTTCTCTGCAAATGCCAGTATCCACGGCTTCGGATCACTGGCAGCCTATGTCCACGCTCAACAGCCATTCAAACCCAGTGATATCATTATCGTCTCGGACGGCCAGGTCGGGGGAGCAACCGCTGTGTTCACTGAGCTCATGCGAAAGCAGGGTGCCAAGTTTGTTTCTATTGGAGGCCGCTCACATCGGGGGAAGATGCAAGTCGTTGGCAATACTGCATCAACAGGCGTGCTCAACGCCGCATACATCTCGGCCACAGCCACGACACTCATGCGTACTCTTTCCGACGATAACGAAGCCGCTCGACTCAACAGAACCGATATGAACCAATTCTATGATACGACCTTGTTCGATCGATTGTCGCCAGGCAACTTTATGGGTGTCCCTTATCGTAATGGGTATCGCGTGAACGACAAGTCAAACATTCCCATACATTTCAAGTATACGCCTGCAGAATGCCGTATGTTCTACACAAAGGCGATGGCTCTAGATATGTCTGCTGTTTGGGAGGCTGTTGCTGACTCTGCCTGGGGCACCAAGTGCCACTGTGTTGATGGTTCTCTTCGGAGTCCAGGCCAGAAATCAAGCCTACTGTCGGATCGTGAGTATCAGTAGAGACGTCGGCTGCTTGACACTTCGGCCCGACTTCGGCCCACCTTGCGCAGAGCTTAGGTATACCTTCGTAGCAGCTATGTTCGTAGACAATCAACAAGAACAATCACCGAACAGAATGCATTACTAGTTATCGTTATTTCCCTTTACGCACTTAGTGCAAAGCCAACCAACACCTACATAAGCGCGAGCTTAATACTGTAGAGTTGGCGCACACCGAAAAGATTCAGGCTTGGAAGAACGGTCCTGTGCCGGGCAACTTCGTCACTGCTATGAATGCAAAGGTGGCTGTCGGGGGTAGACTTCCAAACCTTCAGACCATTGGTGGGCTTTAGAACCAACTACCCGAGGAATCCAGCGAGTCATTCTTTTTTTCGTACCTTGCTTCGTGTGTTGCTTTGTCGACACTGCCGCTACGCCATTCAAGCTGCTTTCTTCGACGGAACCGTCTTTTGGGGGGAGGAAACAGTTGTAATTGTTAGTGTAGGAAATATAAACTTCTTTCGCAAATCCGTTGGACTTACACTCTGTTCTCCTGTCAGAGATTATCCCTTGAAAACTTATCATGAAACGCTCTGCTTCTCTTTACTTGACAACAGTGTAAGCATCGGATAGAATGACAGCTCCGCCACCTGCTCCTCCATTCCCATTCGGCTTCAGCACTTCGTACAAGCAGAAAATCGCCGTTTAAGCGGTATGGTATCCTGCCGTGACCTGTGCCGTAAACGTATACCTATGATCTCAGGCCACTGTCGGCGCCGAACTGTGAGTTGAGGAAGCTGTTGAGGGCATGCAAGGACAGGCAGGGATGGGCCGGGGATCGCTCGCGTTCCAATTGCAATAGGATACAAGGCTATTCAGCTTGCTCTCAGCACGTTTAAAGCGTTGGATTTTTTGGACTTGACTACAATATCGCAGTCTATACCCTAATTACGAACCCAAGACAGAGCCCGGGTCGGTTGTAGCTATATGTACTATTAAGACTACAGTGTACAAGGGAGTGAGGACAGAAGCCGCCCATAAGACTCAGCATGCTATGCCATAACAAGACAAACTCCATTTCGAAGGAAATGACACTGAAATCCCACATTCTTCGATCATGCAAAAGCCGTCTTCGTCATGTACGTTCTTTGATGCAACCATAACTCCTTGCCCACCCTCTATAGCCATACTGTTTTCCTTTCGTTCCACTCATCTTCTCACATGGAGTTTTTCATGTACTAGAGAACGCCAGTCTATTTTTACTCTTCGGTTGGCGAGTGCTTTGTTTCATATGCGGTCTTTGCCGTGCTTGTCAAAGCTTCTAGTTCTCCGCTGGTCTCGCACATGGATCGGAAAGAGCCATCTGCTATGCGGATGAGGTCGTACGGGTGGCCGTATTCCAGAATCTCGCCCTTATCCAAGACGAGAACCTTGTCGTAGTCGATGATTGTTTGGAGACGATGCGCTATCGTAATGGTCGTGTTCTTGATCTGACGGATAGTTTCTTGAATCTTGGCGTCGGTGGCGTAGTCGATGGAAGCGGTGGCTTCATCCATGAGCAAGACCTTGGGGGCCTTGAGGAGGGCTCGTGCGAGGCAGAGAAGTTGTCGTTGACCTTGCGACAGGTTGGATCCCGATTCGGAGACTGGCGAGTTGAGGTTCTTGAATGGGTTCTTGTTGTCCGTCTCCATCGCTGCTGCCGCTGCTGCATCGTCACGGCCCGCGACATGCCCATTAGGCATCACTACGATAGTGTCGTCCTGTGTCTCGCCGCGGTCCCAATCGCACTTTGCCAAGATAGACCCAGGGTTTGTCGTTGCAGCTGAGTAGCTTGAGTTCACTTCGGTCGTCACGGCGCCCGTTGGAGGAATAGGAATCTCGATAGCGCGACGTGGGGTAGCTTCTTCCGTGGGTGTAGCGATACCAGATGTCGGCCGGGATAGAGTCGAGATAAGGTTGACCTCACGGAGCGCAGTATATATCTCCTCATCTGTGAAGATGGAAAAGGGATCGAGGTTGCTTCGAATAGTGCCCGTGAATAGTGTCGGATCTGGAAGTGTTAGTAGCTGCTCGTGTATAGGATGCGGAAAGTATGCTTACCTTGCGGTACCATAACCACATTCTCCCGCAGATCATGGAGGCCGATCAAACCAATGTCGATATCGTCGATCAAAATCTTGCCCTGTTCGGCCTCTAGAGCTCGGAACAATGCAAGCGCCATTGAACTCTTGCCCGCACCTGTTCTTCCAACGACACCCACTTTCTCTCCGGGTAGAATCTTGAACGTCAGGTGCTTCAGTACGAGATCGAAATCGGCCCTGTATCGCGTGCTGTAGTTGATAAACTCCACCGACCCCTTACTCGGCCAGTTGGAGGGCGGCCGGTTTGCAGGGATGACAGATGGTGCTTCCTGGTCGACATCGAGATACTCCTTAACACGCTCGACAGAGTTCATATTTTGCTCGTTGGCAGAGTAGAGTCGGACAAACCACAAAACGTTCTCGGTAAAAGTGACAGCGTAAGTTAGTGCAAGACCAGCGGCGCCTGCATCGATGCGTCCAACGCTTAGCACAACGAAAGCTCCAGAAAAGAATGCTACCATAGCGCCAACAACATCTACTCGGAAGGCGAGCCACCTGTTAGCTGCCCAAAGGTAGATGAAGGGCCGATGTTGGGTGTTGATCTTGTTCAAGTTCTCGCGAATGAAGCGTCGCTCGTCGCCATAGGCTCGGATAGTTGTCATACCGGACAGTGTTTCGCCAAACTGTTGATACAATGGGCTTCGGTGGACAGACTCCAAGCGCTTGAGGTCGCGCGAGGAGTTGATGTAGAAGCGGCCGATGAGGAAGTAGATGATGGATATGAAAAAGGCGGCAATTAAAAATTCAGGTGTAATGACCGAGATAAGAATAACGATCGTAATAATGGAGGCGAAGCAGTGGACGACACCTATGGCGACCGGTGCTACTTCCTGGTCAACAGCCTCGATATCCTTGGAGAACCGGTTCATGAGCTGACCGAGAGGGGTTTGATCGAAGAAGCGGAATTTGGCATGCGTAACTTTCTGGATGAGCCTCTCATGCACGCGTCGGGATGCGGCAAGGGATCCTCCGAAAAGGAAGCCTTCTCGTAGGAAAGTAATCAACATGAAGATCAGTCCAAGCACAGCGTATACGACAAGGAAGTAGACCGAGTTGACGTCCGATTCAGAAGCTCCAAAGGTCGTTTGCATGGGGCTGTAAGAAAATGACTGTTGTTCTTGTTGTGCAAAGAACGGGAAATTCCAGCTGCAAGTGGCGCTATTCAGGCAAGTTCCCATTCCGCTCAGAGTTGGAACATGCGTGACCGGAGACCGATGGTGGCTACCCATCGCAGCATAACCCTTGTCTGCGTATGCGTTTGCCCAAGTGCGAATCCACAAGTTTGTAGAGACCGACGAAATTTGCGCAGCGACGAAGGCAATGGTAGCACCAAGCCAATAGTACCATGGGCCCATAGCCCTCAGGTACATCATAATAATGCTTAGCTTGACACCGCCTTCGGCCTTTGTCTCTTCCTGTGAGTTGCTAGCTGGCATCTTTTTCTTATCCGGTTTGCCGTTGAGGGTGACATTGGCGTCTCCGTTAGTATGGTCGGCTTCGCCGTCTGTTTCTTCGTCCGAGAGAGCTTGGGAAGGAGATTTTGACGTTCCACGGGAGGCGGGCCGCGATTTGGTGAGGTCCTCCGAGAGTTTTCCAGATTTGATGACTTCGTCTGCTGTACCTTGCGCGACAATCCGCCCGTTTTCGAGTGCCACCACAAACTCAGCGTGTGGCAAGCAAAGGCTGACATTGTGCGTGACCAAGATGCAAGTGCGATTAGCCATGAGAGGGCCGTGGAGCGCGTATTGGAAGATCCATTTGGCGGTGTGGGCGTCAACAGCACTGAGAACATCGTCCAGAAGTACATGCCGGGCTTTGCTGTAGAGCGCACGAGCAAGCGAGATGCGTTGCTTCTGGCCTCCGGAAAGGGTCACACCCTTTTCACCTACCACTGTCTCGTCACCAGCGTCAAGAATCTCCAAATCCCTCTTCAAGGAGCATGCGTCAATGACATCGTTGTAGCGTTTCTGGTCCCAATCACTTGCGAACACAATGTTGTCCTTGACAGTACCGTTCACCAGCCAGGCTTGTTGAGCACAGTAGGCTATGCTTTCCGTGAGTCCCGTGTCAGGGTTCGGTGTCAAGTCTTCTCGGCTGGCCCCTCCGGGCAAGTAAACATCGCCCTTGAGCTTTGTCATCTCGCCAAGCAGTCCCATGAGCAGTGAAGTCTTTCCGCAACCAGTAGGTCCCACCACGACGTTCAGTTTGCCGACGTGGAAATTCAGGTTCAGGTCCATGAGTTTGAACGCGTCTGCAGCTGCTTGGTCGGCCATGTCGGTACCACCCCAGCTGAATGTACCATTTTCGAATCCAATGATGGGCTCGCCGTCTTCATCCTTCTTCTCGGTGACAAGTTGCGAGTATTTGTCTGTTTCGGGCTCCAATAGATACTCCTCAATACGGTCGACGGACACTTTCGATTCTTGGACGTGCGCGACCATATCGGCAAGCTGGTCCAGAGGGATTCGAAGAATCTGAAAGAGTGAAAGAGCAGTGAAGGCGACAGATGGGATCAGAGCTTTGTGCTCGACATTCGTGTAGACTAAGAATGACAGAAACGTGATCAATACAGGTGAGCCTGACCAAATAGTGGCAGCTACAGCCCACAGTATGTACCGACGACGGAGATGTTTCAGCTCAACGTAACGCTTCTCATTCACCAAACCAATGAAGCGCTGCTCCCAGGCGAAGAACTTGATAATCCGGATGTTGGTTAGGACCTCGTTGGTCGTATGGATACGCGCATCGGTAGCAGCAAGGATAAGCTTCTGGATCTTGGAAAACTGTCCCGCGACATACATGTTGATCGGGAGTAGAAAGATCATAGTCCCAATACCAGCAATTGAGCTATACCCCAAGATGCGGTAAAGTAGGTAAACGGCTACGACGACTTGAACTGGAGTGTTCGCCCACAGGAAATGTAGATAAGCGCAGATCTCGCTGACCTTGAAGGCATCCACAGCCATGAGGTTGATGATGGCGCCGGTGGTGACCTGAGCATCCGATGCTGGTTTCGCTTCTTCTCCGTCTTTGGCCGTGGTGGCAGCCTTCTTCTTCTTCTTCCCAAAGTTCAAAAAGCGCTTCAATCCTTTGGGCTCGTCTTCCTGCTCCTGTTTTTTCTTTTCTTCGCCCAATACCTTGTCGGTCGTAGCCGCTGCTCTACGCTTGAGTGCCTTTGCGTAGATTTCGCCAATGATGACAGCGCGTAGTCGAATGCAGATCTTGCGACCAAGCCAGAGGGCCTGGCCGTCGGCCAGTGCGGATAAACTACCAGAGACGAAGAGTAAAATGACGTAGAACCAGGCAGCATTTGCAGGTGTAAGGTCGGGCTTCTCAACGTACTCGAGAATAACTTTGAGGAGCAGCGTCGGTGCAAAAGTAAGGAAGCCGGACATGGCAGCCCATCCTGCTTGAATAAGTAGGCCGCGCTTGAAATGCTTGAGCAAGTGGTAGGCTAGGCTCGATGTCTTCTTGACCTGGCGGTAGTTCGCAATGACGGCTGCAGCCTTGTCTTTTGCAGGCAGGTTCCAAACATCGGTAAGCTCATATGTCTTCATGTATCCCGTCCAGACGATAGGATCCACCCAGCTGAACGTGGCGAGCGAGAAGACACTTGCGACAGGTTCACGGGCTGGTGCAATATCCCCTTCATATTCCAATTCTACTGCCTTGTTACCCTTCCTAGAGCATAGCGAGATGAGAAACAGTAGTGAAACGAGAGCGAAGTCGCCGATCATAAGCTTCTGGTGTATGTGCGAGCGAGGGTGTATGATGGCCGATCGAAACAGCAGGACGCTGAAGAGCCACTGGAAGCCGTAGATGAAGGCAGTGTGATACCATAGCATGGGGAAAGAAAATCTACTTGTGCTAGAGAAGAGCAGGCGTAGTGAGGCCAGGGTGGCGATGTAGGCCCATACGGCGACACTAGCAATAGCCGCGATTCTTCCATGACGGCCCCAGACGTTGATGATGAGGATGGCGACATGGAGCCCTAGCTGGGCCAATACCGCGACTTCCTCGAGTATCACGACCGTAAGCTCCCCGCGGGGCTTGTTCACAGCGATTGTGGACAGTGTGTTTGTGGCGTGGAGGGCGAGATTTTCATTATGATGGATTACGTCGTCGGCATCGTCGTCGTTTGCATCGCCATTGTAGCGAGGGCTCCGGAAAGACCAGATATTGGCCGGGTCATCGAGGGCGCTGTAGGCGTGGTAGTATCTTGATGTTGCGGCGGCCAAGTAGAGCTGGACGAGCAGGTAAAGGACGGAGATGCCGCATACGATAAGAGGGAGTAATGTTTGGAGATAGCTGTAGCGGGTCAGTGACTCAGTTCGGCTTGTTTGTGGTGGCGCATGGCTGGCAGGGCTGCAACGGCATCTAAGACGGGCGTGTCGCATGGCTGCGCATGGCTGAAAAGAAGCACATACTCTTGCTCAAAACATGTGGAAAAGTCGTCTCTGCGCCAGAACGGAGCTTTGCAGTGGGCAAACATGATGCGCACAGTTGTACACAATCTGCCGTGACCTGTCGTGGTGTTTGATTGCCCCCAGCACTCGCGCTCGTTATTGATGGGAGTCGAAGCGCATTGGAATCGGCAAGAGCGACTGAGGAAAAAGTACTGTGCCGGGCCCGAGTAAACAAACAACGGGCAAGGACGTTGGAGCTCCGGAGTCCGGGATCCGGGATTTGGTGTTTTGCGTACAGTAAGGAAGATGCTGCTTGACTTGCCCGTGCTAGTCGCCGCAAGAGCCTTCAATGTTTCCAGATGCCCTGTGCACTGACCTTCACACGCGCAGACGGGAGTAGAGGTGTGATGTAATCAGAAGTAGATCCGACGTACTACCGAGGCACAATCCCATCAGATAAGGAGGGCCTTTAGATAGGACGGCACACAACGTCCCCGCAGTACGACGTATAGGTATAACTACCGTTACCACTGCGACTGTATCGACTGGACAATCTGCTGCGACTGCGACTGCGACTGCGACTGCGACTGCGACTGCGACTGCGGGCTGAGTGCTTGACTCATGAAGGCGCTTTCGTCGACGTCGTGCGGAAAAGGGCGAAAGGGCGCATCCGGGGTGGGCTTGTCACAGGACCGGCCTTTTGTACTCTCAGTGTCCTCGCTCACTCCTCTGCACCTCCACCTCCACCTTCACACGACCATGTCCTGCTCCTGCTCCTGCTCCATTTGTTTGTCAGGTGCCGTAGAATCCCTGGCTTCAGGCCTTCAGGCCCTCCCGCAGCGCATTGAGATGGCGCAAGCCTCTGATTTCCTGCCGCCACCTGTCCGGACAAGGTGGGCAAGTCATCCACCATTGCACTGATCTTAGCACGCTCGTAGTATCGTCGCGAGCGTCGCCGTGCAGCTGCTGTGCATGCAGCCTGCAACGCTGCGTGAGATGCTAATAGCTTGCGTGTGTGCGCTGCTGTTCTAGTCGGTGAGAGGTGTGTACCCAAATGGGTAAATGCTATCGCCGCCATCAGCGGCAAACAAAACAAATATCGCGCCTTCTTTGCTTTCTCTAGCTTGGACAACAAGGAAAGTCAATCTTACCATCCCCCTGTGTTGCTCGCATATTCTCTACCACGCCTCACTTCAACACAAACGTCCTGCAGTTGATCGAGGCGAGCCCGTTGGCAACTGCGCAAGCCTGTGTTGTATCCCTCACACAAATATTGCGCTTTTCAAAGACATAGCGACACAGGGAAACATGTCACCCAGACTATCATCATATCATGTGTCACATCGTTGGCTTCTGCGACTACAGGTTGTAGCAAGTGCTAGCCCTGCACGTGATGTCGGCCTAACACCCGCCGATTCGAGAATCTCATAGGCCTGGTATCCGGAACGGTAGGACCCATACTCTTGGTGACCTTCTAGGAATCCTGTGGCTGTCATGTCAACGACTGTGTGACGGGCAAATGTAGGTCTTCTACCGGTAGATTCGTCCGACGGGTTGCAGGTGTCATTGTCGTAACAGAATTGGGTAAGAGAATCAGAGGTACCGCTAACTTAGCTGCGGAAGTCGGCGGGCTGCGCTCTTGGCCTTTTCCTCAATCCCTATTGAGAAGCTGGCACTATTAGTAGTAGTATGACTACCTAATAGAGCGCTCTCTAAGGCACAACGGTAGTGGTGGTACAGATTCGTATTGTATTGACTAAGGAGCTATTCACACGTTCGTAGATCCGTGTTGCGTGCAGCTGCGTCCAAGCTCCCCGCTAGGACCCACCTGCACGTGTCACCAATCATGTGACTACTCCTCCGCTTGATACCACCAAGTCACTTACGGACTGTATTCTCAACAATCCCTAACTAAATAGGTGCATTCCAAGAAGGCCAAATCTCAATTTACGATGGGAGTCCACTTTCCGATGTATTCCCTTGCCGTCCCACGGTCAGCCTCCTGACCCATTCCATCCGAACTTCGACATGAGCATCTCAACTTCAGCATCTTGTCCCACGCAAGCTACCAAACCCGCCGCCGCACACAATCTGCATGCACAACCTGCATGCCCTGACACTCGTCTTTACATTCGACGATCGATCCAACGCCATATACGCCATATGGTCCGCACCGCCCCCATTGAAGCTGTGGGGACGTCTGACATACGCTAGCGGCATTACTGTGAATTCCAAGCGAAGAGCGCCCGTAATAAGCTATGCACATCGAATGCTGCGCCCCTCCGCCCGCCTGACATGACGGCAAACTTCATAAACGACAGCCTGAGTCAGTTAACAAGCTTTGCACGAAGTTGCCGCGGTTATGGATGGTGCGGATACACGCCTAGTGACATCGTGACAAAACGTAGTACAACCGCCTTGTTTAACTCACCCCATTTGTGGTGCGCGGCTAAACCAAACCCACCAAAATGTGTGCATGTTCTGGTAAACGGCAGCATGTCTCTGAATACCCGCGGCACCAACATGTCAGCATCTCGTATCCCACGCGTGTTTTAATGTGATCTTCTTCAGATTTTCCGTAGTGTATGGATCACCCCTTTGCAACGGCCCGAGTCTGGGGGATGTTCTGGGGCGTGTTGGCACTGGTGGCTTACGTTTGGCATATGTTTGGAGTAATTTTCAGGCGCCGAGCGTCATTACAGCGGTTTGGGGTGGGTTGAAGGCCCTCTGATAAAGGCAAATGTGCGGCGCATCAGTCGGCATCATCACGGCGGATCCAACAGCTATCAGCAAGGACGAGAACATGGCACTGGCACAATATAAAAACGAGAGGATGGTCGTGTTAGCAGATGTACGGCAATACTTTCGTTCACTACCTACACCATGCCTTCTCCACTCTCTACCGTTGTGCTTCTTGCATCCCTTGTTTCTAGCGCCCTATCAGCTCCATCCCAGTATGACTTTAGCAAGATCGATCCCAGCCAGATCATTCAAAGGGATGTCGTTGTCGTTGGAGCCGGCTCCGCTGGTCTCCACGCTGCTATCAACCTGATAGACCACAACAAAACCGTCATGGTCATCGAAATGAAGTCACGCGTGGGTGGACACTTTGAGACCGCCAGAGACCCCATCAGCGGCCGCAGTGCCGAGGCTGGTGTAGTTATCCTCCACAACGAGCCACAAGTGAAGCAATTTTTCGGCCGTTTCAACGTCCCGTTGAGGAACATTTCCCTCAACGACCTTGGTCCCAGCAGCAGGCCCGTGGACCTCAGGACCGGCCAGCTCATTCCCGCCGGAGCCATCCAACAGCCTTCTCAACAGGCTCAGGCTCAGGCATTCCAGAAATTAGCTGCTTTTCTGGCCCAGTACCCGGAGCTTGACAGGGGACTGTTCGTTAAGGAGCCCGTCGCTCCTGAGCTACTCATGCCCATGGGTCAGTTGATCCCGAAACTTGGCCTCGAGCCAATTGCCAACACCCTAGCTGGACTTGTTTCGAACAACGGCGATTTCCTCAACACCCCAGTCATTCAGGTTACTCGTATAGTCGGTCTGAGCCTTCTCCAGACCATTGCCGGCGGTAGCTTCCTCACCAGCGCAAAGAATGACAACAGCGAGCTTACGGACAAGGCTGGCGCAGAGTTGGCTGCTAAGAAGAGTTTGCTTCTCAGCTCAAAGGTCGTTCACACCAGGCGCCAAAAGCATGGTGTCCAGCTTGTTGTCCAGACCCCCAACGGTATCAAGTACATCTGCGCCAAGAAGCTCCTCATGGCCGTCCCTCCGCGTGTCGAGGCTCTCCAGGCCTTCGATCTCCGCCAGAATGAGAAGGACATCTTCAACAAGCTCATCGCTACCGGTTACTACGCGGCCATCCTCAACAATACCGGTCTCCCGGCTGGCCAGAGTTACGCCAACGTCTCACCTGAGAAGCCTTACGGTATCCCTGATCTCCCTACTACCTTTACGATCAGCGCCAACCCCATCCCCGGCACTTTTACCGCTTTTTACGGCACGTCTGCCAGTAGGTCTGCCTACGCCGTCTCTGACGACTATGTCAAGAGCCAGATGATCGCCAGCATCAAGAAGCTCCAGGCCGCCAACCCGCAGACAGCCAACCAGACGCAGCCTGATTTCTTTTACTATACCGCACACCCTCCTTACGCGATCCAGGCCAAGCCGGAAGACATTCAGGCGGGCATCTACAGGAAAATGTATGACCTTCAGGGACAGGACAGCTGCTTCTGGACCGGTGCTGCATTCAGGGCCGAGGACAGCAGCAATATCTGGCGCTTCAACTTGGAGGTTGTCCTCCCAGCGCTGCTCAAGTCGCTCTAGAGTAGGCAGAAGGGAGGTTCAAGATGAAACGTGGGATGAAGTAACACACAGCCGAGCAAACTGGGACACCATTCGATTCTCTACTCTGATATTTACACATAATTCTTTAGAACAAAGACATTCTTTTCATTGTCTAGCTTTTGCCACTGGTGTCCATGCCGAATACTTGCTCTTGACGCTGTTCTGTAGTTAGAATACGTACTGTTACAAACTTCACATGAGTTCAATAGGGTTCTTTGCGCATACGTGTTGTAGGGCTTGTATCCGGAACGGCTCCACGTGAGCGTCGGCCTGTGTTCCTTTGGCTCCCAAACGCGCACCTGGCGCTGCAGAAGCTTGTCCGCGGCGGGCGACTTGTCCACCATGTATGACATCCAAGCGTGCCTGGAAATGAATAGTCAGATCGTGCATGTCCCAATCTGTCCGATTCAGGGGAGGTAGCGTACCATCCAGGTTCAATCTGGGAGCTGCAAATCAACCCGTCAGCAAGGAATTCTTTTCTCCCAGCCCCAAGGAACAACCTACGGGTCGAACTCATGGTCCTTGTAGTCAACCCAGCGGGTTCGCACTACCGTCTGTCAGATTCGCGCACGCTGGACGGTCTTTTTACGACCCGGTAGATGCTCTCTTACGGGGAAGCTCCTCCTCTAGGTTTTCAAAGTACTTGTTGCCGTACTTGTCCATACCGATCAGAGTTCCGGCTTTGGTATCACCTGTATCTCGTGAGCCCACTTGCCCCCTCTCTATCGCATCAATTCCAGCATACCGATGTTCTAAACGTGCGGGCGACTCGGATCAGTTTCTCTGCGATACGCGGTGAAGGAATTGGGTGAACGTACCGCCATTTGGTGGGCATATTCCTGGGGAAAGCTGGTTAGCACTGCGGGGCCATCTAATTCTCTAGCTGTAACTGCGGCAACTCACTTTGATACCGATGCGGCGCAGGTTGCGCAGAGTTCTCATGAGTGTCGACATTGTGGCGATGATTGTTTGTTCTTGCGACCGGCGTGCTTGCTTACTTCGGAGGTTGTGTGTCGCTGGGGAACGCGCGATTGACGGCTGCCAAGACATAATATCACGCTTTCCCTTATGCTGTGCTAGTGCGCTGTCTATCCTTGTCGCCTGAAGATGTGTGTCGGGTGCATCAACATTGAAAACTTTCGGACCACCGCACTGTGCAAGTCTATCGCGCTCACAGACCAGTCTACACGTCATGATAATACGAGGTTTGTTGAGAACGCAAGCCCCTAAGATTGCGGGAAGGAGGTTCGCCATCCATATCTCAAGCCGCTCGTTGAGAAGATACTCGACTGCGAATTCAACCATGGCTGCTTCAACGCCTCAGAGTCAGGCGTCTATGCTGGCGACGATAACGTCGGATCTGGATAGGATTGCGCCGAGATTTGAGATGAGGCCTGAGCAAATTGAGATTATCCAGACGCCGGCTGAGTTTTATGAGACGTTAAAGGTAGGTTCTTTCTTTACAGTCCTCTTTTCGCTCCAAACTCATACAATATTCCTTTACTTCCGGATGTTTCCCTCGATTCTTCTTACTCTCTACAAATCATCATCTCATTTCCTTTACTTCAATCATCATATTTCATACACCGCCTCTCCGGGATGGATGCCATCCATGAGTTTTCTTGTCAGGCGGAAGCCCTGTACCCGGCCCAACCCCTGAACCCCATCAACATCTTCACCTTAATGTGAGCGTCAATAAAAGTTACAAGAAACAGTACTAACAGATTTCAGTCCAAAATCTCAAAAGCCAAATACCGAATTTACCTTAGCACCCTCTACATCGGCAAAACCGAGCACGAGCTAATCTCCACAATCCGTACTGCTCTCCATGATAACCCCAACTTGCACGTGTCTTTCCTTACAGACGCCTTACGAGGAACACGGGAAACACCGGACCCCTGCAGCGCATCCCTCATGAGCCCTTTGATCTCGGAATTCGGTCCAGGTCGTGTAGAAGTACGCTTGTACCACACGCCCAATCTAACGGGTCTGCGCAAGTCGTATATCCCCAAGCGCATCAACGAAGGCTGGGGTCTGCAGCACATGAAGCTCTATGGTGTCGACGATGAGATCATCATGAGCGGGGCGAACCTAAGCGAAGATTACTTTACGAATAGACAAGATCGATACCATTTATTCCGGTCGAAGGAACTAACCGACTACTTTGCTAAAATTCACGATGGCGTCGCGAAGCTCAGTTTCGACGTGCAGCCAAGCAACAAAGAAGGCAGCGGAGGCTACATGATGGACTGGCCAAAATCAAATGTCGCGCCCTCTCCCCTCGATTCACCATCAAAATACAAAGATGCTGCAGCAAAACATCTCGCTCCTCTCCTGACACCTGCAAACTCCCCCACGACCCCATCCTCACCATCACCATCACCATCAACAACAGCAATCTACCCCATTCTCTCCCTCGTCCCCCTCATCCCCACCTCAACTGAACTCCCCGCTCTTACAAGCATCCTAACCCACCTAACCACACCTCCCTTCCAAAATTCCTCCTGGACCTTCACCGCCGGCTACTTCAACATGACGCCTTCCTTCCGTCGCCTACTCCTATCCACTCGCCCCGCCACCGGCACCGTGCTCACCGCCCACCCGCATGCAAATGGCTTCTACGGCAGCAAAGGCGTCAGCGGCATGTTACCAGCCGCATACACACACCTCGCCAAATCATTCCTGCGAAGAGTCAAGTATGAGGGCTTGAGCGAGAACGTGGTGCTGAAGGAGTGGAAGAAGGGTATGGTGGGCGAGAAGGATGGGTGGACATATCATGCAAAGGGGCTTTGGGTTACTTTTCCCTCGTCCGCTTCCTCCTCCTCTTCAACAACACCACCGCCACCGTCCTCGGCTCCTGGGGAGAAGGCATCTCAAGACCCCAGTTTGGCAGTCATCGGCTCCTCGAATTACACAAAACGCGCGTACCGACTCGATCTAGAAGCCAACGTCGTCATTGCTACCACAGACCCTGGCCTGAGGAGACGGTTGGCACAAGAGGTGGAGTGGTTGGGGAAATATGCACGGGCTGTTGATGAGAAGGTTTTTGAGACACCGGAGCGGAAAGTTGGACTTGATGTGAGGTTGGCTATGTGGGCTGTTCGTGTGCTTGGGGGTGCTTTGTAGATGAACGTTTTTTGGGTGGACAATGGTGACTTGTGTTATAGATGTATATCTCCTACCAAAATATTAGAATTGATATGATATTAACGTGTATCATCAAAATTTCCTGTTCGATCTTGTATTTCTGTTTATATTCGGAATTAAGAAATGTTATTTATCTACAAAACATGGGTATCTGTGCAGAAGAGTTGGAGAGAGAGGGGAGTAAGAAGCAAGATAAAGAAGAAGAAGAATATACCAGATCTCAGCTCGCTGCGCTGCTAACTGCCCCTGACTTCTGCTTCCTTTGTATTGCCCATTCAGTTATTCATCAGTGGCCCAGCGGCCCAGCAGTTGCGAGTGGCTCGCCAAACCACCAACCCTCGATCGCCCACTACCCGACTAATAGTGTTTCCAACGCCATCGTCGGCAAAGTCCATGTCATCGAGATTTAGATGCTGTCGATAGCTCCAGACCTCTTCCAGGGAGATGTCCTCTTTCCGACTTGGATCCTGGTATGGTTTTAAAAAGTATGCTGACCGTGGTGCTACAAGGTAGATAGCACCTCGATCTTTGACATGTGGCGGTTTTCGGGTTCGACATGGGGGTAATACTTTTTTGACCTGCTCGAGCATTTGATCGCCTGGGCGGCCCATCAAGTCGACGGTTGTGAGCTCTTCGTTCTTGCCGTTCAACAGCCAGATTGGCGGGCTATATGTCTTCCACCAGAAGGCGTGAGTGACTGTTTCGTTCGTCTTGGCAATGTGCATCTGGACGGGGACAATGCCGCCTTGATGATAGAGGCCCATTAACATGCCCAGAGCGAGATTGAAAATGATCCAGGAGACGATCCATGGCGTCTTGAATCGAGGGCTTGGTAGACGTATCGAAGATAGTATTAGCGGTACCGCGGGTAACAGGAATCTAGCCTCCTGGTGCGGGAAGATACTGAGTAAAGCAATGCCAGATAAAGCCGAGACGAGATTCATGGTAACATGTGCCCTGCGTAAGAAGAATAAGAGCGGAGCGGCCGGCCCGAGAAGTTGAGGAAGGTTGACCAGGAAGTGCTGATAACGTGGATGAATGCCATGCTGGGCAAGGTTTGCGGAGTCGGAATTGTAGATGAAATTGTTGAAGGGTGTAATGACGGCGGCTGTAAAGACTTTGGAGAAAGCGAATTCGCCAGGGGTATAAAACGCCGTGTCCACGCAAATGGCAAGGAAGGCTGTAAAGAGAGCGACTGCAGCGAGGAAGACCAGAGAAAAGGGTCTGCAAGAGTCAGTGATGGTCGATCAGTTGGCAACAAAGGTAACTGACTTCCGTCGGAAATGTGGCAGTAAAGTTGTCGCAGGAACAATCAAGAAGGCAGGAAAAGTGATGCGATTGAAGACGCCTACAACGGCCATGAAGCCTAAGAGGGACGAGGCGAGGATGCCTGAGCATTTCTGCAACTTGCGTTAGCTGCATGTCCTAGAAGAGCTACGGACCGAAGACTTGCCTTATCTTCTGTAATCCTCTGGATCAACACTAGGCTCCACGTCACCAGCAGCGTCTCGAGACTGTTGGAGAACGTGTGCGTCTGGAAGGTCCAGGTTACATATGAGGATGCGACAAGTACCACTGCAACGCGTCGCGCGCGGGGTGAAGCGACCAGCTCGTGTATAGCCCAGTCTTCGAGTACGACGCTCAGGGCGAGCATGAGTATGCGCAAAGTCCAATATACAAGCGAGGGCGATACATCATGTCCGTTCCCCTCCCATAGCCAACGCAAGATGTACATGGGCCAGCCGTATGCGAGCCATAGTGGAAAGGTGCTGCGAATGGGGTGATCGGAAGTGAATTCCCAAGTTTCGTGGACAGGGTAGGAGAAGACGCGTCCTGGCAGTTTGTCAGTCGCGAAAGGCACACGAATGCGCACAGTCAGTGTCATCAACGTACCAGCAATGACCTCTGGGCCCTGAAAGTTCTCGTCCGGGTGGAGGTAGCTAGGCGCCAGGGCAAAATAGACGCGCACCAGAATTAGTAGAAAATAGACTCTCGTTGACATGATGCGAGTAGTCGAGGTGCACCGTGGTATGCGATAGCGGGGTCGCGCAGGCGCATGTCTGTCGCCAGTGTTTTTGTTTGCACGAGAATTGAGGCCAGCAAATTGTCTTAGTGCTAACCTACGTCAGAGAACAGTCGCACGCGGACAGGGGGTACGGATTAGAAACCACAGCGAATGGTGGGTAGTGCACTAGGCATATTCAAACTACATGGTGCAAAGAAGCATAGGTGGTATACCGGCCTTTCATCAGGCGGCCTGGTCATATGCTCCCCCCCCTTATGGGTCGGATCACGTGGCAGCTTGTTAATGGACCTTAAGTAATCTTCGCGTTGAGCATCCAATGCAGGTGTTTGTAACATCTACTTAGGCATCCATGTGCATTGAGACGCGCATGTCTAGACACTGAGATTAATGATTGATCGGCGAGCACTGTCATGGGATGGTTCCCACTGCCTGGGGGGTAATACGTCACTACAGTCAATAGATGGTTCAATTCAATGCACAAGATTGAAAGCAAAAGCAAGCGGCATTTCCATGGTATGAAACGTATTAGCCCAAGGCATCCATTCAGTTGTTATACTTATTCTGGCAACTTCTACCGGGGCGGGGGGCACGGCACCGAGTCATCAATGTTGCGCTCGCTTCCGTGGTACTCTCCAGGCCAGTTTCAATGGCGCAAACACTCAACGCTCAGCTGGCAGGCACAAACGCGGGCCACATTGCAGCATTCACGCACAGCAGTGACAAAGCGCGGGGACTTTGAATGGAGCTGCACTGGCTGAAGAAAGCAGCCGCAGCGGAAAACAAGCGCTAATTAGTGGGTGACAAAGAGAGTCTTTGTCGATTGCAGCCTTGCGCCTTGCCCAAATCGGCTGGCCTGGCCCGAGCTTCGCCTCTTGTTCGTGCGGAGGGACCGTAGTTGCCTTTCTCTCCTTCACCAGTGCCGCACTCATCGCAAACGTGGAAGCAGCTGCCCTTGCGCCTATATAGTCTCCCACCGTACACTGCCAACCTTTACCCTCCTCCACCATTCCACCACAACCCCAACCATCAACTATCAGCTCGCACCTGCCGATTTAGCTCAACAGCTCAACTCATCGACAGCTTACCCCACTTCTTCAACGACACGTCTACCCACAACCAGCTCGTCATAATGGCCAACACTACCACAGCCTCGAGCGAAAAGAGCATTAGCATCACTACCAGTGATGGTATCACCATGAATGTCCCGCGTCCCGTTGCCGAGCGCTCCATTCTCATCAAGAACTTGCTCGAGGACCTTGGTGGTGAATCCGAGGAATCCATCCCCATCCCCAACGTATGTATCTATTCCCTCACGATTCCCTCACGCCTCCATGTTGCAGAACAGTCGCTAACAAAGTCACAGGTTAACGAGGCGGTCATGAAGAAGGTGCTTGAGTGGTGTGAACACCACCGCAGTGACCCCCCCGCCACGCAAGACGACGACTCGGACTCGCGCAAGAAGTCGACCGACATTGACGAGTGGGACCAGAAGTTCATGCAGGTTGACCAAGAGATGTTGTTCGAGATCATTCTCGCCGCGAATTACCTCGACATCAAGGCACTGCTCGACGTCGGCTGCAAGACAGTCGCGAACATGATCAAGGGCAAGTCCCCTGATGAAATCCGCAAGACTTTCAATATCCAGAACGACTTCACGCCTGAGGAGGAGGAGCAGATCCGTCGCGAGAACGAGTGGGCCGAGGACCGTTAGAGAGTCTAAGATTGCTGAGACTGACCCGGTCGACGACTGAGCAGCTCTCACCTCTTTTCGTCGCGCATGAGGCTTGGCGATTATCACAACAAGGCATGTGTACACATTGAGGGAAGGTATCTGTGGCGTAGCGGAGTTCACGGTCTGATATTTTTCCGCGAGCATGATGCTGGGAAGGCCCCATAGGATCCATGGGTTCTGGCTGGTTAGGATGTCATGAAGGACTAGCTTAGTATAGGTTACATTCAGCCATTATTGTAACCTCGTACAAGGGCAGTTGAATGAAATTTCACATTACATGTTCAATCTTTTTCTCTATTTTATTGTTTCTCCTAATGTGTCCTTTTCCTCTATTTCTCCATCTTTATTCCTAATGCACCCTTTACCTCGGCTTCGGGCTGTTTGATCAAAACGTCAGCTCCCCTCTTCTAGGCATTCGCATAAGACGGACATTGCCGGCCACAGGCAATGTGAATTTGGTTACTGTGGAGAAGGTGAAGTGGGGAAGCTCCGAGTCAGAGGCAATGTAAGTACATGTAATTCCGGGCAATGATTGTCGAAATCACATTCTGTCTACATTTCACAAGATTCGTAAATCTATTATAAATTCATAGGGTTGACCTTGTTCCTATTCAACTTTTGTTCCCTTTCCACAAGCTGAGAATGTAATCTCACTCTCAGGGAGGAAGACCGGGGCCCACATATACCTGACCATATGTATGTGTGTGCTTGCGTTACCACCCACGCTTCGCAAGCTTCTCGCTCTCGCCCATGGAACCGCAGTTGATGCCGACCATGGCCTCACCGAGATCCATCGACACCTCCATCAGCACCTTGGGGTCATTGAAGTGGGTAACAGCCTGCACAATAGCCTTTGCCCTCTTGGCCGCATCGCCCGACTTGAAGATGCCAGAGCCGACAAACACACCATCACAGCCCAACTGCATCATCAATGCAGCATCAGCCGGCGTCGCCACGCCGCCCGCCGCAAAGTTGACAACAGGCAGTCTACCCAGCTTGGCCGTCTCCTTGAGCAGGCTGTAGTCGACCTGTAGGTCCTTTGCGTAGACGCGCAGTTCCTCGTCCGACATGCCCTTTGCCTTTGCGATTTCGGCGTTTACGGTGCGCATATGGCGCACGGCTTCGATGACGTCGCCTGTACCGGCTTCGCCTTTGGTGCGTATCATGGCAGCGCCTTCGGCAATACGGCGGAGGGCTTCGCCGAGACCGCGGCATCCGCACACAAAGGGGATGCGGAAGGGGTGCTTGGAGACGTGGTGAATGGCGTCGGCGGGAGTGAGGACTTCGGATTCGTCAATGTAGTCTACACCTAGGGCTTCGAGGATCTGTAGATTTTACATTGGCTTGTCAGTGGTGTGTTTCTTGGAGACTTTCCCCAATACTTTGCGGTATAGGAGAAGCGAGTAGTATGGTAGAGAACATACCTGGCACTCTACGAAATGGCCAATTCGCGCCTTGGCCATGACGGGAATGGTTACAGTGTCCATGATCTCCTTGATCATCTTGGGGTCGCTCATGCGTGCTACGCCGCCCTGGGAGCGAATGTCTGCAGGCACGCGCTCGAGTGCCATGACGGCACAGGCGCCGGCTTCCTCTGCTATCCGCGCCTGTAGTTATACGTTAGCAATCGCTCTCACGTATGTGATTGTTGTAGCATCAACTTACTTGCTCAGCGTTGACAACGTCCATGATAACACCACCCTTCAACATGCGAGCCAGACCAGCCTTGACGGCGAAGTTGTTCTCGCCATCCTGTGCGCCGTGGCCGTTTGTCGTGGGGAGTTCAGTCGCCATTGTGGAAGAAAAAGGTGCCAAGTACTACTTTTTTTGCAATTGGGAGTAAGCAAGTAAGCAGGTAGGTCGACGGGAAAGTATGTTTGGGAAGAAAAGGGTCAGGCAGGGTCAATTAGTGGTAATCAAAAGGTCACTGGTATTGTATAGGACACGATTGGGTATTAAAGTACAAAAGTCTAAGAGAGAAAATTGGAGCTAAGCTGGTGAGGCGTGAGTCAACCGGCGATGTATTACCTGTACATGTATCCGCGGCATCGCGACAATTTTTTGCCATTTCTAGGGACCTTCTGTCCCGTTGCAGCTCCGGAGCATGCGCCGTCGCCTTTTGCCCCGCCATGGAATGTCCGCGGCATCTGGACCCCACTACACGCCCTTTGACACACGCCATCGCTAACCGCCAATCACGTAATTCGTCATGTGCATCTTTGGCCGTGAATTGCCGTCGCTTAGTCAGACCATTAGTATACGGTCACCGTGCTTCGCAGCATGTTCTGCTTTTGTACGCGCAATATTCGCTGAGATAGGTACAGGGTATTCTTTAGTTGTAGACATCGGTCCGTAAGACGCTGGAAACGCCAGGCTCCAGGGTTCCTCCCACGCCGTGAAGATGCCAATGCCGTGCTGATGCCAATGCGGCCGACCTGACTATACCGAAAAGCGCATTACAAGACGTCTACACTCCAGTGACTCACTCAGTAAGGTGCCGTCTCGCGCTTCAACCACTCTAGCGTCAACGCGTCGTTCTCAAAGTACTTGCTCGTCTTCTCATACACCTCCTTGTGGTATTCGTTGATGAATTTCTTTTCATCTTCTGTAAGCAGGCTCATGTCGACCAAGTTTCTGCAGTGTGGAGTCATGGTTACGTGCTCGAAGCCAAGGTAGGGCTTGTCGCCAAACTTGTGTTTTGTCTCGACCTCCTTCACCATGACCATGTTCTCAATGCGAATACCAAATTTGCCGTCCTCGTAGTATCCGGGCTCATCGGACACTACATTCCCTACAGCTAACGAGACCTCCGAGTATTGAACCCTTGTGCCAATACCGATAGGACCCTCGTGTACGTTGAGGAAGGAGCCAACGCCGTGTCCGGTGCCGTGACGGTAGTCAAGGCCCTCAGCCCATAGGAACTGACGAGCTAGTGCGTCCAAGGCAAAGCCTGTTGTGCCCTTGGGGAACTTTACGCGCTCCAGGGCCATGTTACCCTTGAGCACGAGTGTGTATGCCTTGCGTTCCATCTCTGTAGGCTCGGTGAAGTGTAATGTACGTGTGGTGTCTGTGGTACCATCCCGGTATTGGGCTCCGGAGTCGCACAGGTATATAGCCTTGGGGTCGATAGTCGCGCACTCGCCCTTTTCGGGCTTGTAGTGGATAACAGCGGCGTTTGCTCCTGTCGATGAGATGGTGTCAAAGGAAAGACCCATGAACATGTCGTGCTTCTTGCGGATTTCCTCAAGCTTGTCGGCGCCATCGACCTCATCGAGAGTCGCCTTCTTGTTGATCAGTTGGTCTTCTAGCCAGGCAAAGTACTCGCTCAATGCAGCTCCATCGCGTATGTGGCATTGGCGCATTCCTTCCAGCTCGACCTCGTTCTTGACTGCTTTTGAGTCGCCAACCGGGCTGCGTGTTTCTTCAACCTTGTCGTCACCGCCCAGCGCCTTGTTCAGAGCCCATGATGCTCTATTAGAAGTCAGAAACTTCTTCTGTGTCTCGTTCTTGTCGCTCGCTTCGAAGAGTTCTTTGCTCAGTGCTGTGACATCTCCAAAGATGGCTTCGTATGGTCTAATGGTGATTTTGTTGCCCAAATGCTCCTTGACGTCTTCGGGCAGTTTGTTTTCGTCAACGTAGAGGGTAGCAGCCGTGGGCGTGACGACGGCGTAGGAGAAGAAGACTGGGTTGTATGGGATGCTGTACGGTGTTAGTATTGTGATTGCGTACAGAGAGACTGTCCATACTCGCTACCACGGAGGTTGAACAGCCAAGCGACCTCATCGAGCATGGAGACGACAAAGCCAAGGCTCTTCTTCTTTTCGAGCTCCTTGCGCAAGTCATCAATCTTGTCCTCGAAGCCCTTGCAGGCGTATCTCTCCGGCTGCACTATGACCTTCTCACTCGGTCGGGCTGGTCTTTCGCTGCTCCATACCAGGTCAACTAAATTCTCGTCAATGGCCTTGTATTCGCCGCCCTTCTTCTTTATCTTCTCGGCCAGCTTGCGGGCATCTCCTGCAGTCACGACGCTGGGATCTACGCCGACGACTTTGCCTCCCTCGGCCTGGTCTGCCGTCCACTCCTGGATGGTGGGTACGTCCTGTATGCCCTGCTTCAACAGCTCCCAATTGCTGTCTAATTGCTTCTCCGCCTGGTTGAAGTAGCGGCCGTCGGTTGAGAGGGCAGCCTTGTCGTGGGTAATAACTGCATAGCCGGCGGAGCCTGTGAAGCCACTGATGTAGGCTGAGACGTGTCAACGGTTGTCATGGCAGGGAATGCGGGGTTCTGACCTCGTCGGGCGTCACACGGGGCAATGTACTCGCTCTGGTGGCTGTCTTCGGACGGGACCACTACCGCAAATCAGCTGCTTGTTCGCCCGTCGTGAACCAGACGCCTACTGTAAATGTCGACATTGCGCTCCTTCATGAGCTTACGGAGCTCGGCCAGCCGGTGGCTTGTGTCTACTTTGGCCATGTCGATGGCGTGCAGGGCAGCTGAGGCGTGGAATCGTCTGACGGGGGGGAAAGGCGACTTTGCGGCTACATATGCTGCACGTGTCGCGTGGGACAGTTGGGGAATACGCCGAGGGAGCATAAGGGACTGGCACGCTCAACTCGCGCCTATGTACGATCGGGACATGCACGACACCCCCACCAGCAGCCCGCCTGCAACAAGCACAAACGATTCCCGCACTAGGCGCAATCTCCAGGGTTCCTACCAAGCCTCGCCAAGCGAGAGGACCCTCGCACTAGTTATTTGTTGCGACCTACAGTAGAGCCCCCAACGTCCACCAGTGAAGATCATGGGCTTGTACCGTTGCGCTTTGCCATCGATTTTGCCCCGCCACACGCCCTGGTAGATCAAACTCACACCAAACTCACACCAAACCCGGCCCGACAACGACCACTTCACACTCCGGCGCCGCCTTGCACCATCTTGACAAACCCTGGGCAGCAAATAATGTCAAGCCTGCGCTAGTCCTGACAGCAGATTCCTCTAGGTCCACCGCTTGTAAGTCGACGTGGCCTTGTTTCGCACCTTCCTATACGCTGTCGTAACTTCCTAGTTGAGGGTAGTTGACAACAGCTTGATTAGTCACAGGGCAAGATTAACTCGTGCGAAGCCACAGCACAATATAACTAACAGTCCCAAACAGTGCACATTTGAACCCTGCATTCAACATGGCGAGCAATGGGACGTTTCCTTTACCCTATGACCAAATCGAGGGCCTGGTAAAGTCTCTATACGCACCTGGCCAAGCAAAGAAAATCTCCGAAACCGAGGCCACGCTGCGTGTGCTGCAACGCTCACCCGAAGGCTGGGAGATTGCAGACCATCTCCTAAAGAGCGACGATGAACAGGTCCGCTTCTTTGGCGCCCTCACTCTCACTGTCAAGCTCAACGCCGACTCGGCTGAATTGAGTGAAGAACACTCAGAGCAACTTCTATCCACGCTTATCCGCCATCTCGTTTCACGTCCCACTTCGTCCATTGCAACGCGTAAAGTGAGCTCAACCCTGGCCCAGTATTTCACGAAGCCAATTTCCGTATGGACTCAGTGCATTAGGAGCCTGGCTGTATCCTTTGCTGCTCAAACACCTGTCCTGGACGATGCGCTAGATAAGCATCCCTCAACATGGGACATCTTGCCACGATTCACAGATGACCAGCTTCTGGTCATGCTGGACTTCGCTATGAGCTTAGCAGATGAGTCCAAGAAGCCATCCAATTTCCAAGATAGGAAGCCGCAGGAGCGCATGATGGCGAACATAGAGAGTGTTGAGACTCTTCTCCAAGTATCGTTTGGTCGCGGTATCGAGTGGCTATCAGCATCTATTGGGGATGTAAATCACGCCCAGTCAGTACATCAAGGGGAGAAGATCTGCGTCGCGGCTCTAAAGTGCTTCACCGGATGGATCTTCTACGCCCAGTCAGAATTCAGAGATAGCCCGGAGAAGCTTCAACATCTGCGTTCTGTTACAGAGCTCGCCTTGACATGTCTGGAACATCATGTCGAAGATTCAATGGAGCTTGTAGCTGAGATACTGGAGAACTACCCCGCTTTCTTTGAACCAAAGCATCAAGAAGCACTTTGGTCGATAATATCGGGTCCATGGGGCCTAGAGATACTAAAGAACTCTGATGCCGAAACGGTATCTCTTGCCAGAATCATGGTCGCATATGGACAAATCCTACTTGACTCAAAAGTCATCTACAAGCAGTCAGATAATCCGCATCACCAACAAGTCCTCTCTTTCCTGCACAATCTTCTCAAACACCCCGAGCCAGTTGGCGTGGAAGACGAAGTTGCTCCAATCGTACTTGACTTTTGGAGTAACTTTATCAGTGCCATCGCCGAAGAGACCTTTTTGTATCCGGAAGGGAGCCAAATACCAGGTTGGATGGACAATGCAAAGGCCAATGTTCTCCAAGCGATCTCCGAGCTTGTGCAAAAGGTCATCTACCCACCAGTCGGAGTGACTGAGTCCTGGGATTCTGATGCTAGGAAAACTTTCAAAGTCTTCCGCGTAGATGTCCGAGACATCATCATGGAGGCATATGAACCACTACGTAATGTGCTAACGGATCAGTTCGTAGAATTCGCACTAGGTGGATTACGAGCGGGCAATTGGTTGGAACTCGAAACTGGCCTCTTCGGCCTGATTGCTATCTCTGATGCCTTGACTGAGAACTCGGACGAGCGTCTAACCAAGCTATTCCGGGAACCGATATTCTCGACCATATCAAGCACTGCCGGTGTACCCGCCATTACACGAAGGACTGCCGTTGAGATTGTCGCCTCGCTGAACCATTTCTTTCTCCGAAACCCACACTTTCTTCCCGAAGTCCTCCCATTCCTACTCGCGACCTTGTCACAGCCAGCGATTGCACATAGCGCTGCAAAGTCTTTTGCTTCTCTATGCTCTGAATGCCGCAAGTCCCTGACCAATGAGCTGCCAGCTTTCTTCCAGATGTACGAGCAGTTCCTCACTTACCCGACGGCCGAAGAATTCACGAAGAGCATGGTACTCAAGGGTATTGCCGCAATTATACAAGCCCAGGGTACAGAGGAGAAACAACTAGACGGCGTACGACAGCTTTTTCAATACATCACCCACGATGCCATGCGAGCGATTAGTGTCGCGAAAGAAGGAGACGCAGAGCAAGGCCAAGTGCTCGCACTCACCACCTTGAAGTGTCTTGCCAGTGTCGGTAAAGCAATGCAGGCCTCGGATGAGGAGGTAGTCGACCTGGAATCTACCAAGTCGCCTTCAACATTCTGGTTGCAAGGGCCAGGCAAGGAGATCCAGAATCAGATCATCAACCTCGTCAACTACATGACACAAATGTTCCCTGGAAACGATGAGATGATAGAAGCAGCATGTAGTGTTCTGCGTGCCGGGTTTAGTGAGACAGTAGCCGGACCTTTTGTGCTGCCACCTTCTGCGGCGATCGACTTCATTACCAAGGCTACAGTTCAGACACCGAGGCTGCCTTTTGTGTTGGAAACTGCTTGTTGTTGGATCTCATCTCACAAACATAACCAACCCGAAGACTTCCAGGATCAAGCTCAGCGGCTTCTCCGGCACAACCTTAGCATCATGCAAGCGCTTCAACATCCACGAAATGATCCCGAGATTGCGGTTGGTTGTATCGAGCTCATACAGAATTTCATCAACGCAGATCCTCGCATTATCACGCAAGAGTCCCCAGAACATATTTCTGGCATGTTTGGCTTTACGGTCGAGTCGATAAATTCGCCTGAGGTATTACCGAAACGAGCAGCTGCCAAGCTATGGAAAGACATCTTCGAAATGGCAGCCAACACCCAAAGCCCGCATCAAGCCACGATACAAGAGATTGTAACACACTTTGGTTCTCCAGTCACAACTGCACTGATATCCAACATATGTGGCGAGGTGGACTTCACTAGCCTGGAGCATGTCATCGTGCCACTCCGTGCTTTGATCAGAGCCGACAAGAATGCCCGAGCATATATTACAAATGCACTGGCAGGGCAGCCGCTTCTACAGCGCTTCCAGGGGGATCAAGGCGTACAGGATGTGGTGCGGAAGCTTATCGAGAGCATGACTAGGTGAATTTGAATGACCACTAGGATAGTATCTCACAAGCTGACATATCTACAGGAACGCAAAGAGCACTACAGCCTTCAAAGATACCATAAAAGGGTTTTGGCAGAGCTGCAAGCAGTTGCAGATGCAGCTACAGCCACAGGCCATTAACCCAGCTCAACGCTTCGCATACTGATTGGTTATCCAACAAGGCACCAGGCCTAGAACTCGGCAAACGCGGCCATCGCAAACGTCAGACCGAAAGACAGCTTGAAAGCGACATTGTCCCGCACCAATGATCGGACGTTCATCGACTTCACCCGACGCTCAAGGAATGAGTATGGAATGACATGGATACCTCGCGATTCGATGAACTAGCATATGTCAGTTTCTCATGCAATTTTTGGAGCATTGGGAAGCGTGTCGCATGTCTCATGTAGACTATATAGATATCCCGGGGTGCATACATGGCTTTACTTGCTATGTAGCCTAAAACTCTCATCAAACTCACCTGCAAAGTAAATATCCCTAGCCCGATCAAGACAGCAAGTGGTTTGCTGAAGATACTGATCCCCAGTCCTCCGATGACACCCAGAATGCTTCCCATGCTGATTTGTCTGATGGCCTGTGGGTTCACAGCGCCCGATTGAGTGAGAATTGGAGTACTGGCTTCCGTGGTATAGTTACTCGTAAGATCGTTGGTAATTTTGGTGAGGGGATTCGGTCCATCACAGCGTATGCGGTTCGAGTATCGGAACTGGTACGCCAAAACTGGCGTGCAGAGAATGAGTGGTGTACAGGCCATCAGGCCTCTGCGCAGACCGGGGAGTACGAAGGCCATGTTGGATTTTGAAGACGACAGTTCAGGTTTGTGGGATGTTTGTTGCTGTAGATGTGCGGAGAGATATATGGAGAGCCGTTTTTCGAGGCTTCGGTCAGTTTCGGTGCTTCGGGTAGAACGGCAAATGGAAACAACCGATGATGGTCGTTGCCTAACTACTTGTTGAAGAGGTGACTATCGCTCTTGCTAAGCCGCTAAGACTCAATGGCATTCAGTACATGGGTGGTTGAGCAGAACAGATGATGGCGTTGCGAAGTCGACCTCGGAGGTTAGTGATGTCATTGGCTTGATGGCGTTGAAGCTAGATTACTTTTGGACTAGAGCTTGGACCCTGAGTTCAGAGCCTCAAACGTAAACGTCGCGTCTTGCAGCACCGTGGTGGACGTGTCAGCAATTCGCCGCGTTTGACTGCCGCTCATTATGATGACAATCGCTCCCTAAACTTCTGATCGGACTAATTAACAGGTATTCGCGTCATAATGGCGCTTCGAACGCTTCTGATAACAGTTGCGAACCTCCTGATCCCGGTCGCGATACTGGTCTTCGCGACGGGCTTCTTTCCGTACAAACCGTACATGCCTGGACTGGCGCAGTATGAAGAGCTCGGATGGTCTGAAAAGCTAGGAGTGAGCTGGCAGAAGCCACCGGAAGCACCGTTTGATAAGCTTGTCTTCATGGTTGTTGATGCATTGAGGAGCGATTTCGTCTATGGAGAGGAAAGTGGCATGAGTTTTGTGCAGAGGTACAAACAGATCCAGCAACTTCAATTTGGAAGATTATAACTGACCGCCGTTTAGCCTCATACGAGATGGAACCGCACTTCCATTCACCGCGCACGCTACCTCCCCCACGATTACTATGCCTCGCGTCAAAGCAATTACCACGGGCTCCATACCTTCCTTCGTAGACGTGATTCTAAACTTTGCCGAATCGGATACTACCTCCACACTTGCGACACAGGACACATGGCTTGCGCAAATCAAGGCAAAGGACTATGATAATGGAAAGGGTAAATTGGTCATGTATGGTGATGATACATGGCTGAAGCTCTTTCCAAATGTCTTCGAGCGCGCAGACGGAACGACCAGTTTCTTTGTCTCGGTCAGTCTCAATTGTCCCCTGTATATAGGAGAAATAAATTGTTGATTACAAGTGCAGGATTTCACAGAGGTTGACAATAATGTGACAAGGCATGTCCCCAATGAGATGCTGAACAGTGACTGGAATGCCATGATCATGCATTACTTGGGCTTGGATCACATTGGGCACAAGGCCGGTCCTAAGAGGTATGCGCCTCATCACAAACAATTCTGTGCGGTACTAATAGTCGATAGCCCAAACATGATTCCTAAGCAAATCGAGATGGATGGTATTGTTCGCGACATTTACAGTGCTATGGAAAATGAGGATCATCTTTCCAATACCCTCCTCGTTCTTTGCGGTGATCATGGCATGAATGATGGGGGAAATCACGGTGGCTCGTCGCCAGGCGAGACATCCCCAGCACTAGTCTTTATGAGTCCAAAACTCACCAAAATCACCAATTCCTCCCAAAGAAAAAGCCCTGTAAAGCCAAAGAATGAAGGAGAATTCGAGTATTATCGCATGGTTGAACAGAGCGATATCGCCCCGACCCTCGCTGGCCTACTTGGATTTCCTGTTCCGCAGAACAACCTCGGTGTCTTTCTCGATGAATTCTTGGCATTCTGGGACAAGGGTGAGTGAGCTGACGAACGATATGTAATGTGTACTGACGTGTGTAGCTTCGGATCGCGCCCAGATCTTGTACCGTAATGCGAAGCAGATGAAGAAGATTGTCGAAGCCAAGTACACTAACTTACGGTTCGACGAGAGTGTAGTATCAACTAAGGATATGGGATTCGAATGCTCCGAGTCCAGTGTAAGTCTATCAATCGATTGAAGGATAAAGTGTAAGCATGCTAATGTTCTTAGGGTTTGCGCCTGACAGATGGTCAGACTCTAGCATGTCTTTGGCAGGGAGTCGTCACTGCAATGGGAGACGAGGGCGATGTACACAGCCACCTCTACAAGGTATGTCTTACGAGTTCAACACTGAGAGCCGGTACATACCTAATACACTTTTCGAATGCTGTACTAACGAACCAAGTTCATGCACCTTGCCCAAGAAACAATGTCCAGCACCGCCTCGAACTACGACCTTACTCGGCTCTTCACCGGCACAGGTCTGGCTTTCCTCATATGTGCCTTGAGTTTCTTTACGCTTCCTTCTTTCCGGCCAGTAACTCCAGCTGGTGTCTACTACAGCCTAGCTCTTGCACTCTACTCTGTCCTAATGTTTGCGTCATCATACGTCGAAGAAGAACATAACTTCTGGTATTGGGCTACATCCGGTTGGCTCTTATGTCTATTCTTTTGCAATATGCGAAAGGAATGGTACAACAATTGGATCTTTCATCCAGCGATCATGGTGCTAGCCACACATAGGGTCATCCGGCGATGGAACCAAACCGGACAAAAGTATGCTGGTGCGGATGATATTGTCAACAGTGGAGTTTTTCATGGCAGCTATTCCGTCATCCTGTGGATACTGATTGGTGCCACGTACATGGATATTACCATCCGACTGGCTAGACACGTTGCACGGTCTATTGCAACATTCGATACTGAGAGTAAACCTCGAAATGTCGAACTTGAATCCACGGACCAGAACCGTATGTTTGGTACCATTGCCGTGCTACCACTTTGTGGCACAGCCTTCATCTTCAAGTTGGCGTTCACGTTGAAAGATGCCCCGGAGCTGACAAGCGGTGTCAGCACGGCTTTGATGTCAAGAGTCGATGGCTTGGACCTTGTCGGTCTCGTGCGGATGATATTTGGTGGCCTACTACTGAGTGGGAGTTGGATCGTAGTCGCAGAATGGACTCGATCTGTTCGGCGAACGAAACGCGGGGCCCAAGGCAACGGTGGTATGTTACAACTGTTGCCACAAGATATCCCATACAGTTCACTAACAAATCTCACAGAACTAGCCGTTGCTTTCTTCGATCTAACAACGCTTTTCATCCTCACACAGACAAAGGCTCAAAACATACCCCTTTACTTCCTCTTCAGACTCCAATACTTCTTTCTCAGTAAGTCCCCCTCCCCCATCCTCTCACAAAAGCTAAATTCTTCCCCTCTAGCCCTCCTCGACCTCACTCCAACAGCCGTAACCCTAACAACCCTCCTCCTGACCCAAACATCATTCTTCGCCCTCGGAAACAGCAACGCAATCTCCTCCATCGACCTTTCAAACTCGTACAACGGCATCTCAGGCTACAACGTAGTCGCCGTCGGCACCCTCGTCTTCGTCTCAAACTGGGCCGGCCCCATGTACTGGTCCCTAGCTGGTATATTACTTCTCGGCGACCACGGCCGCACACAACGCTTCGTCGATACCAGGGAACTCCACGTCGCAGACTGGGTAGCCAAGGAGCGCGAGTGGCTGAATGAAATGGCGAGGAAAGAGGAAAAGGGGAGAGAGATACGGAAGACGCGGAAGGAGTGGGTGGGACATGTGTCATTATTGACGTTTTGGACTGGGGCCATGTTGGCAGCGGTTATGGCGTCTTGTACAGCGTTGAGACAGCATCTTTTTATTTGGACCGTGTTTAGTCCCAAGTTTTTGTTTGCCATGGCGTGGGGGACAGCGTGGCATTTGGGGGTCACAGTTGGGCTTGGGGGTTTGGTTTGGTGGTTAGGAAGTTGGTAGTGCGGTCAAAGGGGCAGTGGATGTGTGGGCGCAGATGTAGATTGAGTAAAATGCTCGGCGAGTATTACGGGAAGTTGACAATTAGGTATGTACAATTAGAGGCGTCACTAAAAGAGCTTACTTTTTCATCCTTTTGAACCACTTTATGGATTGAATGCATATTTGTACTACCCACCGAAAAGATACTGGTAGCTTTTATTAGTATTTTATGGCGAAAATCTACGTTCACGCCTGGAAGTAGGGCCGAGAACTCTTCGACAAGTCAGAGACCGTCAGCGAATGCAAGTTCTACAATCTCAAGCTCGTGAAGAATTAGATGTGGGCTGATTGCACCAAACTCGGTTATCCAATTTGCTAGTGATCGACAGCGATGATACCGGACAAAGCACTCAGTTGCGACTGTCTTTGTTGTAGCTTCCCAAAACTGAAATGCACCTGAGCACATGAACATTCTGCAGACCCTTCCCAACGAGAGAAGGCGCAACGCTACCAACCACCACAACACGTCAATCACAAAACCCGCATTACTCACCCAAAACTTATACTTTCCTTCAAAACTCACAACGCACCATCATCAAGTGCCCGCCATCACATCGCAACATCGCTATCCAACATTACCACACGCTGGCTTCAAATACCTCGGAATGAGTGACGAGAACAACAACAACGAAAACCCCGAAGATTGGGAAGATATCTCTGGCGAATCAATTGATGCGCAATCTCATGGGTATGAGATAATAAGGGCCAGGTTTAGGACCATGAATTCCAAACTTGATGCCGACTTTGGCGTTTTTCTGCTTGAGAGGAAGAGATTAACTGATATGTGTATTCATAGGGGCACTGATAGCCGGGACGAGCTTTCATATCCGGCAAGAAGTCCAGAGGAAGTACGAGCAGAAGCGTACGAACCCATTCTTCTCTTCCTAATGCTACCATTCCCAAATGATTACAGCAACGCTCAAACTTCGCGATCCCAAGCCCACTCACTCCCTGTTCCCCCTCGTTTCTCTATCTAACAGAACCCCGCAGTTCAGATACCTCACGCCGCGTATCCGAACTATCGTCTAGCCTCAACTCCATGTCCTAGGAAGACATCGAAGGCGGCAAACCTCCCCAGCCAGCTCCCGAAACTCCACCCCACGTCTCCACCTTCCCAAATCAGTTCCCCCACGACGCAGACCACGACCGCACCAAGTCGCCTATGACATCGCTGCCCAACTACTCTGAGCCCGATTCGCCAACGCAGAAGCGCGGGAAGGGCATCGTTCGCAATATAATGTCCGACACGTGGACCGAAGGCGCCTACATAAAGCCAAATTCCACGACCGAACAGATCATCGATGTGGAGAAGATGCAGGACCGCTAGAAGTGTCCGAATTGTGGGCATTTCAATGACCGCGGCGTTACAATGATTCCTGCTAGCAAGCCACATGGTGCACCTGGCAAGCAGAGAATGGATGCGAGCGACTCGGAGACTCCTGCCAAGCCGCAAGGTGCACCTGGGAAGCAGAAAGCCACCAGGGGAAAGTCCAAGGGTACTACTAATAAGAAGGCGCGCAAAGGGAGCTGGAAACCGCCTACGGTTGCTGGACCCTCGCGTGCTACTATACCGCCCATCGAGATCCCGGGGTCGGGTCCAATCGGCGTAGGGCCGGATGACCATATCATATGCGCCTATTGTCAGAAGGAGATTTACCCTGAGCTGATGAAGGATCAGTCCTGAACTCTGAAAACTACATGTACACTTGGGAGGGATAGTTGAGTTGGTCCTTGTTCTGGTATGATGGAGTTTGAGGGGCTAGCGGGATTGTACGTCAGGAAGGCGGGAAACAATGCAACAACTGACTTTATGGATCAGTTTCAGTTCTAAGCATGATATATTTCTTTCTCAAAGTAAAAATGGCAGTCTTATACCACATGTTTCGTCTAAAGAACACTATATATGCACTAATCTCAGTGACGGGCGATGTCAAAGTGGTGAAGACCAAACTCCGTGAAATGTTGTTGGCAGTCAATCCGTTCCCACGTTCATAATGAAATCAACACCAGAGAATATAGAAAGGGTCAGGAGTTAGAGGTAGCCGTTTACTCATGCATGACTGATCGCGTCGTTGAGTTTCTTGATGCATCGCAAACGCACTACCACGTTCAACGCCGATATCTCAGTCACCATTGTTGGGTGCTGGAGCAAGGGGTAGAGCATGAGGTGGAACCGGGTCGTTTCTACGCTCATACGCCTGGGTTATGAGCGCGACGATTTGATTGTTGTCGAGGTTATGAGGAACCCAGTTACCAGGATCGTTGGCAATAGGGCGTACCCGCTGAGGGCAGTTACCGAGATGTTCCATGTTGGCCTTGTATCCGACGAGACAGGTCCAGCAGAAGTTGTAACGGCAGTGCTGACCTGAAAGATGATGTTAGCATACAGCATTTTTCTTACGTATGGTTCGAGATGATATGAAACAAAAAACTTACACTTTATGTGGTCGCATCCACCATCCTTCTGGATATTGATCCCGCAATTTGGACAGGGCTTCGCGCCCATCTTCTTGAGGGTCGCCTCGGACTTTGCGTCTTCTGACTTCTTCGCCTCGTCACAATTAACGCCATCGTGCGTGTCCCAGGGTCGGTAACACTCAAGGCAGGATTTATACTCGCAATAAGGGCACGTGATGGCCTTGGTAGTGCTCTTCTTCTTCATGCAGTCTTCGATAGAGAATGGTAGGCCGCATTTAGATGAGAGACAGGTGATGTACCAGTCGCTTGTAGATAGAGTGTATTTCATGACGGCTGTATCGTAGCTGTACACGGTTAATATGCGTCGATGTTGGTATGCACTGGTATGACTTACGCTTCGAATACATGCTTCAGCAATGTGGTCTTGAGAGCTCCAAAGTCGAGTTCATGCCCGCAATTGCCAAAGGGACAGATCAGCTCTGCTTTTTCGAGTTGTTGCTGAGCAACCTTTGTCTTGAGCATTTTTTGGATGCATTGGTTGCAGATGACCTGGAAATGCTCGCAAACATTTTCTGATTTCTTGAAGCAACGGCTGGTGCCCTTTGTAACCGCACATAGTAAGCACTCTTGCTTGGACGGGCGTGCCTTCTGCTTTGGCTTCACGATAGCGCCGGCCTTGACACGAGGAACACGATTCAGAACTGGCGGAGGAACAGGTGTAAAAGGGCCCAGAAAGGACCGCGGCCGAGGAGCGACAACGGAGCGCCTAGGGCGATCTCTATGGACACGTCTAGGTGGCTCTGGCGACGATCTAGGTTCCGGACTGTCATCGGCGAGGATAGGATTAGCACGCGTGCCTGATGGGGCAGCTGAAGACGATTCTGCGTAATCAACCCGGCGACTTGGCATGGCTCGCAATCGAGTTGAAGGCGCCATGGTTACTGGTTGAGTTGTTAATCAGTCAGATTGAGTGCAGGGTCTGGAGAATCGGAAGGTACAACTAGCTTGGATAGAATCGTGGCCCTGCTCATACCTTCGCCCGACAAGCGATCGTTGAGTATGCCAAATTTAAAGACGGCAGACAGCTAATAAAGGTAGTCGAGTGTCGGTTAGCTTGCGACTGCGCGGGGAGGGGGGCGCGGCAGCGCGACCGTGGACCTAGCCCAATTCGCCAAAGTGAAAGAAAATGAACCCACCCAGAGAATTTATAGCGATTCCCGCAACCAAACTGTTCTACTTATGCTTGTGTATTGAACAAATGGAAACGTGAGAGTAAGGAGCAGACACCCCTGAGATCCCACCACGTTACGCACACTCTTTTGGTTATTGATTTTCTGGAACGACCACATCAAGAAACGTGTCGAAATTACACTGAGGCACATGTTGGAATTACGTCATTCAAGTTTGGACGGCCGGTAATAGATCGTTCAACCTGTACATACATAATCGGCTAGTAATAGGAATGTGCTGCGCAACGTTGGAGTGAAAGCGTGAGGGACCTGATAGCAGGAGGGGTGACGTTGTGACGAAAGCGTGTTTGTACCTTCCAAACCAGTAGAAGGAACACCTCTCACATCCATGGATCCAACACTACAGAGTCTTCTGGTTTCTCAAGAACGTGTGCACATACAGAGTAGATGGTTATTTTGCACTAATATGCTAGCCTAAGATAGCCCCGCTACCAACCTTCAAACCTGTAATCATTCACACATATCTGTTCTCTATCTTATCACGAAAGAAGTTGTGCCGGTAGTCCTCTTCCGATGAATCTAGCAAGACGCGGAAAGCACCGTTGGTCTTCATATTCAAAGCTATAGCCAGTCGATTTACAAACTTCTCAAAGTCAAACATGTGGCTGGATACCGAGTGTTCATCTACACATCCAAAAGGCTTGGGGGCAAGGTCCATGGGGGCAAGGTCTGGATAATAGCGCCACTCCTCGGAGTCATTGAAAAGACCTAGTGTGATGACCTTTGGGTCGGAAGAAGGCGAAAGTGATATTATGCTTGTGTGCCAAGCCTCCAGGTAAATGATGTAAGGATGTGGCGCAAACAATAGATTGCGACTCAGATCGATCGGCGGTGGAGAACAGATATCGATGTAGATATGTCTTGGAGTTGACAGTCGTCGATGAACGGTATCTACAGGGGAAGTGGAGTCGGTCACTCGTTGCGTTCGCTCGATAAGTCGTACCAGACTCCCAGGTGACTTCACTACAGCTTGTTTTGTCCGCATAAGCGACTGCAGGAAATCGATGCGAAGCGCTTTGGAATGGCAAGCGAGCGGCAAGAAATAGGTCTCGGACGCTGGTGCTGAGTATACGAAAGGCTTTGTGTGGCTGTAGAGCCAGATCGTTTCCCGGAGTTCCGCCGGGAGAGTAGAGAAGAGGCCCAAGGATTTGTTGAAGGCTGTAGAAAGATCCAGCTCTTGCTGTGCAGAGGCAATTACATGGCTATGGGAAGTCTCTTTAGCTGTCAAATGAGTTTCCTCTGGTATGCGAGGCCCTGTCATGTCGCTATGAGAAATATCCATAACTGCACGTAGTTTCGGAATGCCGCACTTTACAACTTCCAAGGTGTATACAAGGATCCGCACTAAGCGTCAGAATCATTTAGTTGAATTAATAGTAGCTATCCTGTGTCTGAAGGTTGGGGTTATTCATCCAGTTTCTTTATACCTACGCAAGAGTGGAGTGTGTTCTAAAAACGGCGACGGGAAACGCTCTAACGCTCTAAGGAATTGTCCGAATTCTGCTCGAATTTTGCCCCAGTTGTCCGAGGTCCGGTCATGCCACAGTCCTCTGAAGTTACGTGCCAGACATTTAATTAGTAGCGAATGTAAAGTTACCATTCCGGAAGTCGGGCCGTAGTCTTCGCATAGGGTCTGAGTAGCTCGTCACGTTGTATGTACCTTAGCTATGTACAAATGAACGCATGACGGAGTAATGGCATTTATTAAAACCCGTTCGGAACACACGAACTACTCCATAGCACCTTGCTAAAGTGAATGTAAAGAGTGGAGAAAAACAAGGGAACAGAGCCAAACGCCACGTTGTCCCTATTGACTAGATCCCTATAGCGCTCAAGCTACTGCATTCCCAATCTGATCGTAAAACGCCATACCCAAGATATCTTCAAACCGCTCCAGGGGTGTGTGTGGTCCCGCAATTGCGATGCTGGAGCGTCGTTGTAGTTGTTTGCAGTCTTTTGACCGCGGTACCTTTATGGTCTACGCCACATAGTAAAGCTTCATAGAGCTCAACACCCTCCGCCTGCAAACGGGGCAGTTCTGAACCTCCCTAGCGCATGGAAGGCAGGCAACTACATGGCCACAGTCGTAGAAAGCCGCCTCTGCATCGCCGTCCCAGCAAATCCTGCACAACCGCTCCGATTCCTGCGCATTTTTCCAGTGCGTTACACCTTCACCAAACTTCTTGTTGTTCTGCCATCCACCCACATATATGTTGCCTGATGCGGCCTCAATGTACGTGCCAGTACCGTGTTGCTGATCGTCAACCCATTCACCGTCGTATGTATCGCCGTTTTGAAACGTGTATAGACCATGGCCGTGGCGTTTTCCAAGGCGGAAGGAGCCGCTATATGTGGCACCGGAGTGATAGATTTGAATTCCGTGGCCGTGGTGGTAGCCGTTCAGAATTTCGCCTTTGTAGTATTCACTCGAGAAGTAGTTGTATGTAAAGTAGCCTTGCAACTTATGAGGGTAGTTACGTGCAAAGGATCGGAAATTGAGATATGTGCGAGGGTCAGCGAAAGCTGCACGTCCCGCAAGTGCGCTCCGCTGTTCAGTGGTGAGGGGTAGTCCTACGATGATGATGCTAGTATTGTGGAGATCGACTTGCGCAAATGTGCGACGGTGCTTGATAGAGCGAGTGGTAAAGAGCTCTTCCTCTTCCCACAACTCCAACTTCTTTTTATCTTCCATTGGGAGGCCAAGAAGCGCCACGACAGTCTCATCCACCCTAGCAGACTTGAGAGCAATGTGTGAGCCACGGGCTTCCAAGGCCTGCCTCTCTGGGTTCCAAAATTTGAGGAAGAAGTAGATTTCATCTGGTGGTGGCTGAGGTATAGGAATACGTGCTGGTGGGGGTGGCTGGAGAGGCTCTGTCGGCAAGTCCACGGGTGGTGGCGGTGGTGGTGGCATATCTTCCTGAGTACCCCCCATTTCTGTATCACCAGGTGCGGCGCTCGGAACAACGACGTCGACTGCTGGCGGGTCAGTTACTAGAACCGACTCCACTTCAATCATAGCAGTATCGTTACGTTCAGACGCATGTTCAGGCAACAAGTGCTCAGCCTGAGATGTTTGTGATACAGTTTGTTCGGCGTGTGCAGGAGTTGTCTCTTCAGGTTCGCTCATCGGCGTGTCTTCCAACTGTGGAGGCGGCAGTGTCCGAGTACTAGATGGCGGCTCAGCCGTGCTCCCATCAATGTGAATTTCCTCTACCACTTCGTCCACTGTTGGCGCAGATGAAACAGACGGTAGCTCCGTAATAGGTGTGGCAGGTATTTGCTTCTCTTCTTCATTTGGTAGCCCTGGAAGCTTCTCAAAGTCGACAATGTGTACCCAAATTCTCCTACAAGCAAAAGGCGAGTCTTCCAATGTCCAGTCTTTGCTATCCGTGTATCGATCATAACTGCCGGCCGAGAACTCGATCTTGCCAGTGCCAAGAAGGTTAGGCCGACCAGATGGACCTCTTATCGGATCCAGAAACCAAAACTTGACTTGCCGAGGGTCTTTGACTCCGTCCAGAGCGCTTGCCAATTTTTCGCGAATCTCTTTACAACCATCTCGGCTTGAAAGCGGCACGGTGTGAATCGGTCCCGACGTTGCGCCTTTCCATTTTGTGTCAAAGGCGTCAAATACGCCCGGACCCTCATGCTCCGAAAACACCCGTGATTCAATGATTTGGAAGTCTAGGGTTCTTGGTGGCTCCGCTACCAGTTCTGTCTCTTGTGGTTTCTCTCCTTGAGATGTTGATTCATCCGTGGGCAGTGGAGGCATCGGTGGTAGAGAACTTGAGCTCTTCTTGTTCTCCACCTCCAACTTGATCCACTCTGGGACGTCCCATTGCTCAGACTCGGTATTTGTTACGAACGCTGATTGAGCCACGTCGTCGCGCACATACATTGCGATGTAGGCGATAGCGTCGTTGCCAGTGACTTGACCCACTCCAGGCTTACCTTCATGCGCATCGACTGCCTGGCGCTTTGGCAGACATCGGACCTGGTTTTCATCCTTACTGTCGGAGTAGCTGTACCAACGGGTTCCAGGACCTTCGGGCCGTAGTATTGGTTGGTAAACATAGGATTGAAGCGTCTGTTTATGAACCACAAATCCATATAAAGTGTAGGCAACTCCACCCACGGTTATCCGATCATCTAGCGTAACCTTGTTCAGCAACTTGATGTGAGAACGCGTCTTGGAACTGTCAAACGCATGCCGGTCTAGCTCGATGGTCAAGAGTTCAGGCAGAGCGTTTCCAGGAGCCGTGAAATTAGCCGATGCATTGATAGCTTCCTGCATGGTGTCCACACCTTCTACAGGTACACGGTAGCTCGGGATTCCGGTTGAATAGTCGCGCTTTGGCCCGCATATCGCTTGTAGCTTTTGAAGATGAGACGTGTTTTGAAGTTCTTCTTCCAGCTTAAGTCGCAAGATCTCCCATGTTTCCATGACATCAAGCTTGTTGAGACCTTCGTGTATACCGTACCACTCCAAGGCATCCAAAACATCATCGAGGGCAACTGCACCAGCGCCCGGCTCGACTTGAGTACGTAGCATGTACAGTACTTGCTGCAAAGCAGTGACGAGCGGCCTGGGGTGAACGAATGGGTCCTGGTGAGGATCTGTGATATTGATGCTATACAGTAGTTCCCGGAATGGTTTGAAGAGCATCCAGGAGGAAACTGCCGAGATCATGTTTCCCCCAGGCGCGCTAGCATCTTCTCCGAGCACGAGGCCTTGCAAGCCGGTCATCGCGAAGCTGTCCCAGGGGTTTTCTCTAATGGGATGCTCCCACAAACAATTAGTTTCGTCTTCAACAACCCGGATGTAGGCGGTAAACGCAAGCTTGTCATGGCGAAGCAGCGCCATCCGTTGGCCACGCATGCGGCGGGAGATGTCATAGTAGGGCCCGTGAAATCGCGTCCAGCCCCAGTCAGGGGATCCGCTGCAGAAGCGATGAAGAGCGTTACGCGAGTAGTGCACACGGGGCTCGGTTGGATTGTAGAGGACGACGGATATCTGCGCCGCTACGCTTTTCCGTTTGGGGACTTTCTTAGAGCCGAGGAGGGGAAGAGGTGCGTGTTGAAATTCGACTGGCGTAATTGCGGTCTGGTCGCCTTGGGAGTTTGAGCCGCTGCTTTCACGCCGCTGCTGTGCTGCTGTGCTAGTCTTGTCTGATACAGTATGTGTACTTGGTAAAGTGTGCTTGGCTGCTATCATGGCATTGTCCACTTTTTTCTCTCCCCCTGTCGAGCGATCGACATCATGTGCGTCGATATCGTCGTCAGTTTCTTCGTCTTTGCTGTCCTTTGTAGCCATTACACTGAGGCATTCGAGATAGACGCTGAGATAGTCCGAGTCGTTTCCCTTGGGATAGAACTTGATTTGCCATTGGTGTCCGCCGACGGTGATGATGTCGGACTTCATGACAATTTCGTGGTTCGGTTTCTCACGTGTCCCATTATAAGCATCGATTGACCAGTGAATGCGGCCAGTCTCGCCAGCAGTGTACTCTGGATCTTCCAAGGGCCTGAAGGCCTCCTTCTCCCAATATTCGTGATCTAGAGCACTGACCTCGCCTCTATCTTCAATCTCTTTCAGTTCATCCTCGTCTGGCGAGGAGTCGTCCTCTTGTAGTGGGTGCCATGGCGGAAGGCCGTCGTCGTCGTCTGATGAGTCTGATTCGGAGCGTATGGGTTCGACGGGCGGAGGCGGAGGTGGAGGCTGCACAGTGAGATCGGTGGGTGGAGGAGGGTCTACTGGAGGAATTGTACTTGCCTGGATCATGTCAATGTTGGCATATAGACCTGGGGAGTGGATGTCAACTTACTGTACCATCTGGTGCGGGTGATGCTGGTGTGGTGATGCCAACGTCCTGTGCCTCAACAACAGCCGAGCCATTTGGTAGTAGTGCATGTGTCTCGGAATCTGAAGTAACGTCCATGGCGTCCTCGTCCACGGCTGAGATCTCGACAGCAATAGTGTTCGTCGAGGCGTCGCGGTGGCTGGGCTGGTAGCCATCTTGCATCTCGGCGTCGCTCCGGTCGTGGTTCTGCCCGGTGGTTGCAGTCGGCAAAGTGTTTGTTGAGGCGCTCACGTCCATGTTGGCGGTGGTAGTATCAGGGGCATGTGGTGGTGGTGGCGGTGGTGGTGGAGGTGCAGCCGGCGTTTGTGCATGGATTCCGTGGTTTGGCGAGTGTGGTGGGCTCGAGAGCTGTTGGCTAAAGTGCAGCGGGTGCTCCACGCTGATGCTCATGTTGAATGTGTGGGCAAAGGGCGCATGCGAGGTCAGAGAAGGTGGGTTTGTATTGCAAGTGAGAGCGTGGACCGGTAAAGGTGCCGGAGCGACGAGTGGTAAAGTTGAATGTGCACAAGGCTGCACAGCGGTCGAGGCAGCGGTTAATCGGTGAGGCTATCAGTTTGGTGATAGCGTTATCGGGATGATGAGGGTGTATGGTTGCTTTTTACAACATGAAAGTATCAATAGGGTCTGGAGCACCAGTCGACGTCGAGGAGCAATTTGATGAATTGATGAACGACACATCAGGCACGGACGTGGCTGGGGCTTAAAGAGGGCTGCAGCCTACCAGCATGCGGCACGATGTCAATGGAGCACATGGAGTGAGGCGGTAAGGGCTACCTGGAAATCGCATGGCCCCCGCTTGCGCTATACCCACCAGAGCCTCCAACACGACGTACCTACGCCCTTTCATAGCCACTCCCTCAGGCTTCTCCCCCAACCTTTCGCCTTGACTCATCGCTCGCGGCTGCACGGCCGAGGTCCACGTCGTCATCCGTGAGCTCAGAGCTCAGAGCTCAGCTATCGATTGTACGCTCCACAGTGACCGGCTAGGCAGGCGCGCTAGTCTGCTGAGACTAGTGGGGAAGGTGGGCCCGAACGCGCCTTCCCTGCATCAGCTCTCCGCGCCAACGACGTTGCTCCATAACACAGTCATCGCCCGCTTATGTGGCCGACATAGTCTTGATTTGATTGCGGATTGCGCGTGCTAATTCATTTCACAGCCATCATATTATTGGTCTTGGGTCTTTTGCAGCCGCGCAAACGTCGCCGCGACGATGAGAGGAAACACGACTGTCGCCTCGGCGTACACCTTGACGCTGTCGCCGTCCAACTTGATCTTCCCCCAGCTGACGGCCTCGTCCGGCCGCGCGCCCGCATCGCTGCCGTCAAACTCCTGTGCCGTGTTGATGTACACGGCGCTCTCTGCGCCGTTGCGCATGAGGTTCGCATTGGCGATGTGGTGTTTGACTATCCCTCCGCCCAGGACGATCATACCCGTCCGCTTGGCGCGGACCGCAATGGTGTTGATGTTCCTAATGTCCTCGACAATGTCGACGCGCAGCTGCTCTGGAGATGACTTGAACGTGTGGAAGTACAGCATGTCGCCGAGACTACCGTCTGTCAGAGCCGGGCAGAAGACAGGGATATCGTTCTTCCACGCCCAGTAGTAGACGGACCGCTCATCGTTGATTTCCTTGCCTAGACGGTGGATCATCTTACTCGGCGTCCAGTGCAATGGCTCGGCCGTCTTCTTGCTCGCCTCCTGTTCTTCCAGCATCTTGTCCAAAATGGGCACAACCCAGTCCTCGAAGGCGCAGTAGTTGCTGTTCGGCACCACCAGGTTGCCGATGCGGTTCATGCCCTTTGCCCGAAGTCCGGCCCCAGGCGTCGAGAAGGCACCTAGATATGTGGGCGCCAGACACTTGATAAAGTCTTCCTCGACGCCACCGGCTGTGGTGACAATGGCTGACACGTGCTTGTGCTCGACCAGGTACCGCAGCGTCTCGCGCAGACCTGACGAGATGAGATTCGACGTGTAGCCCAGGAAGATGGTGGTTTGGTCTCCCGTTTCAGCGTCTCTCCAGGCGCGCTGTCATGGTGTTAGCGGGCAGCCACGGCTTCCCTACGCGTTGGGTGTCGTGTTGCCCAATCCGGCTAAATGTTTCGCTTTCCGGGACAGGGGCGCACGGACGGCTGACGCCGGCATAGCCAGGTGCCCTCTCCGCATCGGATCATCGGGGAAGAAGCAACTCACCATGTCATTGATGATTCGCACAGCCTCTCCTACCGACGTCGCCTGGAAGCCCATGCCGGCATAACCGGCCACCAGCTCCTCTACCGTGATGCTGCGCGATGCATATTGGTTGAATTCGATGCCCTGCACCTCGCGCGCACCCTCAGGCACGGGCTCGGAAGGCTTCAGGACTGCATCAGTGGCGCCGGTAGGGGCCGACGACTGGCTGGCCATTGCGCTGGGTCCGAGGCTTCAGTGTGCAGCTCGCGCACGACGCCTGGGTGAAAGAAAAAAAGGGTAGCTTTCGGCGACTTTGCAAACTGCTTGTCCCAGCTTGCGTGTGTGTGTGTGCTAAAGTGCGTCGGTGCGGGCGGCAGAGTTTGAGTGTGAGCAGAAAAGAAGGCCCAAGGCCCCCACCTCGCACCCGTCGACTGGAGCGGAGCTAGCGCATGGCAGTCTAATCCCTGCCTGTGCTGTGCGAGGCTAGCCTTCGGGTCGATCCATTGCATCTGGACGAGCGCGAGAGCCCAGCGGTGCAGGCCGTAGCTCAAAGGCCGTCTGTCACGCTCATCCATGGTCTAGGTTTGACGCTGCAAAGTCGCACACTGCCGCCTCTCTGCTCGCCGCCTGCAGTGTCCTGTGCAAGTCGCGCCGTCGTGCAGCGCCGTCTTGGGGGTGCAGCGGCCTGCGTTGCGTGTTGTGGGCGCTGTGTGCCATCTTGTCAAGGCCCCTTGCCGGCCCAGGGCTAGAATCTGAAGCAAGACCAGCGGCTGCCCCCCCTGTAGAGTATCGACAATGTTCAACTCGGCACCCAATCACACGCCGCCTCGACGGATTCCTGTCGCTAGGCCGTTAGGGCATCCGTCATGGGCGGCGTGTCAGTGCACAGTTCTCGTATTCTGCTCTCCTCGACGTTCCCCTTCCCATCACCAACAACCTTCCTTGCGACGACGACCTTCTCCACGACACCATGCTGCCGCTGACCCTTGGTCTGCAGCCTGGCTAAATCACCCCAAACACTCGCTACTGCCAACGTGAACACGCTGCCGCCTCACGTGGCTTCAACGACCTCACAAAGCACATCCCAGCGCCACGTCGACGGGCTGCAGAGCCTCGTCTCCACGCCATCTACCACCTTTGTTCGCACCTGCACCCTGCCCCAGTGCCAGCAGCTCCTCCAGACGCTTCTGTCAGACTTTGCACCTTGTTTTGACGCGTCTCCCACCTCCAAACAGGGCGTTTTGGCCGTCATCAAAGCGACCGTGGCAGATCGAATCTCAGCTTCCGGCGCCGAGAAGCTGCACCTGTCCCACCACGGATCGCGCATTTGGCGCTTTGCCTAATCTCCCTGGTTTCCAAGCACGGGCCCTGGCGCTAGCGCCTCGTCTACCACTGCCTGCAAACACCAACGTCAACTGACATCGCGTCGCCCACGCCAATCCACCGCATCACGACTGCATTGGTCAACCACGCTATCCGACTTAGATTGCCCCCGATACGGCACTTTATTCTTTTCTCTTTCTCTTTCTCTTTCTCTCCAGGAACAACTTTTGCCCGCATACCCATTTTTTCTTCACCACCACCACGTCGAGCAGGACGTACGCATCTAAAATTAGCCCGAGAGACGACGTCATTTGTGCCCATGCCGCAGTTGCAGGATCTTATAAGAGCAAGAGATTATCAAAATGTCAGCTTCACGGTATCCGGACAACAGCAGGTATGCACGCGACAGATCACCACCCTACCGGGACCGAGATCGAAGACCTTCCAACTTTGGCGGCGGATACCCCCCAAGGGGCAACGAGACCTTCAGGCCAAGTGCGGATCCAGGCACCTTCTCCAGAGAAGTTCCCAAGGGCCCGAAATCGCTTGCTGATCCGCCACGTGTTCCCCCAGTAGGGCCACCCTCGAGTGCGTCTTCAGCTCCGCCTCGTGATGATAGAGGCAGAGGCTTTGCTGGACGCGGTGAGGCGACTCCTCTGCGAAATGCACCGCCATTGAGTAGTGGACCATCGTCTTCGTACAACGCAAACTCCTGGAGGGCCGACCGCGACCGTGACCGTGATTTTGACCGACGTGAAAGACGGCCAACACCACCGCGGCGCTCACCCATACGTGACTCGAGAGATTTACGTGACCAGAGAGACTTTGGTCCACGGGATTTGGATATTAATCGCGCCCGACGAAATTCGCGAGACGGTCCTCCCTCCGCGGGTTCAACATATTCGGATCCGCCTCCTCTTGGCACCTTATCTTCGTATCGCGGCACCGGCACCGGCATCGGACGTGGTCGAGGTGGCTTTGCAGGACGCGGCAGGAACTTTCACGCTGATGACCGTGATCGACACCACGACCCACGTGATCGAATACCGGAACGCACATCCTACCGGCCTCGAAGTCGCACGCCTCCGAGGCGTCAAGAGCGGGATGTTCGAGACGACCGTGATTTCGATAGGAGAGATCGCGACGATCGGAGGTTTGTCAGAGAGTACGACTCTTATATAGGCCCAGCGGGTGCTGCCAAGCCTGGCTTACGCGCATTGGATACACATCGTAGCTCAGGTCCCTCTGATCTGCGACATCTTCCAGGCACACCTACAGGACCCGCGCCCCATTCATCCCATCATGCATCTCCCTCGGATAGGTTGGGTCCACAAGGAGACTCGTACTCGAGGCGATCTTCACTTGCTATCGAGCCTCTCTCCGCCAAGGATGTTCGCCGGGAGCCTGGTAAAGACGAAGCCCTATTGGCTAGCCGTGCAGAGGCGTCCAGAGAAAGGTATGCCCCACGTGCCTCGTCACCTCCCGCTTCCATTCCGGCCTTTGGTGGATCCAATGTCTGGAGGGCACCCATTCCTGATAGCAAACCAAGTGCTGTTCCAGTGGCGCCACCAAAATCTGCTCAATCTCAGCCAACCCCTGCTTCGAGCATGGCTTGCACTACTTCTGCCACGCCTGTTACGCCAATAAAGACTCCCGTAGTTCCTACGGCACCCAAGTCGGCCATACCGTCCGGTCTTTCACTCCTACCTCCAACTGGGCCCAAAGCTGATCGCGCCCCAGACCGTCCTCCACCAGGAGATGCATCTAACCAAGAGAGTAGGCTGGGTCCTCCAGTTGCTCCCCGTATGGAACCACCTGCTGCCCCCATTTCTATCGTCTCGTCTCAAGCAGCTGATACACGAGGCTCAGATAACGTAACCTCCAAGGCCCCGGTTACACCCCATATGCCTGCACCCCCAAAGGCCACATTATTTGCGCCCCCTTCTGCTCCAAATGCTCCAAGTGCACCATCGGGTCCAGCGAAGTCCCCTCCTCAAGGGCCTGCCGCAAGACCGCGCGCGCCGCCAATAGCTCCCCAGGCCGCTTTACGGGCTAATGTGTCGCCATCCTTCTCAAGAGCAACGCTTCCCCCGTACGCCCCTCGGGACGCGTCTCCTAGTGCGGCTCCCCCAGGATTCGGGCTACGTGGCAGTAGTGGGAGTGTCTCTGCAATTAGCACGTCACCCAAGAGCCTGCCAGCAAACATCCCGACCGGACCGAAAGCTGACAGAACCCCAATGGCTTCCCGGCCTCTGCCACCATACCCTCAATCAGAGCGGTCCGGCTTTCCCCCACCAAGGGGACTCTTAACCGGAGGCCCCAAAAGTATGCAATGGGTGAGGCCAGGCTTTAACTCAAGCCGACCATCTGTCCCCACCAAACGGGAGTTCCCAGCAGAAGACCGAGAACGAACATTCGGTACTGTGCCTAAAGCCCCGAGGCTCGAGAACAGTGTTTCAGCTGCACAATCGCATCGTAACTCACAGGCGAAATCAGTATCACCCTCGTTTTCGCGTGTCTCGACCGAAGCGGAACGACCACGGGAGCGAGCTGTATCCGCAGAGCGCCCTGTGATGCCCTCGCCCAAGCCGACCACGATCGAGACAAGGCGGCATTCCGATGTGGTAATGGCTGAAGCATCACCTCGTATGGCTAAACCACCTATGTCGGCTGCATCATCTGCACCAGAAGCTTTACAAGACTCTGACGATGATCTCGATTTAGACGAAGATGACTTTGCTGAATCGGAAGCAAAGTACAATCGGGAACGAGCTCTTCTGGAAGCCAAACGTGTCGATCTAAGTGCTTCGCATTTGCGCGCAACGAGTCCCTTACAAGAAATTGCCCTCTTGTCGTGTTTGACTGTTGATCACCTTCCACAGGCACAGCCTGACTTGGCGCACGGAGAGGAGATAAGCATGGATTTGCCTCGGGAAGAAACGCATCCATCTCCCGCCCAGACACTTACTGTGGAGCCTGGATCTACTCAGCCACCCCCAGATAGCATTACGGCAGATCTACCAACACCTAAAGCTGAGGAGTCAGAGGATGTCGACATGGAAGACAAGGATGAGGTGGAAAAAACGTCGGCTGCACCAGCCACTATCGCACTTCGGATTCGGCGCGAAACTTCTGCCGAGCAAGAGCCTCTCCCCGACCTTAGTGCGCTGCCTTATCTTGGATCTGGTCCTCCGACGCCGTTATCTGACATTGGACAAGACCGACCTAGCTTATCTGACTCCGTCATGGACGCCATTCGAAGCAAATTGCGTAAAAGCATCGAGCCGGAACTGAACATGGAGCAGACCCTAGAGCGATATGCTGCTGTATACAGGGAGTGGCGGTTACATATTCGTTCTTGGGACGAGGAGCGTGAACACGACGACCAAGACAGACAGCCATCAGCCGAACCCACTCTGAAGGCAGTCACTCCTGATGTACAAAATGCTGCGATGACCGGAATACTGGACGGATCGCTCGCAGCTACAGGCCGAAGAAGTCACGCGAGTCGGTGGGCTACTGAGCTAGATCTTGAGGCCGTTATCAAAGAATCTCTCAAGACTGCTGAAGAAGAGAAGCTAGGGAAAAGAGACAAGGAGCCACGGAAAGCCATGGCTGATCCAGAGAAAGAGGCAGACTTGCCCATGGCGCTCACCGAAGCTGAGGCTCAACGACGACGATTTATTGATACAAATTTCCAACGCGAACCTGGCCAGGGAATTTTTGTGTTTCACTATGAGCCGCCCGAGGACGACTTTACTCCTGAGGAGCACCGGGTTATGGTACAAAATTATAGGGACCAATATGCCAAGAAGTGGGGCAAGTTAGCTGAAGTTCTGTATAAAGAAGTTGGAACGGAGCGCACCTACAAGGACTGCATAAATCACTACTATGCTACGAAGTGGGGTAGAGAGTACAAAGGCAAGATCCGCAAAGGGCGGGTCAGTAAAAGGCGTGGTGGTGGAGGTGTCGGTCGTGGTCGTGGAGCCATTGCTAACATGGACCGACCTGAAGTACAGGGAGAGGACGGTTTGCCATTGCCTGTCACTGAGACTGGACGGCCTCGACGATCGGCAGCTCCAACATTTGGTCCAACAGAAGTCGTTTCTGAGTTCGATCCGGCCTCAGGTACGGCCACACCGGGCCGAGCACGCCGGCAAACCGACGCCGATGGCACACAAGAAAAGAATGGACGTCGCGGAAAGACAGCAAAGGATAAGCTCGGTCGAAAGGCTAAAAACATGCCACTTGCAGCCGCTCCTATAGGCTCACCTGTGAAGGTTGATCGTAAAGACAAGGCCTTGGGAGTCAAGATGGAAGATGATACGAGCAAGCGGCCTCTAGGTGAAATGCCTATGCCTATTCATGGGGCTAACATGGATGATCAGATGATGTCATCCGGTGATATGCAACAGCTTTCCAGTCTTATGGATCGACCAAAAACACAGGTTGGCGGCGCAAGACCTGGTCCATCCAGCTACTGGTCGGTCTCCGAATTGCAGGATTTCGACAAGAATGTCGCACACTTCGGCACAGACTGGATTGCGACTGCAAACCACATGGGCACCAAGACACACACCATGATCAAGAACCAATACTTGCGCCTCGTTGAAGGAGGGAGATCAGACCTAGAGCAGGTAGCGAAGGAGGCAGATGTGCGGAGGGAACGAGGTGAGGATCTTGGGCCACCGCCAACACCGACACCAGCGGCCAAAAGACGATATGAGAGTACACAGGCAACACCCATTCGTCAGATCGCACCCACACCCGAAGAAGGATCTCCGCCCCTGAACCCGCTTGCGCTACCCAAAGTGTCCCCTCCGCAAACGAATCCCTCTTCGAGGTTTTCCACCATCGCTCAAGCACCCATGCAAGCCAAATCGCTGGTGCCTACATCGGGATTCCCTGCCTTACCAGAGACTAGTCTTGTGTCTGTACCTTCGATGCCACCGCAGCAGTCACCCCCCGCTCCACCTCAACGTACGCAGTCGCAGCACCATCACCAGCACTCCATGTCGCAGCACAAGCCGCAACCGCAACATCAGCCCCAACCCCAATCCCAGCCCCAAGGACCTCGAGCCGGGTACTTTTCAGAAGACTTGCCTCCGCGTTTCGAGTCGCGGCCGCCTTCACAGCCCTCTAACAGCCAGCAATCTCATCGGTCGCTCCAGCAACATGCGCCTCCACAGGCTCGCGCTCCTGAGCAGCATCATTCGCCTCTTTATCGCGGACTCCATTATCAGGAGCGAGAAAGCGTTGGCAGAGCCGAAGTCCAGCAAGAAGAGATACGACGAAGACAGGAACACCAACGACGTATTTCCCAAGAGATGACAAACCACAGAGCCTTCCCTCCGGGAAGTGGGCCCGTAATCATGCCTCCAGTACGCTCAACTTCTGGTGCGAGATCACCCGAGCATCGAGCCTTGCCATTCTCACATTCCCGGCACACATCACAAGTCCAGCCGCTCGGCCAAGCTGCAGCAGCCGACGTGTATTCACCGGCACCCAATACCAGTCATAACTCTCATGGTGTGCAACAGGTACCATCGCGGTCATCTATCCTCACACCACCTGTCAAAGAAGAGCCTAGGAATCCACCAACATCGCTTCCCTCCGCTCAGCCCCAACCATTGCTGCATTCACAATTGCAGCACCCACAACGCAGCCAGCCAACTATGCACAACACTCCTCCACCTGCTGTACCTAAGCCTGCTGCTGAGCCGCGAAAGTCGAATCTAATGTCACTCCTCAACGACACTGACCCAGAGGAGCCTAGACGGAAGAAGCCAAGCGAACAGGGGCCTCCATCGCACAGCTCTACACCTCAGCAGACCGCACCGATTGCACCGCCTCCGCCAACAACCCAAAGCTACTCGTTGTCCAGACGTCCACCCTATGAAGACACCATGGTAGTTCAGCCTCCCTTTTCTCGCCAATCTTATGCTCAACAGTCATCAATTCCTACTGCTTCATCGAGCAGGCCAATCGACTTGACGGACGACAAACAGCCGCCAGTAACTAGACCAAGCTTACGTGATACATGGCAAGCTCAGCAGCCGTTCCATAGAGGGATGTCGCAGACTCCGCAACTTGGTTCAATTTCATCTTCGCAGTCTGGGTTGCCTCAGCCGCCTGTTGCTCATGAGAGGTCATACGCCAACCATCGGTCTGTCTTTGGTCAGCATAACACGCCGCGCCAGAATCCAACACCGCCACCTCTTTCCGGTTTCAACAATTCGCCAAACCCTCATTCGCGTACACCAAGCATAAGTGGACCACCTGGTTCACTGCCTCGACATGCAATCCCAGGTACAACATCGACACAGCATGCACAGGCGCTAAACGCCTCGGCACAGATCCTGCAGCCCAACCCATATGCACAAGTCGACCCACCGGGAAGTGGCGGACCACCATCTGGACCAATGGGTATGCGTCCGAGCCCACACCTGCCGGCAAGCCATATATCACAGCAGCGAGACTCATCTGGACGCAACGACCATTCGCAGACCTCGAACGCAAATTTGTCATATTCGAACCCCCAAACGCCGAATGAGCTTTCAGGCCAGCATCCTTTCCAGAGCTTGAATCGGTTGACTGAACCGTACCGGCCCCGTGATCCCCGTGATGCCCATGATATGGATCATCGACAAATTTCAGATCGCGATACCAGTCGTGAGCTATCTCAGAGAACCGACTATCTGCGTGATCAACTCTCCAATCCTGTGTCACGCGCGACTGGTCCACCAATGCACGAGGATATGCGTTATCAGCCTCAAGATCGCGTGTATCTCTCGCAACGATCTCAGACCCCGCTGTCTAGGCCCGACCACGGTCAGCCTCCGCCTTTGCAGCATCCCCCACATTCATCGCTTGGTGTGGCAAATCACTCTCTCTACAGTCAACGTGTACCGGATGAACCATCACATCACTTTATGCGTGACCCTCAGAACCGTAGCATATCGAACCGTATTCGCGAAGAACACGCACAAATGCAACATCACCACCATGCGGCGGCTCATCGCGAGGAACATGTAAGAAGAGAAAACGAGATGAGGGAGCGGGAGATGCGGGAACGCGAGATGAGGGATCATGAGATGAGAGATCGTGATATGCGGGAACGTTCCGCCCGTGATGCACATTATAGGGAAAGCATTATGAGAGGAAGAGACATGAGAGGACCGCCACCACCCCCAGGATCGGGACCTGGATCCATGTCTGATCAACGCCCGCCTCCTACTACACCCATGGACTGGGTCAATGGCGTCAGGCATCAACAGGAGCGGGGCCCTTGGCAGCGTTGATGAAATTTCCTCCAATGTACTGTGCCAACGCACATATGATTTCTTATGTCGGGCTATGAATCAGCATTCCTGGTGTCATGTTCTTATTTCCTCGACGTTGTACCTTGTTACTGCGCGTTCACGCGTCGGCGTTTTCTGGGGGGTGGCCGTGTTGTTTTTGCTATACCAGAGCGACGTTGACGTGAATGGATGTTTGCGATTACAGCAAGGTGTTCAAGATTTGTATGGTCTGATTTAGTAAATGTGTATTATATACTATACAATATGTGGCTAGGCCTATAGGTAGTTCCCCCGAACAAGTCATGTTTAAAAGATATGTTTCTGCTATACTGTAACTCTTTGACAGTTCGGAGCGTATGTTGTGGTGAATGCTCTGGTCGGTAAAAGCACGCTAGTTCAATCTAGGGTACCTAGTACGTCGCAGCCGCAGCCGCGTCAAAGCGTTATACAAATACGGCAAATGCGGGGATTCATTTCACCCCTCCCCCTTTTGTCCTATCGATCTTGATACAGTAAACCGGTACATCATCTGCATAGTATCTGTCTGCCAGCAGAGACGGGTATTATCGCTCTCTAGCTCGAAGCTTCTTCAGTTATCGAGATATCTCAGCGAAGAGTGAGGAGCTGGATGTTCACATGTAAAGGAGCAGATACGTCCGGGGTTACGATAAGGTAGACATACAGTACATACATGCAACAGGAGGAACTGGAACCGTAGCCAGTGCGGAATCAAATTCTGACAGTTCGCGGAACCGAGGTACGCAGCCCCTAGCAACCCCAGCAAAACATACTACCATCCGCCATAAACAACCGGAAGCGTGCGGCGCGCAACTCCACAACGTACCTCACCATCACCATCTCGCAGCCCACAAGGAACAATACAAATCATGGCCACAACGCCCTTCGCTCCACCCTCCCGCCGCGGCGACTTCCTCTTCTCCTCGGTCCTCTACGCCGACCCCGGAAACTCCAATCACCACGCCCGCGCCAGCGTCGCCGAGCTCGCCGCGCTCTTGCGCCCCGAAGCCCCCAATCTGTACAACAAAGGTCAAAAGCCTGGTGTTGCGACACCAGCAAAGGATCCGGCCTGGCACTTTTATAGCGCGCAGTTGATTCACTATGGACTTCCGGTTACCAAGGAGAAGAATACGGCAAAAGTTCGGCTGCTGAATGCGTTGAATCAATTCAAGCTGGAGGTGCCGGCGTGGGTGTTGAAGGTGGAGAGCGACCTGAAGAAGGAGTGGGAGGCGGAGTGTAGGAGAGTAAAGAAGGCTGGTGTTGGTGCTGGTGCGGGCATGGGGGTGAAGGGTATGGGAGCGAAGACGAGTAAAGTGAAGACGCAGGCTGGTGAGAGTAGTGGTGGAGGTAGTTTCTCAACAAGCAACGGCGTTAACGTTACTGGTACGTCTAAGATTTGGGTTGTTGTGGTCATCGAACTGATTTGATCTTGTTAGTCAACCTCAATCTTTCATCCAGTCTGGGTGTTTCTGCGGATAGCTTTGCGAAGAAGCCATCGCCGGCGAAGCGTAAGCGTGGTGATGGGGATGATGGGGGCTCAAATGATACGCCAAAGAAGGCGGCGAGGGTGATCAAGGCGCCAGCATCAAAGAAGGCAGCGATGACCAAGGAACCAGCAGCTAAGAAAGAGCCCGCAGTCAAAAAGGCACCAGCCGTAAAGAAAGAGCCCGCGCCTAAAAAGGAGCCGAAAGTCAAGAAAGAAC